GGGGGAGAAGGTTTGGGAGTCAGGAGTAGGGAGTTGAGGGGGATGGGCTTGGTTTTATTGTGCAGGAGGAAGTTCGGTTCACAAAGAAGCGCCGTACGCACGCTAAGCAGCTGGCGGCTTAACTGGATTGAGAGTAAGTGTCAGGACGCGGGATGTATACAGTATCCCTGCATGAGACACGCCTATCAGGAGCCTACGATACGACCCTGGTCAATTGCCTCGTCTTACTTGTAGATTTTCCCGGCCTCAACGAGTCACCCTCGTTAGTTGACAGATCTGTGCTTACTCAGCCCTAATGCCTTCTACAGTATCAGACAGACCCCGGTTGACCACAAGAGACAGACTGCGTAGGATATTCTAAAAGTAGCAGCAACGGCCAATCCCACCTTCCCACCCCTCCGCATTGCACCAGCTACACCGGATTATCCGTCAAAAACTCCAGCTCCTGCGAGTCCATCCGCCCACCCCCCTTGCCAGTCTTCAGCCGTTCCCAATTCTGGCTCCCCGGCCGCCGCTTACTCGAGAGGTGGCTCCGCGGCCCCCCGTCCCCGGTCTCGCTGACCTTGGGCGTCTCCCGGCTCCCGCTCTGGAGCAGGGAGACGGCCGAGTTGTAGAAGGAGGAGGTGAGGGAGCGGAGGCGCGCGAAGCACATGGGGAAGGAGGTGGCGCAGGCGACGATGATGGCGATGTTCATTTCGACGATTCTGCATGACGCCATAGTCAGCTCCTCCCCGTCACTCTGTGCCGACGCACTGATCCAGAGGATGTGGAACGTACGTAAACTGGGCATTCCGCCCCGTCGTCCAGAACACATCCGAGCTGTCGTTCAGCTGGAAATTCACCAGCCGCGCCAGACTAGCGGCGCAGGCTCTGCCAGTGCATCAATTCTTCAGTTGGCGTTCAAAAAGGGTCCCTGACTGGAAGAAAAGCATCTCACCCAAGTCCACTCATAAACGTCACCAGCAGCCCGATCCGCCGCCGCCGGCTGACCTGCAGCTTGAGCAGCCGCGGGATCGGCAGCAGCAGCACGTAGAAGTCCGTCACCACGTTGATCACCGACTGGATCGTGATCATCGTCCCGGACGTGAACCGGCAGTAGGGCGCCTCCAGCTGCGACAGCTCCGCGCACTGCACCAGGCTGCCGATGGCGACGGCCACGCAGAACGTGTAGAGCACCGCGTCGGCGACGATGCCGATCCACGCCGCGACGATCTCGCGGTGCAGCGGGAACACGCGCTTGTACAGCAGGAGGATCGAGATCTTGGCGAAGCAGACCGTCCACGGGAAGGTGATGCCGCCTGCGTCGAGGACCTGTGGTTTTGGTCATGAGACTTTTCAGGTGTTTGAGGGGGGGAGGGTGCGGATGTTTAAAGACGTACGCGGGTCGAGGAGGGATCGATGAGGTTGATCGCTCGTACGTCCCACATGTGTCGTCCGATGCCTAAGGGGAGGGCTGTTGTGTGCACGGTGCTGTTTAGCTGAGGGCTACGTTGACGGAAAGACCAATCTCACTCTGCGTGTAGAGCGTCATATGCGCGATCGAACCGCACTGTGTCACTTAGAATCCTGCCCTGCGATAGGGACAACTCTCCGAATCGACTTACTGCCGCAAGGATGCAAGTGGCTACATGTTTGGCGTTCTTAGCAACTCCCATATCTCGACCTGTGGGGGAGGAGCAGGGGCAGGGGGGGGGATACTCACTGTCTTCGGCACCCCAGAATTTGATGATACATGTCCGCACCCAGACGCGGGCGGACACCGCCAGTAGCGCGAGAAACAGGAAAATCGACTGCAGCACGATGATCGCCGTCCGCTGGGATGGCGGGTTGTCGAAGTTGGGGACCACCCCGGGCGGCGGTGCGACGGCGGGCGTGTTGTAATCCATGGCCAGACAACTGCAACTGCAACGGTTGCTCAGCAGAGCAGAGCAGAGCAGAGCAGAGCAGAGCAGAGCAGACCGTACGGGCTGAAGGAAGGGTTCTTGGATTTTAAAGACCATCTCCCCCTTCGTCAGACCAGACATGGTGGTGACAGCTGAAGGAATCAGGAATGGGTGGGGAGCGGGGGCGAGCCAGATCAGCACGAGCGAAAAGCACACCAAGCTCGACGAACCGTGCGGTCGTCATACAAGTAAGCCTCCGGCGAATCCATCCTGGGCCTAACTTGTGATAATACTGCACCAGAGAATCCCGGAGGCCTGATGGAGGGTAGATGCTGACCTTTGGGGTCCAAAACTTCGCCCGCCGACGGATTCAGGCTGTTTGGCGGTTCTCGCAAGGCTTGGAATGAGTTGTGAGGCTTAGGCTTAATATACCGTGCAGTGCAGTTGCAGTGCAGTTGCAGTGCTCAGCTGCATGGCCAGCGAATGGCCCTTGTGCCAAGAGCGTGGCTGCAGGAAGGACCCCTCAGCGCGGCAACCCTCACGTATATCCATCTCTGCAACCTCGCAACGAGCGAACCAGTCAGCGAATCTCGGCCGCAGATGCCAGTTTGATTTCTTGGGTCTTCCTACAGGGCTTTTCTCGCGGGGACATCACCCGTTCTGTCCCGCTCTCTCTGCTGCTTCGGCAGTTAGGGCTCCGCTTATCTTCAGCTACATGCAATACCAGATGCTATTCTCCTAGCCCAACCTCCCCGTTGGACCGGTGATGATAATAATGAGCTCACCCGATTCTAAGCTACACTCGAGCAAACCCGCACTCAGTATCTCCGAAACTAGATAGCACCTAGTCTACCCCTCTAATCACATAGCGTATTTCATCTATTTCCAGCAAACGCAAACAACCTCAATTCCCCCCCTTGGGCGAAATCACAACCCGCACATCCCCGCCCTTCACGGGCCCACCGGGCCCCGACGAGACGGGGGTGAACCCAACCGCCGGCACGCCGTCCAGCGCGCGCACGTGGAAGCGATGCACCACCAGCGCGACAAACGTCAGCGACAGCCGCTTGCTCAGATACCGCCCCACGCACTTGTGCTTCCCCGCGCCAAACGGGAGGAAGCTCTTACTCTGGGCCAGCCCCGGGTGGTCGAGGAACCGCTCCGGCCGGAAGCGATCCCAGTCCCGTCCGAGCAACGGGTGCGACATGGCGAGCTGCCGGTAGGGCACGAGCAGGTGCGCGCCGGCCTGGAAGGTCCGGCCGCGGATGGTGAGCGGCTGCGCGACGCTGCGCGCGGAGCTGGAGTTCATGGTTAGTCGCTGGGTTTCGTTGTAGAGGGCCGAGAGGAGGGGGTTTTGCTCGAGGCGCTGGGCGAGGGTGGGGAGGGGTTCGTTGGCGGCGGTGCTTTGGGTGACGAGGGTGGTGACTTCGGTGGTGACGCTTTGTAGAAGGGTCTGGTCGGTGCAGATGTGGGCGAGGAGCCAGAAGGGGAGTTTGAAGACGTTGGCGTTGGCGCTGGAGAGTGTGTTAGCTCTGTAAAGAGGGAAAGGGGGGGAGGATGGCGAGATGGTTCAGTGGTACCTACCCCCAGAGAACCATCAGCAGATACGACGCCATATCGTCCTCGCTCAGACCACGGCGTCGCATCTCCGTGATGGAGTTCCTGACAGCCCAGGATTGATCTTGCTGGCTCGATGGCGGCAGACGCATGTAGTCTACCAAGCAGCGCAGCACCCGCGCTCGGGCCACGCGAACCTCTTTCCCGCATGGCCGGGGTAGTTTGAACAGCAGGATCCACAGATCGCTCTCCAGGCACACAAGGTCCTCGACAATGTATGGCGAGAGCTCCCAGATGCCATTGCCAAAGTATGCCGTCGTGACGGCGTGGATGATCGCGGTCTGCGCCCACTGGTACAGCGAGACCGTTCGCTCCCGCCCATCCTCGGAGGCATGAAGCAGGGTTGGCGCTTCGAGGCGTTCCCATCGCATATGGGACTCCAGAACCTCCAAGGAGCGAGCGAGGATCTCCGGGCTTAAAGACTTTTCCAGGAGCTGTTTCCGCATCAGCTCCTCTGCGACCAGAACCAATGGCGGGGCCTTGGGTTCGGAGTCGTGATCCATCTCCGAGATCCCTGATTCCGAACAGCCAAGGCCCATGAGAAGGTTCTTCAGGTGCTCCGTGTGTGTCAGCTGGGACGGTTCCCTGAGCACGGCCGTGGCATCTTGTTCAGATAGGATGAAGTAGATCTTTTGGCCGAAGACATTGATGGCAATTGGTTCTCCGCTGCCCTTGCAGTCCTTGCTATGATGCCATAATCACTTAGGTAATGCTAAGGATAATGCCAAGGTTGGGATGGACAACTCACGTTGCGGATGATAGTAACGCATGGGGGCTCCTTAGCATGGAGACTGCATGGCCTACGCCGAGTCATTAGCGCCGTCAAGAAAGGGTCCGAGCGACCCAAACGCACCAACAACTATGTTACTCTGTCAGCAATGAGGCAGCAGTCACTGTCCGGCACAGGACTCACTCGGAATCAGATAGGGGACTTCTCGCGGCGAGTCAGGGTTGAGCAAGGGACGAACGGTGAACCGCCACAGGCGCCAGATCACGAGAAGTACGACACCACTTCCGACCAGGTGAAGCAGGCTCAATTGATCCTGGATAAACCCAAAATCGGTAAGTACAAACAGCATGATGTAGGTGATACTGAGACGGATACGACAGTCAAAGGGTGGGAGGGTGAGGACACCCCTCGTGAATCCCGTGAGGGTACCCTTATATTGAGCAGCAGGTTTTCCTGATAAGGATGCACGCTACTGCTGCGCTATCACATCGCCAGTGACGTCCTTGGCACGCAGACCAGGATAGGGATTTGAAAGTAAGGAATACAGTACTCGACGCAACGGGCGCAGCCGGTATCTCCTTCTCTCTCACGTCGAGCTGGCCGCGTGCACTATATTAACACGGCCCATTATATGCGGACTATTCCGCCGCCACCGGAGGGGGGCGACTAGCCTTATCTCTTTGACAGAATCCTGCTTCTGATGCGGCTGAGAAAACCCTAGGGGACCAGTCCAGTTATAGTGATCACGGGAGAATGCATGTTTCTGGTGTTATATGGCTTGGCACCAATGAACCGGTTCTGCCATGTGCGTGCATCCTCCCCACGATCGCGAATGAGACCCAACCCCCGAGCGGGGTAGGCCAATACTTAAATCCTGAGCCTCGTATTCTCTGCACGTTGGAATTTAGCGCAGGGTGCCTTAGCGCTTACCCTGAGCCCTTGAGCCATTGACTTTCCCAATCCCAAACCCCTGCAGAACTCGCTGTCCCCGTGCCCAACTTGGCATTAAACCCGGACGGGAGGATGATAGCTTGGTCCATCTGCTCCCACCACCTAGGGCTTCGCATTCATAAGCGTGGAAGTCGCTATGCGTACTTTTCTGGAGCTGAAAATCGTTAGAGGCGTAGACCCCGCAGTAGGAACGGTTTTTATCAGGCCAATGTCCTGAGCAGATGATAGATAGTGAGGTAGTAGTCGCGGAGAGGCGTTGCCTGCTTCTTTTGTAGTCGTAAGCACTGTGCCTTTGGCGGGGTGATGCCGTCTCCCCTCCTCGTGGTTTTGTAGCGGTACACAATTGTCTCGGAATCGGCATGCTGTTCTCGATCATTTTTTCTACAATGGGAGTTGCTTCTCTCGGGAGCGTGCTGCTACTCTTACTCTGCTGTTGGCTGTGTGTTCGCAGATTAAGAGCCAATTCCCAAGAATCGGTACTGCACATCGGTCGCCGACGACGAGAGAGGAACATCGCTGATCCCTTTTCTTAGACACGTCATAATGTTGTCCTTGTCGAGCCTTCCAGCTATATCCTCAAGGTTGTTAGCCAGCTTCAATACCTTTTGAAGGGGCCAGAGATTGTGCAGAAGGCGCACGTAAGTAGTCGAGTTCAGAGAACAACGAGGCAGGAGATGCTGAGACTGCAATGCGCAGATCAAAGATCGTGCCTATGCCGTCCGCACACCAGAAGGATATCAAGTGCAGTTCTCCTCCAGGGAGCACATCAAGCAATTGGTGCAGGCGCCAGACACGTACCTGTCGCTACATGCTCTGGCGAAAGATGTACGTCCCTGTCCTACTTTCTTCCTTTTTCTCGAATTGATTAAATGCCCCCTTTCTAATCCCCATCTCAACAAGAACAGATGTTCCAGCCCAAGTATACCATGAACGGCCTCGAGTACGACGACTGCATGAGCGCGAACGGAACCGTCCATCAGCGAGCCCTGCAAGCGGAGCTGCGATCCCACCTGCCAGCCCTAACCCAGCCGTTGCACAACTGCATAGCCCAAGCGCTCACCGCAGAGATCACAGCCCACAAGCCCCAGTCCGGGGAATGGCGCGCAGTGCCCATCTTCCCGATGGCCAAGCGACTGATTACCGCCGCCAACGCTCTGGTCTTCTTCGGACCCGAGGTCTCAAGCGACCAGGTCTTCCTCGACGCCGCGCTCGAGTACCCCGAACACCTCATGGAAACCGCCGAAGCGCTGCGCCTGCTCCCGGCGTGGGCCGCGCCCTTCGCCGCGCCCTATCTAATGCGCCGCCACCGAGCGCTGAAGATCCTGCTGGACCGTCTCACCCCCGTCGTGGAGGCGCGGATCCGCAACAGCACCACCACCACCACCACTGCCGCCGAACATGCCGACTGCATCCAGTTCTTCGTCAACGCAGCCGCGCGCAAGAACCAGCAGCACGAATGGCCGGCCCAGCGCATCATCCAGGTCCTGCTGGGCGTCTGGTTCGCCTCCGTCCACCAGCCCGCCATGTGCCTCTTCTACGCCCTGGACGACCTCTGCCTGCATCCCGAGTTCACGTCTGCGCTGCGCGACGAGGTCCGCGCCGCTATGCCCGCCGCCACCACCACCCAATACCCCGAAATCAACCCCCCCCACCTCCCCCTCCTCACCAGCTTCCTCAAAGAATCCGCCCGCCTCCACCCAACAGACTCCATCTCGCTGCGCCGCAAGGTCCTCCAGCCGTTTACCTTGAACGACGGAACCACCCTCGCAAAGGACGACGTCGCCTGCATCCCGCTGCGACCCATCCTCCGGGACCCCGAGCTGTACCCGGACCCGCACATCTTCAACCCCTACCGCTTCATCGTGACCAACAACGACGACACCCAAAGGAATCCCGGAAAGCCCGAGGAAGACAACCCCATCCCGACTCCAAAAGCCACGTCCTCCGATTTCACCGACGCAGACGTCACCTTCCCGATCTGGGGCCTGGGCAAACGCGCCTGTCCCGGCCGGTACTACGCGTCGTTGCTGCTGAAGCTGGTGCTCGCGCAGATCCTGCTGCGGTATGATGTGACGATGGGGGCGGCTGCCAACAACGAGCGGAGGTACTTTTACTGGCGGTCCGCGATTGTGCCCAAGGCGGGGGCGGGGCTGTTGTTTCGGGATCGGGGGGCGCTGGCTTTGGAGGAGGTTTGCTAGTTAGGGACATATTGGGTAGGGGCGCGAGTGGTTTCTGGTCGTTCGTGGTCTTCTTTTCGAGGGCTGCTTAGTGGACGGATAGTATGGCAGACGGACAAGAAGGTGGATCTTTAGGGCTGGGAGAATGATATCGTTTGACGGGAGAAAGGGTCCATCGAACTTTTGTATCTTGGTTCCGGTTGGGGATTGGGGCAAAGGCTTGGGGTCATGGAGGTTCGGGGGTTTGATCTGTGGGCGCTGGGTTGTAAGTCAGGGCTGGTAAACTGGCTTAGGGGTTGACTTCGTTAAGGGCAAAGGGAGAGGCACTTGATGTGGACGCACTCGTTCGTTTTCTTTGGGTGTTGCTCGTTGATAGAGATATGAGAAACATGATCATGGGATTGTTATCAACAGGAACAGAGCTTGCTCTTTGTACCCTTCGACATGAAAGAAGATAAGCAGGTGTACGTCAGGGATCGCGGAGAAAAAGACCTGGAGCAGGCTCCTGCAACTGCTTCTGGGTATCTTTGAAGGTAACTCTCAACATTGCGAGCGATACTCTGAGAGATACCCTTCCCCATCTCTCCATTGCAAAGGTAAATTCAGGAACAAAAGGACGCGTATGCTTCAGATCACAGACCAGGGAGTTGAACGGCCGTCGAAGGATCAGGTGTCGAGGCACCGAAGGGAGCTTTCAGTTAGTCAGCGGCAAGAACCCTGACGCCAGATCCATATTCGGCTTGGTGCATGTCATGCAGCCAATCAGGGCATCCTCGAGCGGCCGCTGACTGATGTGAATATGACACGGATCTAGAAACCATGGAAACTATGCAAAAGATTAATCTGGTCGCTTGTTTGATGATCTACCGCCGTGGACGTCCGGTTGAGACTGTGTCTACAATGTTGCGGACAGACGCAGGCTGGCATTTACGAGCTCGACTGTTGAAGACTGTCCAAGGTCAACAGTACTCAAGTTGCGGCTCCTACGATTCTGCCCTTGTTGTTGGAATAGCTGGCTCACAAAGCAAGCAGTAAAATCAAGTCCCATCTCATTGAATTGTCGATGCGCCGGTAGCACTGGTCGCAGCGTATAGGGACCCCTGGCCACCCCACGTGAGGCATTTATGACGCTCCACGAGTGCTCCTAGCCATGATCCATATCATGGAACCATACGAGTCGATTTCCAGGCGGACCGAGATCCGTTGCTCCAGCCATCCCCGAAACACGGAGAGATGAAGGTATGTGTACTTGAAGCTACAGCAAGGTTTCCGTTGAGTTTTCAACATGAACAGCCACTTTCGCTACGTCTCTTGCTGTTTTCTGAGGAGCCAGCCCAGCGACTGACTGCTTCAAGGCCCAACAGCTAGCCTCTCCTAGCGATTAGAGGAAACTCACCATCACCGCACTCAACGTATAGACTCGTAACAACCCGATCATCTAGAGATAAGATGGCTGCACACTATATCCCCAGAAAGCCCACCAGAGTACGTAATCGAAAACTCCATAAGACACCCCTCGCAGGCAAGGCCGACCCACTTGAGACCCCATTGGAGTGACGGCACACCGGGTACGTTTGTTCTAGCCTGCAGCTTACCACTGCCTTATCCGCAAGGTTCCTGAAAAGTGCAGTACGTGCGTAAGGATGTCCCTTGACGGTCTGACGCGTCACCTTCACGACCAGGGCCTTGGAACAGTCTCGTCATGGCGTCTGGACTTTCATGTAACCATCATGACGAACTCCGAAAGCTGTCTACACTCCCTTGATCCTCCATACAGTCAGTTTCTCGTGTCGATGTATGCTCTGACGAGCCTGGTGTTTAGGCAGACAGATTAAGAGAGGACGGCGCGCTAGAGCCGGACGGGAGCACAACGTTCTTTCTCCCGGTGAATCTCCGGGCAAAGGATCCCCTAAAGAGGAATCCGTACACTCTATTTCGAACGTTAAGATTACCTTCTGCATTATGTTGAGATGATGATCTTCGCCACTGCGTATCTTAGCAGCTTGGCAGACACACACGGTGCCCATGTTCATATCCTCGTGTCGGCGACAGCAGCGCTACTCACTTTTTTCAAACCAGCTAGCCAAGACTCAGTGAGTCTAGCAGGCAGACTAACGTTAGAGCTCGTCGTCTACGGGTTAGTACTGGCACAAGCCTACCCCTCAGATAGATGAGACAGAACTCTTACACATCCATCGGTTGGGTGGACTATAGCAGAGCTGACGAAGCCACTTACTCTACGTGCATAAGCGAGATTGACTCGCAGCGTGGGAAAGCTTAGTACTGATTGTCTGAAAGCTGGTGGCTGGGCTCTCCGTGGTTCTCTTATGGCAATGAGAATGAGAATAAATCTTTTGACATTCGAGCTGGGGATTCCACCTGCATGGTAGAACGTGGGGTAGCCTTGTCACCTGGATCTTGCAGATGACGCTCAAGGGTTGCACGCCTCAATCTTTGCCGGGGGCAAGGGATCTCGCCACAGAAACAGGACTCAGCCCGGTGGGTAACTAGACTAGGTTGCAGGATGAAGAAACTTGTCAAGGGCACCTGGCATACCAAAGTGGCTCGGAAGACCCTAATCCAGCGCCAAGCGTGTGCCAAGCATCCCAGATCGGTTATCAGTGGGGCGTGCGGATAAGCTTATTCCCGCCCTAGCATCCTTGCAAAACACCATCAAGTTTGGAGTGGCTTCGAAGACTCGATGCCACCCGAATCGAATTTGAGAACATTTAGCACAGATCTCGATGGTTGTAGCTCTATCAATTTCATATAGGGAATCATATTGTACTTCCAGACTGCTGGGTCACAGCTCAAGACCGCAAGGCCGGAAGGCAAAGAGTGCGAAATTACTCCGGCACTCTCCATCACTGCAATACGCTAGAGGTGCCGTTCACTTGGCAGTAGTGGACTAAGGCTGAAGCAATAGCAGACTCAACATCAGTTTTATCAGGGAACCCTTAGACCCTAAGTGCTGGGGAGGGCCACGCAAGCGGGTGACGAGGGATGAAGGGAACCGGGCAGGGACGTCAAACACAAGTGGGCCCCAAACATGCTTTCCGCCTCCGTTCCAATTCTGGGCCGACTATCCATGGATGATGCTCTTCGGCCATGCAGTGCCTCATACTTGAGACTGCATTTGCTTAAATAGAAGCCATTGCCTCCTCGAGTCGATCTCTTCATCATCCAGCCTCATTCATTCTCTTCTTGAGTCTACCAACCAATCCGGTCATTTCAGCTGCCTACCATGGGCAAGTATTCCCGTGCAGCTGTTGCTGCTCTGGCAGCCGCAACGGCCAACGCTACTTCGCTCTCTGATCTGTGTACTGTGTCCAACGTTCAGTCTGCTCTGCCGTCCAATGGCACCCTTCTGGGCATCAACATGATCCCCTCGTCCGTCACCGCGGGTGTCACCACCTCCAGCAGTGGCATGGGCGGCGGCATGAAGCGAGCGGACAGCTACACCTACTGTAACGTGACTGTCGCTTACACTCACACCGGCAAGGGCGACAAGGTCGTCCTTAAGTACGCGTTCCCCAGCCCGTCTGAGTTCAAGAACCGCTTCTACGTTGCTGGAGGTGGTGGCTTCTCGCTCTCCAGCGACGCGACTGGCGGTCTCGAGTATGGCGCTGCATCGGGTGAGTCGTCATGAACAACAACAATCTTGGTTACTAAGGCATTTTCTAACATGATGAAGGTGCCACTGATGCCGGCTACGACGCTTTCTCCTACAGCTACGATGAGGTTGTGCTGTATGGCAACGGCTCCATCAACTGGGATGCCACCTACATGTTCGGCTACCAGGCCTTGGGTGAAATGACCCAGATCGCCAAGCCCCTCGCCCGAGGCTTCTATGGTCTGGACAGCGACAAGAAGATCTACACTTACTACGAGGGCTGCTCCGACGGTGGTCGTGAGGGTATGAGCCAGGTTCAACGCTGGGGATCCGAATATGATGGTGCCATCACTGGAGCTCCCGGTAAGCCAAACCTTAGGAGACCTCTCTCATCGAACCTCCTCAGTCCCTAACTTGTTTACAACAGCCTTCCGTTTTGCGCAGCAGCAGGTCCACCACGTCTTCTCCTCGGCCGTCGAGCACACCATGGACTACTACCCCGAGCCGTGCATGCTCGACAAGATCGTCAACGCCACCATCGAGGCCTGCGACCCTCTGGACGGCCGTACCGACGGCGTCATCTCCCGTACCGACCTCTGCATGCTGAACTTCAACCTTACCTCCGTCATTGGCGAGTCCTACTACTGCGCCGAGCAGAACTACACCTCTCTGGGCTTCGGCTTCAGCAAGCGCGCTGAGGGCAGCTCAACCAGCTATCAGCCCGCTCAGAACGGCACCGTGACCGCGGAGGGCGTCCAGCTCGCCCAGGCGATCTACGACGGCCTGCACAACAGCCAGGGCGAGCGCGCGTACCTGTCGTGGCAGATCGGCTCCGAGCTGTCGGACGCGACGACCGAGTACAACTCCGACACCGGCGCGTGGGAGCTCGACATCCCGTCCACCGGCGGCGAGTACGTGACCAAGTTCGTGCAGCTCCTCAACATCGACAACCTGTCGAACCTCGACAACGTCACCTACGACACGCTGGTCGGCTGGATGAACACGGGCATGATCCGCTACATCGACAGCCTGCAGACGACGGTGCCCGACCTGACCGAGTTCGAGTCCTCCGGCGGCAAGCTGCTGCACTACCACGGCGAGTCCGACCCGTCGATCCCCGCCGCCTCCTCCGTGCACTACTGGCAGGCCGTCCGCTCCATCATGTACGGCGACCTCAGCTACCAGGAGTCGCTCCAGAAGATGGCCGACTGGTACCAGTTCTACCTGATCCCCGGCGCCGCCCACTGCGGCACCAACTCCCTCCAGCCCGGGCCCTACCCCGAGGACAACATGGAGATTATGATCAACTGGGTCGAGAACGGCGTCAAGCCCTCCCGCCTCAACGCCACCGTCTCCTCCGGCTCCTACGCCGGCGAGACCCAGATGCTCTGCCAGTGGCCCACCCGCCCGCTCTGGTCCAGCAACAGCAGCTTCTCCTGCGTCCACGACCAGAAGTCCATCGACTCGTGGACCTACGAGTTCCCCGCCTTCAAGCTTCCCGTCTACTAAGCGGGCCTTGCCCTGACCTCGTCACTTTAGCCTCTGTGACCGATGATAAGAGCCCTTTCGCTTCTCGCCATCCTGTATCCTAGTATTAGCTTTATACTTTAGCCCTATCATACACTCTTATCTGTACCAGTGACTCGACATTACTGTATATCGAGAGACTACTAGCCTCGCATTCCAGAAAATTCGCAACAAGTCCACCTCAAAAACGTCGCGTAAGATTAATCACTCATACAATATACCGCTCAAGACCAAAAGCTTGCCAAGCACAACCCATCCCCCATTAACTCCCAACCACCACATCTCGCCCCTCCTCGCACCGAGACCTATCTTGGCTTCCCGTAATTCCCCCGAAGAAACGCAGCGCACACGTCACTGCCAAGAACCTCCCTATCCCACCCAGACATCTCTATTCAATCTAAGGTCCTCTGGAACCCTGAAGCCCCCAGAAACATGCCACAGGCCCCATCGGGGTCCGACCCCCTACTCAAAGGCAAGCACCCCTTCCGGCCAGCAGGGGGAAAAAAAAGAATTCGAGTCCGCGATTGCCATTCAGTAGACCCAGCCCCAACAGAATCAGAAACATAACGGAGGCCCTCGAATGCGTAACCCTCACCACTGATCGGCAGGAACCACTCCCTTGGGGTTAGGGATCCACGTAATCCTTTAATCCTTCATAGAAATTTTAGGGATTTTTTAAGGGCACCGGAATCGGGAGTGGGGCTAGACGGCGGATGGTGATTCGTGGGCGGGAAAATAGGGTGGGATTCCACATCGGAGGTCGGGGGTGTTTGGACCGGTGACCTCCGGGGTTGTGATACGCAGTTCAATCGCATTCCATACTTTTGTTGGAAAGGGTTTTTGGGGTGTTGGAGCGGGTGTGGCTGGATTTCAGTGTCGGGACTGTGGATATATCATGGTGAGATGATAGAGGGTGTAATTTTTGTATGCTGGTAAGTCTATGGGAAGGGGGGATTGGGTGTAGAGTGAGATATATATCCCGTCTTCGGGTCAGTGTCAGGCTGAAGCACGTGGTCGATTTTATCGATGCATCTTCAGATATGGTTAGTTAGTCTATACTTTGGCCCAGGGATAGATCGGTGTTGATGCAAAGAATAGATGAATCGCGTTCTGGAGAGGGGTTTCATGGCTACTTCGAGCCAATCCACGTCGAATGTCCACGCACAGCGGGCTATGAGATCATCGGTTGTGTCGAGGACGATTCTAGTGTAATTTTTTAAGAAAAGAATATAGACACCACAAGCTGGGCACCATACATCAAGCACGTCTTGGTGGCGCAATTGGTTAGCGCGTACGACTGTTAATCGTGAGGTTGAGAGTTCGATCCTCTCCTAGGACGTCATTTCTTTTTTTCCGCGAGTTTTTTGTTCTCTCGGCCTGGCGCCCTTATCACTGCAAGACGGAATGCGACCGCCATGTGATCCGGCGACTCACTAGTCTAATTGTCTGGTTATCTAGTGATGTCATGGACCAGCATATCACTGTGACGCTGGGAGAACTATTGACATCTGCGTGTCAGGAACTTGAATACCTCAAGAGTGGAGGAGGTGGAGGAAGAGAAGCGAATTAGTCTTCTTTTGAGAAACTCGAGGACTAGGTCAGTGGGTATAAAATCGGAACCTAGTGCAGAAGCGAGAGATCGAGATCCCCTGTTAGTTTGATCTGACTGGGCCAGAAGATGCAGTCGGTGTACGTTTCGTCGCATCCTTGTACCAAGTAACTAAGAAGAACACCTCAAGTACTAGGAAAAACATGAAGAAAATACTGCGTATTGTAGCGGCCTGATGCAGCCGACACCCTTCCCCCAAAAAAGCATACACGCCGGTAATCATTACATTCGCACGTGAAAAATCATCATAAACAACGTCCGACGCTCATAACATGAAGTACCCAAGCCTGGCTATGCCACAGGCTTTCCCTTCCCTAAAAGCTCAACCTGATCCTGCAGAAAGGACAACGTCACCCTCGTCTCATTTCCTTTTTCGATCGTATACTTCGACACGCCCGCACTGAACTCGATACTCCCGACATCAGGTGCCATGGCAATGCGCCACGCCAGCAGATACCCCGCCACATTCCAGGCCACCTCTTCCGCGACATTGGCAAACGTGGAGGCATGGAAGTCCCCGGTCTTGTTGCGTCGTTGGTTGAAGTTCTCGGTGTATGTTTCCACCCACGCGTCGTAGTGCTCGAAGACGGACGGAGGGTAGACGGGAGAGCAGAGAATTTCTTCCGCCTCCAGCATGCAGTCGCCTTCCTCGCCCCGCAGGTCGTCGAAATCCCGCCAGATGAAGTCCGTACCCCAGTCAGCGAAGATCCGATAGTGTCGAGGCGGCTCTGATATTGAGGATTCCTCGTTCGGCGTCACCAGAGGCTCGCGAGTTGAGATCTCGACGATGACTGGACTTGATGAGGACGACTGCTCTTCCTTTGCATTCTTAATTTTGACGATCAAGTCAAAATTGGTTTCCACGAGAATGGACGTTGCATCTGATTCAGGCAGAGGTTCTTCGGCGAGGCTGCGCCATGCATCCCCAAGGTTTCTGATCGTTTTGATGTAACGTTGAGACTGCGACTGTTTGCAAAATATTGCCAGAGGCTTGACGAGACTGGAAGCCATGATTGCAGAAGATAGCACTTATGTGCTTCTGAATTTCTCATGTGGTGATTCTACCTGCGCTTCGGAGAAAGCTGTCCAGGGGCTGTTATAAGAAGGTTGGTGTGAGCGCAGCTTCGTTGCTAAGTACATCATGCTCGCTGCCCCTCTCCAACGGCGCCTAACGAGAACTAGCTCCTGCATGTCGATTAGTCAGCTACACTAGCTAGTTACGGAGACTTTCTCTAAGGTAAAATTCTAAAGATAAATAATGAAATACTCCAATCGCTCACTGAGCGCCTATTCCTTGTTGCGTTAATATTCATTGGCCCTTAATGATAGGTCGTGGACAGACGCCTAGTTCGGGGCGCCCGAGATGAGCCCCTAGATGTCATCGCTAGCCGCCAGCCCTCTCTTGGTCTCATTGTTACTTGGCGATTAGCAGGGAAACTCACCATGAGCCCACTTACCATTTTTAACAAGGATATAGGACCGATGAATCTGGTACGAAGTTCTCCACCAACCGTTTTTGTTATCGAGATCTCAGACCTAGGGAAACTGCTGCGGCGCAATCATTGCCCGCGCGACAGTTCATACAGGAACGATGGCTAGATGGTGCATGCATGCTGTACTATGCAAATCGCTCTGTCACATCGTTCGCGCCGCTTGCTTCGCAGGGATATGACCGGCGTCAATTGTTTCGACCAACACAAACAATGCGCACCATTGGTCGCTCTTGTTTGCTTCCAGCGCATGGTAAGTCTTCAAGGGACATGGACTAGACATCCAGGAGCGATATAAAAATGTGCAACATACCTCCAGAAAACAGATGCAGCTCAATTGCAATAGCTCATCGCACAGAATCACATTTGATAGCACTCAGTGCACTTTTCATTAAAGCCCTTCATCAGAATCGAACCCTCCAACCAAGGCAAAATGCTATCAAGAACCTCCTCACAGCAATCCGGTGTCACAGAGTTGCCGATTCCGGATGAATGGAAGACGCTTCTCCGAGGTCTCCTAGAGAAGGGCATTAAAGTTACTGTTCAAGACGTGCAACGTGTCTGGCAGCTTGCGGTCGGCCGTGCCAACCAGATCGAGGGCCTTACCTCTCGGACCCTTTGGATGTGAGTTATTCTGGAACATCTATCTCAGCTCAGTGATGTTCTTCCTGTGTCTGATCTCTTGCTTGGCAGTGAGACTGGTAAGGCAGGGCCCGGCGGTTCCGGCATTCAGCATATCCTGGAACAACACAGCAAAGAGTTCTCGAAGTACGAGCCCCAGCGGCTTCTCGAACTCGCCGAGGTGTCTACATCCGTTGGGCTGCGAGTCGGAAGTGAAGGAAAAGGGACTCGAACACGCCCGGTCTTTGGTCTGTTCTTCTATGGGGAGCCCGTCGCCATCGCCGTCCAGGTTGGCAGCAATGGCTTTATCGTTTCGATGAATCCCGTAACTCTCGCAAAGGTGGTCAAGAAAAACCCACACCATGGGTCGGTCAATGAGTTAGTTGCTATCCTGCAAAGGTCTCACAGTTGGCCTATTGTATAGGGGTTATGCTTGGTAAGGATGGTTGCAGGCGCGTCGAGCCTTTGGCATATATACATTCAGTGACCGTTTCTCCGTTGTACATGCTATATGTTGGCTTTCTTTTGTCTGTTTGGGTTTTCGTTTCTCTGCTCCGTTGACTTTTGTTCGTTTTACATCTACATTTTGTGGCATGCGCTGGTACTTTTACCTATTTATAAGGGTTTATTTACGATCGAACTGATATTGTGGGTCAATTTTTGGACCTTGTATCTTATTTATAACTTTTGAAGATGACCTTTCCAGATACAAGCGTTCGATGCATTTATCCAGAGACTAGATAAAAACAAGCCTAGAATATTACGAACATATTTCCGCAAAATTCAGGGGGGCTGAAGGGCAGAAAGGCATTTGATTGGGTCTGAGGTGACGTATCAGCAAATTGAAGACTCCAAGGTGAATTAACTAGAAAGGCTGTACTGTGAACGTGTTGTGATCTGGATCTCAGAAAATAGCATGTTTTCATAAAATGGAAGAGATACTATTCAAGAATCTTTGCCGCAGATTAGCGGTTCAACTTATTGCACACAGCCTAGCTTTCTTTTCTCCTGGGTAGTACCGCAATCATGCATTGCAAGTGCTACTCGGGGTGAGACCCAATGAGCTGGGAAGAATATCAATCCAAGTCAGCGGAGCGTGTTCGCCCTCGCCAGGTGATCTATACTCTATCCCAGGTTTCTGATGGCTTTGATGCAGAGTTGCGACTGCGGCTGGCGGGAGAATACGGCCAGTGGTTTGAGGAGGTCGGAGGGCATGGTGGCGTACTCTGCAGCTGGGGGAGATGTTCTCACTACGTAATGGGGAGGTTGATGAGGTTGCTGAAGAAGAGGGGTTGAGGTAGGACAGAGCGCGTGGTTGCACAATCGTGCGTATAGCCCCTCTTTAAGCGCTTAGGTTGACTCAACAAAGAATGGTTAGTAAGCCCATCCAAGTACTGTACAGACATGAACACAGTAGCATCTGAATGAGATGTACGTCAATAACCATAATGATGAACAGGAGGGAATAAACCTCGTGACTCTCCGTTTAAAAAGAAATGTCTTACTTTTGGCAAGCCATCGCTGAACGGGTCTATGTCCCCTGGATGCCAGCATCCGGCTGGAGCAGCAAAGAAGCTCGGCACTGCTTCTGCCGTGTCTTCGGCCTTTCCAAGGCTTTGTTGAGACGCTCACCTGGCATTAATTACATTTAAAGACTGCCTAGATACCGTTCATCCCTCTAAACAGTCTATGATTTGGCTAAACCTGTCTGCAGTAGGCAATGGCAGAGGCCCAGGCAAAGGGAGGGAAAGGAGGAGGGTAAGGAAAACCCAATGCTTCTTGTCCAGCACAGGAAGAGAGCGACCGCGGCGGCCAAAATGATACCACCGGTTTCGGATATTCACGGGCCACTGAAAGGGTGTGGCTAAAACAGTAAACTGGCTGCATCATCTGAATAGGAGCTGGATGTCTTGCTAGGAGAACGCAAAGTGGAATCGCCATGTTTAAGGCTCTTTTGCACAGCCCCAACCACCGTCAAAAGCCTGGAATCCGACCATAATCACGCGTTTCAGGCGCTACTCGGTGTAAGTCCCAATGAGCTGGGGAAAATATCAATCCAAGACAGCGAAGTGTGTTCGTCTTGGCAGGTGATCTCTCCCCCATCCCGTGTTTCGGGGCTTTGATAATCACGTGTCTCAGTACGAGAGCCAGGTCTGCGACAACAGAGGAGAAGAACCGAGACACGGAGCGAGAAACACGAAGAAGACAAAGAAAGCAAGCCACTTCACTAAAAACAGAAATCAAGCCAAGTGCGGCGAAAGGAGGCTCCTTTCCCATAACCACCTAAATATCTTCGGCTCTCCGTGTATCGCATGGTCGGCAAGACGCTGGCGCTGCACATGAGAACTATCACAGGCTCTATAACCAACTGCCGTTGCCGATGTTTACGCCTTTATGACTTGTCACTCCGATCGTCAAAAAGTTCTACGGATAGTGATACAGTCAAAAGGCTTGCGCCATAAACTATGTCTGATGCTGAAATGATATCCAGAGACAAGACCAATACCCCGCCGATTTCACTTCTTGTAGAGCAATGAGTCTGCTATATACCGGTGAAGAAAACATCTCCACTCACGGAACAAAGAGTTGCATGCCCATCCTGCTTTGTAGACGGTACCCACGAGCACAAAATGTAAGGGAGCCAGCGATCCAGCACTGTCAAACCACATTACACTTCAACCTTTCACAAACACCGCACCAGCCGGCTTTCGCTGAGCTCTTTTGCACCTGCCCTATCCTGACATCTCCCTCCTCTTCACCATCCGCCTTGCTGTGTCTCTCCATCTTACTCAGAGACGTCCCTCCACCCCTGGTTGAACCTCGACCCTCGTATCGAAACTGCCCCGTGTCAGACTCGCTCAGTGCCGTCGCCACCGCAGTGATGAGTTGGGGCTCGAATCCGTTGAGTCTACGAGAACAGTGTGGCGTGAACGGGTTCGTCAGCTCTGGTCAAACACGTCCGGCCAGCCCTTAGTAGCACACCGACTGCACCTCGGAGAGGTCATCACTCCAGGATTTCCAGTCCGATCCCAGACTGATGACCTCGTCGTCAGTCAACCCGCGACGGGCATTGGCGGCTTCTTCGAACTCGTCAGGGGTCCGGACCCCTCCACCTAAGGCGAGCTCGAAGATATCCAAGATCGCCGAGTCCGGGTCGGTGACTACCCCGTAGATCGTACTGCCCAGGGCGCCCGCGTCCCCAATGAGCGACATCATGTCGGCCAGCTGCTCCAACCCGTCCGAAATGAGCCGGACCTCTCCCAAGAAGGGGACAATCATGAGGACGCCAAAGATGATCTCTTCGATCATAGCCTTCTTCTCTTCCGCCGACGCCTTGTCGGCGACCTCGACCACCACGCCCATGTTGGCTACGGCCTGCGCCAGCGTGAAGACGACGGTCGAGATGGTGAGGAGCACGTTCTCCATGCTGCCTCCGTAGGCGCCCGTCGCCGCCAGGATCTGGGTTAGGAGAATCGTCTCGGTGAGGTTCTGGATCCCCGGCAGTGCATCCTCGATGATCGTCTGCGGGTTGGTCACGTTGATGGTATCCGCCGGCAGAGGGTAGCCCTTCAGCACGCCCCGGTTGGGCTGGCAGGTCTTGCCGGACCCCACGCCGCAGCTCGACCCGACGTTCTCGTCCCCGAACTGAACCCAGTCCTCCTGGATCCCGGTAGTAGCGCTGAGGTTGGCCCAGAAGGCGGTGGCGTTGACGAGGTTGTAGTAGATCTCGTAGCCGTTGTAGACCTGCTCCGAGTCGAACGGACAGCTGGTCGTGGATGTGTTGACGCCGCCGTCGCTAAAGGTACACGTGAAGAAAGCATTACCCGCTCCTCCGGGGTTCATGTACGCCGTCAGCGCACCCGGAACCTCCTCGCGGATGTGTTTCTGGTACTCGGTGAACTTGCCGCCGTAGCTGGAGAGGATATCCGTGTAGTTGGTCATCGTCGCGTTGAGCATATCGGCAAGAATGCCCAGGGCATAGTGGTTCACACAGAAGTCCTCCAGGGAGCTTGAGGAAAAGCTCAGGCTTGCAAAGCTGTCGAACGTCAGGGTGTAATCGCAGGTCTCGATGTTCTGCAGGCAGCTGGAAGTGGAGTCGACGGATTCATCATCATCCGTGCAAACCAAGTCGCTGGCATCGTCCCCGCCGACGTCATCCGAGCAGACGGGTGATGGGCAGTAGCCTCGCTCGCAGGCAAAGTCACACAGGCCGCTATCTGGGTAAACATCGGTGGTGTAACCATAGATGGTCGTATTTGCGGCCGGCGGCACATTCAGCGGACCGGTGGCGGTACACGTGCAGTTGTTGATCGGACAGAAGCCGTAGCCACAGCCATAGCTGCATAGACCCGCCAGGTCACCCGTTCCTTCTCCAGCAGTACAGGTGCTCGGAGTGAAGGGCGACACCATCGACGTCGTAAGAGGGACTTGGGTCGTGGTACAGGCTGACGGAGGACAGTATCCGTAGTTGCATGAGAAAGCACAGAGACCTGTGTAGTCGGCCGTCATCCCAGCAGCTGGGTAGCCAACTACCCCCAAGCTCTTTGGTAAATCCGCCTGAGGGCCTATTTTTTGGCTTAAGCAGGCGCCGACGGGGCAGTACCCCAGCTTGCAAGCAAAGGCGCAAAGGCCTTCGAAGTTACCGACCCCCCAGCCCTGGACGCAGACCTGGTCCGCGAGTGAATAAGTCGGAGTGGCTGAGGTCAGGGTAGGCGCCATAGCACTGCCTACCCAGGCGTTCCAGTTCTCAATGTCGCTGGATGCGGCACAGCCGGTGACAATATCTGGGCCTGTAAAGCTCGCAATGATAGCACCGTCTCGACTGATCGCCACCTCCACGGTTCCCGCCTGAACCGAGAATGCCGCACTGCCATGGTAGAGACCTGCGCCTCCACTTAGAGTGCTGTTCCACGCCGCCTCCAAAGAAACATCCCCGACTGTTACCGAGACGTCTGCTGACGAACCTAGTAGGGCGGAAAAGAATACCCGGTCTTGAGGAATCTCGTACGGCCAATACTCCAGCTGCAGCTCGCTGGCAGTATTACCGGTGGTCCCGCTGTCCGAGGCGCAGCTCCCACGAACATTCAGTCGATACCATGCTTGAACACCTTCCTGCGTGATAGTCGAGATATTGTTTTTGTAGGTATCGGTAAGCCAGGGGAGAAAAGCTCGCCAGCCATCATGGGGCATATTCAATGCATAGTTGTACGGGGATTCACCGGTCCCAAACGCGGTATACGTGGATTCAGCCAACGGAGAATCACTGTCCTGGATCGGGCCAATATAATGAGACTCCCCAAAATCATTCCAGGAGATAATCTCAATAAAGTCAGGCGCCAAATACATGGCCTGGACCCAACGATCATACCAAAGATCATCACCACGCCACAGCCAGTTCTTGTCGTATCCGGGCATGTTCGTGAAAAACCACGGAGATACCGGCATCATGTACGATTTACCATCCAGGAAGTCGATATAAGAAGCATCCACATAGGTGTTCATATCACTTGGACCGTACGGCCATGCCGCCCAACTAAACAGACCGTCGGCCACTCCACTGCCTAGATTCACGGCAACGTCCGCTCCAACAGAGGACCAGTCGGGGAGAAAGAAACACCCGGTCTCTTCCTTGATATCAATCCAATCGTCTGCATTGTCGGGGCCTTCAAAGGTAGAGACAAAGGGCTTCGATTCATAATGCCAGTATGCTCCGTCAGAGGTGTAAGTCTGCAGCATAGTGAGTACATCAGCCTTAGCCCATGGCCCGTTGCCTGCGTAATCAAACGAGAAGAAGAGCGACAGCCCGGTATTGCCAGCGGCAGCGAAGGCGTTCTCGAGTGATTGAGTATTTGTGGCGTCGCCCACGGCCATATTCAAGGCGAATGCATCGATCTTAGCGTCGAGCGCAAGTGTCATCTCATTTTCCCAATCACTAACTGTGTAGTTCAGGGTATTGGACACCTTTCCGGCCTGTTAGTGCAAAACCCTTCTGCCAGACTGCCAAAATAAGAGACCTACCATGAAATGGGCGAAAACTGCCCGACAATGGGCTCGGGCGGCTAAGAGGACGAGCGACAGAATCACTGGGAGGAAAGACCCCATGGTGATAGAGGCAACTGTCTGCCAGGCTAGCCTGTGCACAAAAGGAAGTCTGAAAGAGGGAAATGTTTAATTCAAGGACTAGAAGTAGATTTTAGTGAACGAATGAAACTTCTTGGTATGTAAACGAATGAATCGGGAGTTAGAGAAGCGAGCGTTAGGCAGGTGAGATGAGTGATTTTGTCATAACATGGCTTCGGCAAGAGATTTCTAGCATTTACTTATATATAGATCAAGTCTGTCTCCTATGGTCGGGCTCTACGGAAAACCCCGACAGGCATAGCACTACCATCATTGATCTTTTTTAGATGATGGCGAGTGAGGACTAGCTAGATAGGCCTTTGGGCTCGCGACATGAGGGAATATTTGCCGCAAGTCCGTCGGTCCACACTGAATTCCCCACCACGAGTGTTGCAGTCGATAGTCTATGTTCTAGTAGCCGTGCTACTAGTGCTAGTACTGCTCCCTTCAACAATTGAAATTAATGTCTCCTGTAGCCACGGACTTGGTTCCTTTTTCTTGATTGAGGCTCCATGGACTAGTAGCACGCCGGCGCTCAAATCGGCTTTACGCACCAATAACGGATTCTGGTCGCAAATGTCTAAATCGACCATGACTGAGCTCCATCCTCCCTCTGAGGGAGAGAAAAATATGACCCGAAGATAAATAGGCATCGCTGATAGCTTTCTCGGTATGATGCTCTGCCTTAGTTTATTTCCTGCCTTATCGTCTAGCAAGAAGCTGATTTTAATTCTACGATTGCACTGGAACGAATACTCCCCGACCCTTCTTCCTCTTTTGAAGCTACCTAAAATGAAGTTAATCTTTTCTATATTTATTCTGGGTGCTTCCATCAACCTTGCACATTGTTCCGGGTTCACCGGACCTTTTGAAGCCATCTTCTTTTACTACGCCTACCAAATCGATGCTGCTGCCGCTGCCAGAGCGGCCGCAGACGGCGTGCCATATGAGGCTACCATTGGGGGTGATTGCATCAATAAAGACTGCACCCTGCTGGAGTTTATCGAAAAGATTATGAACCCTTATCTGCTGAAAAAGCTCACGCCCACAACTCGCGGGGCGACTACCAGCCCCAACGTTTATGACACAGCCCTAGATATTGACCGAGCCTGGAATTACGACGGCTCTTTCTTGCAAAAAGACGTGATAATCAAGAACGGGGAAGGCAACATGGGACAGCTAATCACCGCGGTCGTTAACAAAATACAAACTGCTCGAGCGGTTGTACCATCCGCGGACTTGGTGGCCAAAGCAACGGTGGCCTTGAAATGGGCACAGGCTGTTCGGCTCACTGAGCTGGTCATCCAAGGAGAGGCAGGACTGATCGGCTACAAAGCGGAAGCCTTTGCGAAGAAGTACCCGTCCATTACCCTGGATATCACCCAACGAATATTGGACGAAGATAGAACCGTGTCGCCATCACTACACATTGTGTACACGGATCTGGACTATGCCAGCATGGCATTGCAGACAGCAACCGGAGACTTGGCGGGAGTTGGTGACACGTACAGGGAATTTCTGCGCTGGGCGCAGGCCGTGCCTGGGAACAGTCGATATCGATCACATCAAGCACTTGCAGACCTGTATAAGCGGTCGGTGGCATCGCTCGAAGCAGGCTGTTCATGAGTCCATAGCCCGAGTACTCGAGAGACCGCTTCATCTACTAGCTTCTGTCCTGGTTCTTTTTCCCTGTCCCAAGTTCCCCCTTATTTTCTTCATCCAAATCTTCTGTCTCTTGGCCTGCTCTCTCTGCAGTTGTTTCCTTTCGATTGGCACAAAACTTTTACTTCATGTAAACCAAATTTTCAGGGTCATAAAGTTAGATTAGTCATGGAAAACTGGGTGAGATAGCGGAGGGTAAACTGTATGGACTTTTCGATGTCCGGTGACCGTGGCTCTTGGCAGTGTACGTAGGCAATGGATGGAAAATAATAGTGGAATCAAGTCCAATACTCAAACATCGCGACGATTTGTAGAAACTGAAGAGCTAGACCAGGTTGGAATGGGTGGTATTGTACGGTACCTTAATCGCCAGAAGTCAGGGTGTGCTAGGTTACAGCTAGTGCCGAGAAACCGTACTGTTAATTCAGGACTGGCCAGCTGTTCGTTTTCCACGGAAGTATAGGGGTAATGTCTCAGTTTTCACCCCAATCTATGCCTGTATTGGTTTGCGGACATGAGTGCTGGCATAGTTCCAGTAGTGCTCGGTAAGCCTTATAGATCTAGTCTAGTATACAGAGTCTACGGTGGGGTAGAACACGAGGGACCCCGACTGCGGGGGTCTTATTGCGAGGTAATGCATCCTACTAGTAAGTAGATTAGGGTTAGGTATATTAGATTCTCGTCTGGATCCGGAATAGCGTCTCTTTGCCGCAATTCCACGCGAGCTCGGTAAAAAGGGGTAGTTATAATAGTGGTAGAACTGTTGCTTTCATTAGCAGCATCCAATCTCGTCAAATGCTTACCAATAGCATAATCTACCTAGTGTCTGCCTGTGGTGAAATTGCCGGAAGATCAACGAAACCCTTGTCTCAAGTCCGCTGAGTAAGGTTGCTTCAAAATGTGCAGCCGTCGAAGGACCCTGGGAAAGTCAAGTAATTTAGAAGTGCGGTGCATCGACAACCGGAGATCAACATTCCAAGCCCTTCAGGTATGCACCCTATCCCGAGATCTCCGAATTTTCTGTAGAGACAAGCCTTTCAGGGAGGACATCTAAAGAACCGAGCAGTGGACCCTGGTGAGTTCTTACCTAAAACAAGCTCATAAAAAAACTCTTATCAGCAAGGTGAACGGACGTGGTGGTTGGGGCCCTGCCCCACCAGGGACTGTAAAATAGGCGACTATGCGGAATTTGTAGGCCATTCCGGCAAACTATTGTTTGCGTTAATTAAAAGCACATGCCTCATATCTATTACCATGACACAAGAGTCTAGACAATTTTCCTATCCAGCGATGACCTCGGAGATTATTCTGTGCTAGTGCCAAAGTCCAACAAACACCCCCTGAATAGTCACTCTGATAGTTCCCTACGGGACTAATTTTACCATGACCGACGAACCCTCATGCCCGAGACGATATACCTAAATGAGATAAAGGGGCCATGTATCTCAGCATTGAAGCACCGGAGGGCCCTGAATAGCCCAAGATGTTGTTGTCTCACTCTACCTTCCTGGGTGTCTTTGCTCTCACTGCGACTACGATCGCAAGTACCGCTTGTCTAGATAACCCCGTCCATGATACCATCGCCTTCTTCAGTGGAACCGCTCTGACGTTCGGCTCCAACTATACCAATGCAGCAGACTGTGGCCACAAATGCTCAATACTTCCTGCATGTCAAACCTGGCTCTTCACCAGTGGTGGGCAATGTGAACTTTTTCGCCACTCTCCGGTTGCAACAGCACCCAATCCCAATTTCACCTATGGTTTGTGCGGTCAGGGGAGCAGTCCTTCCCCAAGCGTTCGGCCTCCACTCATGCCATCTTCTTCCTACCTGATTCACCAGACTGCAGCATCTTCGCACACTCCTAATATGGTAGGTCTCTACATAATACATGACTGGTTCTCCCAGCTCTGATTGCTCGTTTGTTGTGATTTCACTGACCCTTTCACTCGGCTCAGATCCCAGTTAATCTCGCTAGCAAACGGCATCTTCAATTCCACAAAGACGGTAGCCATCACCACCATCATTGAAAGACGAAGTCGAGGCAGAATCGCGAAGGGAGAGTTTGAGGTGGCAGGCGATGCTCGAGCTCAAGTTTCTGAATCTTTCCCCTGTTATTTCAGCGTTCTTGCCTCTCTGTGATACCTCAAAGTCCCACTTGTTGCTCTTGTTCTTTCTGTTATCCAGGCGACAGCTATTTTTCAACCCTCTCATTTACGTATGCTCAAAGCTCAAACAATATGTTAACGCTGATAATCATTCTGATATCTGACCAACTGTGATGCAAAGGAAAAGACCTAAAAAGACGTGCTACGAAATGAGCATGAGTAAAAGATAATCTTGGACATGGAACAAGGCCGGCCATTGCGCAACGGGCACCTAAATAGGCTAACCCGTTAGAGATTACCCCCTTTCTTTAGTGATTTAAGGACAGAACATCCTATATATTCTTGAAGTACGGCGGATGTATTCCTTCCTTCTTCAGTCCCCTCCACCCCCTCGGCTCAGCAGGGGACAGACATGCAATAACACAAAGCAGAACTCGATCTCCAGCTACCAAATAACCAAATATGAGCGACCAAACAGAACGACCCTTGCAATTTGATAACACTGGCTCATGTCCACTTCGAGTGCCAGGATTCCGCGAGATTCCCCTGGACTATGAGTTCGATATCAACCAACGCTTTGCGCATGGAGCACGCGAGCATTACTCAAGAAGAGCCATCAGGCTCACCGCACCTGAGGTCCAGATGTTGCGACTCATGGAACGGATTACAGACATTCCGAACTGGGAACACGATGTGTTTGACGAACAAAGTCTTGCCCAGTGGCGTGCACAGGCATCTTCATCTTACGCGAGCCTTGACTCGAACTCAGATCAGGACGTGGACATGGACCTGATCACGACAAGGGCATGGCTCTGGTGTGTAGCAGAGCTTCAGGATAAGGCTAAGGGCTTCCGGGACACCGGACATGTCATCGTTCTCAATGCCGACTCCGGCGTAGGCAAACGCGACGACCAGGCTCTGAGGGATGAGCTCCAAGAAGCTTTACGTCCCCTTCTGACAACAACGAAGGGTAGTGGCGCTCACGATCTAGTAGACCCGTCGCTACACATGCTGGTCTATGGTAGAACGACAGTCCTCAGCGATGGTGGATGGGTTCCTCCTCCCGCCACGGACGGCTCAGTCTCCCAGTTGTATTGCCCTTCCACCGACCCGAGGCAGGCCACAGCACCTGTGCAGGATCCCTCCAGGAGCAGAACGGCCCTGATTCCCCGAGAACTCTTTTATCTCCAGGATAACCGCAAGTTGCAACAGGTTTCCTTTCGCTTCCAATGGCTACCTTGCGAGGTGGAGTTTGCGGAGCCGTCGGGGACGGCAGTACGGATCACCTCGTATATCAACAATCTCCACCCAAGCCATACTCAGGCCTATTCTGCAATCGAGAAACTTATTTCTTATGCAATAGGATCGTGGAATAAGGTCCTAGTCAAAGGCACTGGCGGGCGCATGCCTCGGCGTATCTATACCTATGGCGTGACTGACCGAGAAGAAGAATGTCTTATGGATGTAGAACCGCCGGAGGACATTCTCCCAGTTGTGTGGAATCAAGAGATTACTCGACGCGCCTGGTCTCCTGAGCAATGGGAGAGTTACTGCACCAAGGTGCGAGAGTATTTGATATTGCCTGATGTGGATCCCAAGTACCGTGTCTTCGCACCCGAGCCCGGGGATCCCCCTGAGACGGAGGATCTTCTGGCTTGGATGACGCCGGAGATGTGGGCGTCCCCTGCACACGTTGAGGAGATTATCCGGGCAAAGTTCAGGCGACTGCATCGGTTCTCATACCCCGAGCCCGGGATTTCCTATACGTATGAAGACTGGAAAAGAGGCCAGACCGCGAACCCGATCTTCGGGCCATGGCTATGGGACCACAAGTTCGACTCGCCTCGAAATCACGACTACTATTCGGTGTCGCTCGAAGATCAGTTCCGCAAACAGGGGCTGCAGGTGATTGTTCAAGTCTTCAGCATCGATCTGACGCCCGAGGACTGTGGTGATGATGGGGCCCATGTATACCCCGGAGATCCAGAATTCCACGTGGACGGGATGCTCAACGAGCATATTGTCGCCACCGCACACTTCTGCTATAGCGCGGAAAACATCACAGAATCCCGCATCTCTTACCAACAACGGGACTGTTTGCACATATCCGGCCATCAACCGGACCCCTTCTGCATCTACAAACTCTACGGAATCCCTCCCTCTCCGGGACCGGGCGAAGACCCAAACGCTCTGCCGCTGCAAACGCTAGGGTCCGTCGCCGTCACTCAAGGTCGTTTTCTCATGTGGCCCAATGCCTTGCGATACAAGAGGCTTCCGTTCTCCTTGCTCGACCCGAGCCGCCCGGGCCATCAGCGGTGCGTCGTCCTGTGGCTGGTGGATCCCCACTATCGCATCTGCTCGACTCGGAATGTGCCCCCGCAGCAGCATGATTGGTGGCGCAATGCGGTATTGGCGAAGGTAAGCACGACTCCGCTCTCGACTCTCCCCCCGGAGTTGATGGACATGGTCATGGAGGAAACAGGACCCTGGCCAATGCATCTTGCGGAAGCTTTGCAGTACAAAAAAGAGTCCGAAAAGGAGCGAGAGGAAGCCGTCCCGCATCAGCTTTCGCATATACAAACCTACGGTTTCTGGTGGGAACTGAGTTAGTGCTGAGCAGAGGGCTGTACATCACAGTATGATACCTTTCAGATCTCGGTATTTTGCTTGTTCGGCTGTCTGTTGATAAGAAGTCCTGGTTATCTATAATATTCAGGGTTTTGGTGAACATAGATTGCGCCAGGGATGAATTGACTCTCATAGAACTCAGAATCTTTTTGAGATGACGTGAAAACCATGGGATTCGCGCAAGTTTTACCGAGAATGAACAGAGCTCTCAGTTTTTAGACTTCTTTTCTTTCTCGGACCTTCCAAGTAGAACTCTTTCGCCTGGATAATACCTGTCACGAGACTGAGCAGTGGAACCAGCCTCGCTCTGATATCTTCAAGACCTTAGCCCCCTTCTGGAGCTTCCACAATGCAGCCCTTGGGGCGAGAGATGCCATCTCCTATACCTGAAAATCAATTGAACCTTGCCAAGTGGACCATAGTAGCTCACAGCAGTTGTAGAGACTGCCTATAACTTGCTATAGGTATCTCATCTCCAAAAGATCTTCACTTGATTCTAGACCATAGCATGCAGAGTTAGAGTACGGGCTACCTTCCTGATATTTCAAACCAGAGTGTGGTGGCACATACTAGGGATCCAACCTCCGTCCCGGTACCCCACTCGGGAACTCGGATGGTCGGAAGTAGCCGCAGTCCGGAGCGGTGGGGACGGAACCAGGGTCTTCCGACAGGTTATCTGATATCTACAGTACACCCACCCTGCCCCGGCTTCCTGCCGGCATTTGGCATTCCTAAGGCGCAGAATTGCCAGAGTAGAGTGGAGAAGTCTGCCGGCGTGCATCGGCAAAACACTTCCTCATCAACCTGACCCTCAAGTTGCAATCATGCGTTGTGACCTCCCTTCTCTGTCTCTATCTCTACCCCTTCTTCATGGCCACATTCGTCCAATTTACTAAGAAACCTGGTTTAAGATACTCTCAGCAATGGCATCAGCTGTCCTCATAGGTTGTACCGGACTAGTGGTAAGCCCCGACCATGCTCTCCTGGCTATTTTAGCATCATATCCTGGTACAGAATACCGTGTGCCCCATTCCGAACATCTACTGACGCCCCTCTCTGGGGAAACAACAGGGATCTCACATCCTCCGAAACCTCATCGCCAGCGAGGCCATCGCCTCAATAAACACCTTTTCTCGCCGCAGCCCTCCGGAGGCATCCTCGTCGAACAAAGTCCACGCCTTCGTCTCCCCAGACCCAGCCCAGTGGGTTGCCCAGATCACGCGGCCTTCCGCGCAGCAACGACCCACGATCCTCTTCTCCGCGTTCGGCACGACCCGCGCCGCTGTCGGCGGCAGTCTCGAGGCCCAGTCGCGCATAGACCACGGCCTACAGCTCGAGCTGGCACAGGCCACCCGACAAGCGGGCTGTCGGGTGTGTGTCCTGGTCTCTTCGTCCACGGCCAACGAGAATTCATGGATCCCATATGCCCGCATGAAGGGTCGCATTGAAGCCGACCTAAAAGCGTTGCAGTTTGAGAGGACCGTTATTCTTCGTCCAGGGATCATATTAGGGAATCGTGTGGAGAGTCGTCCCGAGGAATGGATCGCACAGTCCGTGGTGCAGGGGATCGGGAAGGTGGCGCCTTCTTGGAGGGATACGCTTGGTCAGGATGCTGGTGTTATTGCTGAGGCTGCTGTGAATTGTGGACTGAGAGGCTTGGAGGAGATCTCGGGTAAGGGGGATGACGGTTCTGGCGTGTGGCTTGTGGAGCGGGGTGATATCGTGAAGTATGCGAGAACGGGCACGGACTTATCGTCTTTTGGGGCGTGATAAAAGGGTTATGTGGAGTCTGCAGACCAGTATAGTGGTCGCGCAATCGGCATGCTCGGTGTTGGTAGCCACTCTGTTGTGAGTTGTAGTGGATTACTCGGAAGCTGCCTATATCGTACAGACCGGGAATATTGGTTGATCTAGCCAGTGGTTAACATGCCTGTCGAGTTGCTGGCTTCCACACTGTGCTTATCTCTTGCGGTTTGTCATGCCATCATGAACACTGTTTCGGGCCAACTGGTACCACATATTCCCTATAGCAACGGGTGTTTGTCTGCAGCCCTGTAGCAGCTCCAATAATTAAACACCCCATGGACTATTTATATTATATGAAATCTCGAACCTCTGCTGAGCAGACAGCGGGTGAATAACCGAAAGTCGGTGACATATAGTGAATAAACAGAGGCAAAAGTGATAACAAGCATGCAGCTAGGTGTGGCTTACTTTTTTTCTTCTTTAACATAACACGCACTTGTAGGTCTATTGCTGTCCCTTCTACATCACCTTGTTATTTTTCTTCTAGAAGAACACCCTCAAAGTCTCCTCCACAGACGTTCTCAACCCCCCAAGGCTGCTCCTCCCAGCCATCGAGTATCCGCCTGCCTTCCCTTTATCAACAACCCAGCTCCCATAGACGGATTGCTCACCTTTCAAATCGTCCCAATGGCCTCCCTCGAAAACCACGACCCCATCTCAATCACGAGCCCATCCGATCTCAAGATCGTGATCATCGAAAAGCCTCCCAAAAGCGAGGAAAAGGAGCCCCAGGCCCCCAAAAGCAAGACCATCGCAGTCAACCGCGCCACGCTCATCAACGAATGCCAGTACTTCCAGAATATGCTGACCGGACACCGCTGGATGGAATCCGACAGTGACTCCGTCACGTTGCAGAACGACCACATCGTCGCCATGGAGATCCTGCTGCGCAAGCTCCACGGGACCTTGGGCGCGATGAGCGTGACGGAGGTCTCCGTCGCGGACGTGTGGCACCTGGTGCTCGCCTGCGACAAGTACGGCCTCAACCCGAAGGAGTTTAGGGGTTGGTTTGCATCGTGGGCGAAACACGCCGCAACTCAGATCGACACGCTTTATGGCCGCGACGAGCGGATCTACTACCGCCAAACCCTGTACCCGAGCTGGGCGACCGACCATGCGGCCCTCTTCGCCGAGGCGACCCAGTCCCTGGTCTACAGGAGTGAGACGCATATCACCGAGCGCAACCCCACGAAGGTCGATCAAATGCATCTGCCGCCCCGGATTCTGCGTGCGTATCCGTTTCCTCAGATTCACCGGGCATTCTTGCTACGTCCTTTCTTTTGGAGATCAGAGCTAACGCGCAGACCTGCCCCGCAGAGCAAATGAACGCCGTCCGCGGCCGCCTCCGCAACATCGCGCACAAAGGCCTGTTCGACCGGATCGCGAGGATCCTACAAGTCTCCTCCGCCCCCTGCTGCGAGCGCACCGTCTTCGAGTTCTTCCGCGAGCTGCAGCGCATCAGCGTCTGGCCGTTTGAGGACTGCATGCGGCACTGCAGCATCGACGATCTGGTCTTCCGCATGAAGCGGTTCGATGCAAGCAAGATGCGCGGGTACACGGACCCTGAGACCAAAAAGCCGGTGGATTGTTGCTTCTGCGAACATGACTGGAAAGCTGTGGTGGCCGGCGCTGCGAAGCGCGTCGAGGCGTACTTCGACGGGCTGTGTCTGGATTGCATGGATCTGACCAAGAATCTGCACAAGGGTGGGGACCGGGACCGGGATTATTGGGCGTATATGCTGCCACGCGATCGGTACGATGAGGATTGCCGGATCAAGCATGGCGAACCGACCTGGTACTTTAGCTTCATGGGGAGGCGGGAGAAGAAGGGGTTGATTGCGGATGTTTAGGGGGGTGTCTGCGTATCTCATGGTTATGACCGGCTTTTGAAGTTTGAGATGGGGTGGCAGGCTGGATTGCTCTTGTGGCAAGTCTTGCGATCTGTGGTCCATGTTTCTTGTAGTCGGTTTCGGCAATCTGCCCACTACAAAGGGAGGTTCTCTGTTTTGTCCCTCGTGGCTCCGTTACCCAGACTCCATATCTTAGGTTCCCCTATTCCCTCCCATCCTTCTCCTATGCCTATCGTGACTCCGAGATGGTCTGTAGTAGCAAGGTCACAGAACTGGCTCCTAAGGAAGCCCAACACTCAACAAGACATACAGAAAACGGCAAGCACCCCATGGTAGAGAAATCCCGCCTCGGCACCCCTTGGAGTGAGTGTACAAAAGAGGCGGCTACATTTGCCAGGGCGTCTATCTCCGCATCATGTATGGCTTTCCCAGCACGGCTCCGCAGCTACCATGCCGTCCTTGTACAACCGGAGGCCCAGTGAGCAAAAGCAAAAGAAACAATCCTTGACGCTGATAATAGCCCGACTCGATAAGAACCCCGCCATCCCCACGCGTCGAACTGGCCACCCGGAGTCAGTCTACAATGACAGAAGGCCAAAAAAGATGGAGCTGCGGGGAATCGAACCCCGGACCTCTCCCATGCTAAGGGAATATTATACCACTAAACCACAGCCCCAATTGTTGAAAGCGTGCTCAAAAGTATGCAACATGTTCTTGGCCAATGTGTAGCAGCGTGCTCCCAGGGGATGTAAGCTCACCCCTTTGCAGGGGGTGTCCTTGGACTGGAGTATATGTGTTAGTTTATCGTCCTGGATGCTCTCTATGAGCTGTGTGTGGTAAATCTGCTTGCACACCACGGCGGATATAGTGCCTTTCAATTCTTGTCATTCGGTCGGTCGATTTTGTCAATTGGGTAGCCTCTGCATGCTGGTGCACTAAATATATATATCCCCCTGCACTCAACGGATGATAGGATCTCCCGGGTAGCCCTAACTCGTCCTCTCTCTCTGAGATTTAACAAATGTGTAACCTATACAACCAACGAAAATACACCCAGACACCTCTACGGCACAATCGAATGACTAGTTTGAAAAATCCGGCTAGACAAATATCTGCCAAATGTAAAAGCCACAAGCCAAATTGTACCGCACTAGGTGTCATGTTGCTAGGAAATCAAGATTGTCCGTGGCGAGTTATTGTGCGACATGTTGCTAGATGAAAATATTTCATCAGATTTACGAATCTAGAAAAGTTCCCCCGATAAGAAATAGGCCGGGAACGCCTTGGGCACATCCATGATGATTACGAGATCACCTAGCCACGTAACGCTCATATCAGTCCAAGGGATATCTTATAGCATCTATCTGCTCTTCTCCCTTCTCCGCCCACTCAACACGAGGGGCATCTGTCCCTGGTACTCATTCCAAGCTGCACGCGGGTTCCTAGGACTAGGCATGAGCTAGGATCGACCAACGACGGGTAGCTCAATTAGTGAATCGATCGTAAATGGTCTATGTGCTTATGGCCACCCCGACAAGACACAGTGATACTGAGGACTGGCCCTTTGAATTACAGCTTTGAAAACTCCGCCCCAATCTGCCGAAGCAGCGCCGTGTGATCCGTGCCATACGTGTCCCCCGCTCGCGCGATCACCTCACGCACCCACGATCCGCGCGGGACGAATCGCGCCGTGAAGGGCAGCGCGCGCATGACCAGACCGTAGGTGCATGCTTCCGGGTCGACAGGGATCGGCTCGCCCGTCTCCGCGGCCACACCGGCTCTGATATCGAACGACCAGAGCAGCCGCGCCACCACGATCCAGAGGACATTGCGCGCGAAGTACCGCCCGGGGCAGGTCCGTCGTCCGTACCCGAATGCGGGCGCCGGGAGCGAGGAGCGGAATGCTCCGTGGTCATCTAGCCAGCGTTCGGGGATAAACGCGTCGGGGTGGGGGCCGAACACGGCCTCCTCGCGGGCGATCGTCCAGATGTTGGCCACGACCACCGAGCCCCTGGGGATGCGGTAGCCGTGGTAGGTCGTCTCCTCGCGGCTGAGGTGCGGCGCGCCCTCCGGGCCGGCCGGCCGCCACCGGAGCACCTCCTCGACGATCGCGGTGATGTACGGCAGCCTGGGCTGGTCGTCAGGCCGCGGCAGCCGGTCCGGGCCGACCACGGCGTCGAGTTCGGCGCGGGCCCGGGCGACGAAGCCCTGGTTTTGGGTGATACACGCCACCACGAACCACACCAGGCTGTCGGTCGTGCCGTCGAGCGCGGCGTCGATCATCGTCCCCAGCTCGAAGGCAAGCTCGTCCAGCGGCATGTCGCGGTCATCGTCCCTTTCCACAGCCTCCTTTAACTGCTGGGCGATGTTCCAGGAGTCTGAGGCCTCCAGCGCCCGCCGGAAGTTGCTGAGACGCAGGGCATACTTGGTGCGGTAGTGGTTTTCCGCTTTCGCCTTCCAGGGCGCCAGGAAGCCCGGCAGGTGGTTCAGCACCGGGAACTGGTCGACGATGTGCGCGCCCACTTGGATGAACTCGGAGAACTCTTCGTTGAGCTTGACTACGCTACGAAGGACGAAATCGTTGGGATCCTGGATCCGGAAGCCGTACAGTAAGGTGTGGATGATACTCGCTGTGGTCCGCTGGAACGCCCCTTGGACGTCGATTCCTGTACTGGCGCTTGTTTGCAAGAGATCGTACAGCAACTGCTGGGATTCCAGTGTCTGGATGGGGAGGTATGCGGCTGCTGGAGTCGCGTTCAGCACGGACACTTGGAGCCGCTGGTGATGCCGGAATTGATCGGTGTAGTTCATCATGAGGATGTTGAGGCCCTTCAATGCTAGCTCCGTCGCGAGAAACAGTCGGGGTCGGTCGGAAAAAATCGCTCCACGCTTGGCGAGCAGGTCATGGGCTACTTCCGAGGTCGACAAAATGATGACCGGTTGTCCAAGCATGTTGAGGTGAACGATGGGTCCGTACTGTTCATTCCATTGGCGATAGGTCCTCCATCCATGGGACTTGGGAGCTTGATGGACATTGCCTATGAGAGGCAGTGGCTTGGGTCCCGGCGGTAAGGGCAAGGAAGAAGATGATTTTGGCCGGCGTGTGACGAAGTGCACGCTGATCAGGAGGAGAACTCCTATAAGTATGGCGGAAGTTGTTGAATGCATGATGTGACGAATGATGGTGGAATACAAAATCGAAACGAGAGCCAGCCCCTCTTAGGGGGAACTGAGGATGCTTTTGTAGATTCAAGGAAAGAAAAAAGGACATCAACAAGAAGAAGGTGTAAAGAAGCTATATCCCTGATCTTGGTGTACGGGTCACATGACCCTCTGGGGTCTGACAGTGGACCAGCATTCACATTCCCATTACCTAGTAGCCAGTAGAGTCTTTGCAGGGAATAGAGTGCACACATTTAGACAGTAATCCGCCGCCCACTTACTGGTCAGTTTCCATAAACCCGCCGCAGGCCACAAGAGTTGGTTCGAGGCCACGTCACTACTACGGTACTGGCCAAACTGCAAAACAGGAATCGGATCAACTGAAAGGGAGGCTCCTGTGGGGAACGATTGAACGTGCCTACAGATAGTTAGGTCAGATCTGGCATGTCTTGTGTTGCTTGTGTTGCTTACGTTGCGGGGTTTCTCGGTACGCTGTGCTGCGCCTCGATCCCGACTAGGGTCACCATTAGTTTGAGCGTTAGTGTGGTTCCTAGTGCTTACTTTTGAATCGGCGAAATAATGTAGCCTTGCTAAGACACGCCTTGCTTTCCCATCGCCTGTCTCTTGTCTGACCTTCGACCCGATATGGCAAAAGTGTTTTCGCGGCTCGATGCGGACCATGGAACTCGATTCCCGGGCCGCTCCCCGTAAGCACTGGCTCCGCTTGCAGCAGAGCAGGCGAAGAGCCCTTAATCGCTATACACCTGTTGGCGCGAGAAGACCGTATTTTTCCACAGACCGTAACATGGTAGGCTAATGCCCAATCTACAGGGCTAGTCCCATCAGTGCCTCAGGCAGCCTTTAACCATCATCTGACAGCCTATCATTGTTGTCCGTAAGGTTCAAAAGCATTGCGCATGCGGCATCTGCTGATTTTGACCTCGGAAACATCGTAAATACCTCTTGAGTCTCCCACGGTCTCCCATTTTCATTGAAGCCCCCCCATGTAAGTAAGTCATCCAGCCCACCGCCATCGACGTCCTGCCTCCACCAGACTATCCTCCGGTCCAGCCGAGCGAATATCCCAGATCCCCACTCGAACGCCACCAGCAATTTTCGAGAAACTGTATGCTTCTTGCGTCAGTGGTGATATCCATCGATTTCGGGAAATCCTCGACTCGCAAAGTGTTTCACTGGAGAGCTCTGATATTTGCGACTTCTCTGCGATAATGATCGAAGCCATCAAGCTAGACGGTGTACAGTTCATCCAAGAACTCCTTACTCGCGGCTTGCCCATGGACCCACTCTACGCACTGGAAGCCGTCAGAGTGAAGGGGAAGGATGCGTTGGGAGGGTTCCTTCAGAATGGATGGGATATCAACCAGCCCATCAGCTAGCCGAAACTCCCAATACTAGGGTAAGGCTCGTTCCGAGAATCTATTCCATGTGATCAGAGACAAACGTTAAGCCCTGTCTTCAGCTATGCGATTGCAGAAATGAAGAGATGGCCGCTTGGCTCCTTGATCATGGAGCCGATCCCAACAGCCCATGTGTTGTTGATCTCACACCACTTTCCCTTGCTGTCGAGACCGCCCCGATCTCAGTCGTCCAGCTCATGCTCAGTCGTGGCGGCGATGCGCGCAAAGGCCAACTCCTCCATCACGCAGCCGAACGGCAGTCAGATAACATTGCGATCTTCAGCCCTCTCATCGAGAACGGAGCGGATATCGATTCAACGCTGTACGAAAACCATCATCCGTCCCGGGCGCTGTTCTGTTTCCTGGCACTCGGAACGACGCTGCACGAAGCAGCCGAACTCGGCAAAGTGGATGTAGTTCGCTACTTGGTCAGCGAAGGAGCCAACGTGGGCTTCAAAGATGCAACGGGGCGCACAGCTCTGGAGTGGGCGCAAATGTTGAATCAGGGGGAGGTCGTCCAGGTACTCGAGAAACGGAATTAGCCTCGTCTTTTCTGTTGTTCATGATACGTGCAGCTGTGTACCTGCTGGACGGATGAATTCGGAGTGTCTTTCCGCTTTTGATCAAGAGTTAGTTCAGCGCGGTGACTTTACTTTTCTTCTTCAATCCCTACAATGCAGTAATTAGCCAGCATGGGCTTGACCTTGCTGGCACACCTACTTTACATCTGACAACAAGAAGGTGAAGTATGTTTGGAGAGAGTTTTCTCTCCTCCCTCAGTCTCCACCACTTGATTCCCTCCCCATGGCTCCAGGCTTTCACCCGGACATCCCGCCCTTCCATCGGCTGGGCCCGAATTATTAGCTCGTACGCATCGGGAAAGAAACTGGGCCCACCTGGCACCTGAAGCTGCAACTACATAGTAGTCCCCATGTAGCTTGATCTTGACTCGATTCGACATAGTGACCCAAGATCTAAGCCCCCTAAGGAGATTTGCCAAGCAGGGGTTCGGCCAGACTAGCCTCTCTTGGCAAGGCTTCAGCTTCCGGTAATTTCCTGATAGTTTGCTCCAGCTGAGGCTCCAGATGAGAGCTCCTCCTCCTTTCTTTCTGCTGAGAAACCTTTGTTGGTTTCTACACATCATCCTTCCTCATCGCTACACCGCGTAGTCTGTTTCTCCTGCAGTTATGATGCACGTTAAGTTGGTTCTGTGCCTGGCCGCCGCCACCCTTGTCACCGCTGAGAACATTGTCACTACCACCCTTTTCATCCCGGATACGGACGCCGAGTCATTGGCCGGCTCAGTCATGGGCGTGGTAGGTACAGTACTAAGTGACCATCGTCGCGGGAGCTGACTCCATGCACCGCAGACTGACAGACAAGATAGGCTGCAACCGCTACTACCTACTTTGTCAACTGTCCGACCGCAACTGGTGTCAATGAGGATGACGATGACGACGACGATGACGAGGATGATGAGGATGACTGCGGCATGGGGCCCGGGATGACGATTGTCGCTGGGCCCCGAACCACCAGCTATCTGATGGGGGAGCCAGCAGATGATTTGTATGTGGCCTTCGTCCTCCCTGTTCAGCAGTCTGGCGAGGATCATGTGCTAACTTGCACCGTCCAGCTATATGTCCATGGCTTGTTCTGTGCAAGGGATTACTTATGGCGTCTGCACGGAGATGATTTCGGGCACCGGGGCGGATTTCCCGGGGACGTATACCACGACCATGGGGACGGATGACCTCTGCTGCTTTGTGCCCGTTACGATCACGGCGGGCACGCTTACCGGTGGTGCTGGAGATGCCACCTCCTCTGCGACTGTTCTAGCCGCTGGAACGGCTACCGCCACCACTACCAATGCCTCCGCCACCGGCACGGGCCCGGCAACCAGCGACAATTCGGTTGCTGCCACTGCCTCCACGACCACTCACAATAGCACGACCCAGAGCACGGGCGCTGCGGCACTCCTTACCTTTGATTCGACTGTGATCGTTGGAGGTGCTGTGGCGGCTGCCCTTGTGGTCGCAGCTTTATAGAATACGAGGAAGAAAAAGTGTAGATCTTTTGGCGGAGACACGTCGGCTTGGCAATGTTGGACCTCTCGACGGTGGTCACGAAAAGCATCAACTTTGACAAATAAGGAAGGTGATGAGACGTAAAAGGGCTTGTCCCAAAATCCAAGAGGCTCGGGCTCATAGCCTGTAAGCGATTTTAGGCACTCAGGGGTGGGCAATATAGAACGATTTCTTGATTTTTTTGGTAGTTCTTAGGTTGTTTCATTATCGGAGTTCTCTGCGTGTGATCAAGAGGCGAAGGCCTTTGGATCACGTGGCCGGATTACTCAGGAACGCCGACATACTGCTTCAAACCGAACTGCGCCTGATACCGGCACGCAACCCATGACGTGCGCTTGACTTCCCATCAAGCTGAGCAGAAGCATCCGACCGCGGCGAAAGTTTAATCTTCGCAGAGATATCAGATTCGATGTCGATCGCGATCTCGACTCCCCGGTCCTCGATATCCTTCATGCACCGTTGTGCTTGTTCTTCCATTTGAACCATGTACCCTTGCACCTGCTCCTCCATTTCTTTCATACAGTCATTCGCTGTGTTGCGTACCTCGACGTTACCATTGTCGATCTCTTCTTCGCATTGGGCTTGTTTCTGGTTGCATACGTCGTGGAGCTGATCGCGACACTCGGCCACGGTATAGTCGACGTAATGGGCGAGCCGACGCTCAACTGTCTTATCGATGTATCGTTCGAGCCGGCGCCCAAGCATCACCATGTCCGTCTCGGGAGAGCTGCCTACAGGCTCAAGCTCGAGTCCCAGACGGCGGTCGACGTCTTCCGGGACGGCTAGCAGATGTGCGCGGCCGGTTCGAATTAACAGTCTACGGATCAGGTCATCAGAAACACCACGGAGCTCGTGTTCAAGATGCGCGAGTCTCTGATACTCTGTTTGGCCGCGGGAGGAAGCACGCTGAAAGTGAGTCATGCGGATCGAGGACGGTGACCGGGAAGGAGCCCGTGTACTCGGCGTGTCGACTTCAGTCGCAATATCAGTCGGAACTTCAGTTGGAGAGCCTATCGGTGGAGGGGGTAGAGGGTGCAATCTTTTTCGTTTTTCAGTGTTGGGTGATATTGACCGTGGGTCTAGATACTATTACTAACTATTACGCAAGGCGTTACGGTAAGATGAGTAGATACCTCTGCACCGCTTTCCTAGCACTTCTTTATATACGGGAGGATCCACCTGCTCGGACACGGACTCCTGGCAATATGGGGGTGGATCGGGTGACAGAGCAAAGACACGCCAATCTGTCTCCCATACTCCGTGGCGAGCGGTGTTCAAAGGCACTGCCTGGAGACTTCTTTGCCGCAGGGCATGGGAGAAATCACGTAGCTTGTCAAGCTCGTTATTGACAAATTGTCGTCCGGTGAAGTGTAGACGGAAGAATTTGGATTGACAGATTTTGGCAAATGAGTGGAACTCCAAGTCTCCAGGTACGGCTGGTTTGAGAGAGTCCATGCCAGCTGGACTAAGAACGATGCCGACCGTGCCAAGGCTAAGACTCAGTGTTGAGACGGCCGAAACATTTGTAACAGGGGCCGGGAGTGAGGAAAGGAGACGAGCTGGACAGAGTGAGGTGTTGCTTCTGCGAGCAAAACCGCATTTTTCGACTCGTTCGGGAGGGATATTCAAAGTCAGAACCTGGGATCTGCTGCTCAAGTTAGCGATGCTGATCGAGTTAGCGAGAGCCGTTGTGATCGAAAGCAAGATAGATGCTTGGTTGGCCGTTTGACCATCCGCGACAGTTCGGCCATGGACGATACGAAGGCGAGCGACACAGAAAGCATCACAGTCGGGTGCGTGAACAAGGACTTTCGAGACCAATGGTCGGTTCTGTGGAGTGGTAGTCGTCATTTTGCCGTATTAGAACGATAACCCTCGAAACATCGAGTAGCCCACCCACCCAGGCTTTGAGCGACGAGGAGCAGCCCTGACTCGCAACAAATAGGAAAAGGAATGGAATGGATGAATAGGCAGGGAAAATGGAAGCATGAGAAGGAGAGCTGCGGTCTGGTCACGAGTACATGCCCAATCTGAAATCCACGAGAGAAAACAGAGAGTCCTATGAGAACACAGGAATGGCAGGACTGGCTTCGAGAACAGCAGAGAGAGAGAGAGATGCGGTCTGGTCACGAGTACATGCCCAATCTGAGGTCCACGAGAGAAAACAGAGAGTCCTATGAAAGCACGGGAATGGCAGGACTGGCTTCGAGAACAGCAAGGAGATGGAGGATGGAGGATGGAGGATGGGGGATGATGTTGAAGAAGAGGAGAAGGGGAGAAGGAACGTGAAGGCGGAGGCGCGGGCGGAAAGACAAGACGCGATCCCGTCCCGTGACCGCTGCCCCGCCTCCGCTTCATATGATGCTGCCTTAAAATGGCACCTTAAAATTGTGGCTGTATAATGACATGATAATGACTAAGCTAGCACAGCGTTAAGTTAAAATAACTCACATATTTGGTAAGCAACTCAGGGCCCATGCCAGTGCATCTTCCAACTCATTGAGCTGTTCTTAGTACTGTAACCTTGTTACAATAGTCATTGCTATAGAAATTCCCCGCCCAAAAATCCAGTCCAGCATACAAAGATTGTTGTGTCCCATTATAGGAATCATCGGAGTCTTCCAAGTTAGTACTGCCTGCCAGATGCCATGGGTAAGCCACCGACCAATAGCCGATCCGCCAATCACCGGAGCAATACAGAGGAGTATCAAGCTATCATGGAAGCTATTTGTCAGTCTGGGGTAGGCGAACTCCTTGGAAGACGTTCCATCTCAGGAAGGTGATTCCGCGACGCGACGGAGCTTATCTGCATGATAATCAGCAGGCAGCCATTCCCGCATTTCCCGCATTCCCCGCATTTCCCGTACATCTATCTGCTCCCCCAGTGTCTACAACTCTACATACCACTCGAACTTTGTGTCTGTCTGCGGAATCTGCATGCATGCCTGTTTCGCGACAATTGAGTCCCCAGCCAGGGTTGAAGAGGGAGATGCGGTCCCGCCGTCGGCACGCGGTGGGAGTGTGCAATGCATGCCGGCGACGGCATATCAAGTGCGACTTGGCTCGGCCAACCTGCTCGGCGTGCAAGGCAATCGGTGCGTTGTGCGAGAGGTCCAACGCTCAGCTGACATGGACGTCGACCTCGGGACCCTCCTTTCAGGGCAACACCCGCGCCCACCACGGCCCCAGCACCACCACCACCACGGCGGTCCGACGACGCTATTTGTACGGGGAGCAGGATCGTGTATCCACCAGCATCAGCCTCCTCTCTAGTCTCCATACGGCTTCGGTTGACAACAGTCTGCAGCAGATCGAGGACGAGTCCTGGCAGACCGCGCTCCACCCGGGCCAGAGCAACTTCATTGGGCCGTTCGGGGTGTTGAGTCTGCCGCATGGCCCCGTTCCCCTGAGCTCTGGGAGTCAGGAAGAAGAAGAAGAAGAAGAAGCCCGTAATAGTAGTAGTAACAGTAACCAGGACCAAACTCATTCGTTGGAGATTCCGCCCCCGCTGTTGGCGGGCTCGCTAGGCAGTCTGCCAACCGCAGAGGAATCGCTGCACTGGCCGGATATATTGGAAATGGACATGTCCTGGCCAGAATTGTTCAATTTCAATGATCTACCCAGTCCATTGCCGGAGCAGCCAGTCTCATTAGTGGCCGAGGGCGCAGAGCAAAGCAATGAGGACGCGCCACTCGAAGGCTCGGTCCAAACCCCCGGGCCGGGTTTCTCCTTGGGAGATATCCAAATCTCGGACGCCCAGATGCTCCTGAAACGGTACCGAGATGTGGTCGTTGCCCATTCCTTTTCCTTTCCGCTCTCTGGAATGTCGCCGTGGGAAAAGCTCCATGTGGACTCGGCGGTCATTACCTTGGGCCGGATCGCCTTTATGGGCACGGAGCGCATCTCACATGCCGCCATGTCCAACCTGCTCGCACTGCTTGCGATTTCCGCCGTGCATAAGGCGGCCGCAGTACGGAAACAAGGGACGACGTCCAGTGAACACTGGGACGGGGTCAGTGCGGCGAGCTATGCCAAGGGGAAAGACCATCTGGAACAGTCCCTCCGACGTGAGAGTCACAATGTGCCGCCGCCGAAATACAAGGAACAACTGATGGCCCTGTCGGCGATGCTTTCGTTTGCGGTAGGCCCTGGCTCTTTCCCTCGTCTCTCTTGCCGTGGTGGCTGATCGGTCGTCTCAGATTCTCTCGGACTGCCAGGAACAGGCCTGAGCATACCTGCTGGATTCCGAGCGCCTGTTATGTCTTCGGGGCCTAACCAAGCGCGTCTTCTCGCGCAAGGCACGATTATTGCACCACATATATACATGGAACCGGATCCTGGGAGAAAGCACGTTCGTCGTACGGGATTATAGCAAGGACCCCAGTTTGACAGCACGGTCCGCCGAAGCATCGCACGCCCGCTCAAACCCCTTTCGGTCCAATCCGGATATCCACTTGGATGACTTTTTGCAACTGGACGTGAGCTCCAACAATCCCGAGCTGAAGAACCACAGAGATCATGACGGGATACTAAATAGCGTGCATATCGAAGAGTCGAGAGGGGACTCCCAGCCAATGTACCGGGAATTGTACGGAGTATCCGAGACCTGGCTTAGTCTTGTCTCGCAGACCACGCGGCTGGCCAATTTCGTTGACAAACTCAAGGCCAGCAAGGGCCCGCAGGACCCCGGAATGATGGATGCGCTCGAGAATGCGAAACTGAGACTCGAGGAAAGGATCTGGAAGCTCGTCGCGCTTCATGATCCGCCCCCGCCCTTGGGGCCTCACGGACCCAAATTCGAAGGCAGTGGGGAGCATCCGAGGGCCTACATGGTCCATGCATTGAATCTTGGCCTAGTGATATTCTTCTATCGACGCATCAGAGAATCCAACCCGCGCCTGCTGCAACCGTACGTGAGCTCGATCGTCCAGGCACTGAAGGACTTTGCCGCCTCCTGCAAGGCCCTCCACCTCGAAGGGCCGGGGTCTCCCTGGCCGGCCTTCATGGCCGGCTGCGAGGCGATTGCCCCCCAGGATCGGGACTATCTTCATCGCTGGATGGATGAAGCCCTGACATTGACGGGTTTCCTCAGATTCCGAACAATCAAACAATGCATGGAGGAGGTATGGAGGCGACAGCTGGAAATAGCCGATCGGAGAGACGGGCGAGTGACATATCATAGCTGGGTCGATACATGCCGTGAACACAACATGTATATCATGCTATCCTAAATTGATTTGGCGACGGGGATTCTTGACGTTATAGGTTGAAATCTTTTTTAGAGATGTGGAGGATCTTTCCGCTCGAGATCGTGGCCGGTCCATAATAGAAACCTGGGGTGTGGCACAGATCTACCATTTCAACGGTCTTTTTGGCATTTTGACGGGGATTATGGGATGCAACCCGGGCAGGTGAGAAGAAGCGTCGGAGGTCTGTGGCGAGGAGTCTTGTTTTGTTTTGTAGGGCCGCCAGTTTAAGAATACTTACTACCTTAGGGAGTTTGGACTGGTCGCTAACTACCTCACTGCGCACTCTGGCGTAGTCGGTACTTAGTAGCCCTACTACGTACCCCGATCACACGCGGTCTTACGGTCTTACTTGCAACCTATCGCGGAACCGAGACCTTGATCCGGAATTTACTTCCTCCTGTCTTTTCGGCCCTTGTCAGCCCCTTCCAGCCGCTGAAAGTGCGTTCAGTTCAGAATGATGATAACGACTCGGGGCATGGCATTTATCTCCTCTACGCCGTAGATACCTAGGGCACGCCAAGCATTGGACGGCGCCAGAATCGGAGCCATCTTCCCGAACCGGAACTGCCTTCCGTATCCCCAATATCTATCCTTGAAGTGCGAACATGCACGCTCTTTCTGATGTTGCAAATTACCGAGCTGCATGACATGGATTGCCTGCTTTTCCCCAGATAGTTGAAGTTACGCGGGATTGTATACCTAAATTGAAACAACCCTGTGACCCGAGGCCACCGGTGCGCAATCTATCCAGACCACCTGCCCCTTGGGTCATGTCGAGATTAAAAGACACAGGTAGGAGGTAAGAGGCACCCTGGCTGAGGATTTGGTATAAAATGGGACACACCGCAGCCTCCTTCAGATATCACGGATCCGCCCATCAATTCAAGAAGATCAACTGTTGTCTGACACCCACCAATCCACCTCCATCATCATGGTGCATTCCAACCGCGCCGTGCACATCGTGAGCGTCCACTCGGCGGGGGAAATCGGCGATGTGATCGTGGGCGGGGTTCTCGACGTGCCCGGTCAAACCATGTTCGACAAGATGACCTATTTCCGGACCCAAGCCGACGAGCTGCGCCAGCTGCTGCTCAACGAGCCCCGCGGGCGTCCGTCGCGGAACGTGAACCTGGTGCTTCCCGCGTGCGACCCGCGCGCCGATGCCGGGTTCCTGATCATGGAGAGCCAGGAATACGCCTACATGTCCGGCTCGAACACCATCTGCACGGCCACGGCGCTGCTGGAGACGGGCATGGTGAAGATGCAGGAGCCGACCACCATGCTCCGGCTGGACACGGCCGCCGGCTTGGTCGCGGTCACGGCGGAGTGCGAGGCCGGGAAGTGCAAGAGCGTGGCCTTCGACAATGTCCCCGCCTTTGTGTTCCACCTCAATCTGGCGGTGGACGTGCCGGGGCTGGGCACGATCCTTTGCGACGTGGCGTACGGAGGCATGATGTACGCCATCGTGGACATGGCCCAGACCAACCTCACCATGGATCCGGACGAGGGCCAGCGCATCGTGGAATACGGGGAGCGCATCAAGCGGGCCGTCCAGGCTGCCGTCCACCCGGTCCACCCGGACAACCCCGGCATTCACGGGGTGACCAACTTCATCTTCACAACGGCCCTGGTGGCGGGCGATGGGCCGGATGGCGGCAAGAAGGCCCAGAACGCGGTGGTGGTCTCGCCCGGTCGCTTGGACCGCAGCCCGTGCGGAACCGGGACGTGCGCGCGCATGGCGCAGTTGCATGCGAGACAGCAGCTGGCCGTGGGCGAGCCGTTTGTGCACACGAGTATCATCGGAACCGAGTATGTTGGCTCCATCACGGGTACCGTCAAGGTGGGCGAGTACGATGCCATCCTGCCTCGTGTCAAGGGCAGTGCCTGGATCACCAGCTTCCAGCAGGTGGTCCTCGACCCCACCGATCCTTTCCCACAGGGCTTCCGGGTGGGAGATGCCTGGCATGTGTCCAAGGTGCCAGTGCCCGCCGGCGCTCCGGTGAATAGTATTTAGTTCAAGTTCGTGATTCTAGGTAGCATCTGCTGCTAGTCTGTTGGAAGGACATGATCAGTACCGCAGATCGATCTTTAGCCGCCGATCGATCTCCTAGAGAAGGTGTGTTTTCTATTGTGTGACGTCAATTCTCTCATCGCTATCCGTGCTTGCCATCAACTAATTCAAATTCAAAGATATTACAAGAATCATGCGTGTTCTCTTTGCTATTTTATAATCAACGTGATACAGTAGTAGCCTCAGGCATCCATTCATCCGGCCGCGGGCGGGGCGTTTTCGAACTAACCCTAACCCAAACAGGAAATCCAGATGTTCGACCAATCAGGCAATCGTGCTGTGTTACTGATCGACACAGGCTTGTCATCGCCTACAACCAGTGCATTCAAACTAACTCAGGGCTAACTACTGCGATATCCACAATGGACGAGGCTGAGCTGGAGGCTGTGGTCAATCTCAGCTCGGTTAATGACTGATTGAATCCTTCCATCATGCCCTGCCCATTATGTCCTTTCTGACCACGGCCCACTACCGGGATATAAATATCCCCTCAAGTACCGTACCCAAGCAGCCCATAACTTGAGTCCTTTTCCTCCAACCCTAGGGCCCTGCACACATCCCGGCCTACCTCCCCGTACAGTACAGCATGGTCCAAGTACCATTTCTTTCGGCAATCCAGGCCGCGTCCGCCCTCTGGGCGCTGGACCTTCTCCCCCGCACAGCCGCGACAACCACCGTCCACAACACCAGCTCCTCGGTGGAGTACAACTGTCACGCGGGACAGTCCTGCTGGCCATCCAGCGAGGAATGGACGCAGTTCAACAAAAGCCTGTCGGGGAACCTCCACCGCACCGTCCCCTTCGCCGCCAGCTGCTTCTACAGTTCGCTCTCCTACGACCCCGCCGCCTGTGCGCTCGCGGAGAAGACCTACCTCCTCAACCAGCCCCGCACCGAGGTCTACGGGGCGGCCACGGGCCTCAACTGGGAGACGTGCGGGCTGCAGAGCTGCGCGCTGAACCCGCTCGACGGGTACAGCGTGCAGTCGGACGAGTGTCGACTGGGCCGCCTGTCAGCGCTGTATGTCGACGCCCACTCGGCGCAGCAGGTGGCCACGGCGGTGCGGTTCGCGCGCAAGCACCGCCTGCGCGTCAGCATCAAGAACACCGGCCACGACTACTTCGGCCGGTCGACGCGCCCGGACACCCTGGCCATCTGGACGCACCACCTCAAGAACATGACCTACCACGCCAACTTCACCGCCGCGAACTGTTCCGCCCCTGAACCGAACCACTACCAGCACATCGGGGAGATCGGTGCGGGCGCGCAGGCGTCCGACGTGTACGCGTACTTCCAGGGGTTCGGGATGGACGTGACCGGCGGCAATGAGGGCTCCGTCGGGTTGGCAGGCGGGTTTGGGCAGGGCGGCGGCCACGGGGTGTTTGGGCCCTCGCGCGGGCTGATGGTCGACAACGCGGTCGAGTTCGAGGTCGTCACGGCCGACGGCCACCTCCGCACGATCAACGCCTGCTCGGACCCGGATCTCTTCTGGGCGATGCGCGGCGGCGGCGGCGGCACGTTCGCCATTCTGACCAGCTACAAGTTCCAGCTCTACCCCGCCGTGAAGATCCACGTCTACTCCTTGAAGGCCAGCTTCGTCACGAACACGACGACGGGGGAGGACCCGAAGTACCGCGCGCTGGAATATATGCTCACGCAGCACGCGACGGCGCAGCCCCTCTGGTCCGCGCAGAACGTCTCGGGCCACGCATACTACTGGCCCAGCCAGGTCGAGCTGTACCTGGTGTTGCCGTCCGACAACGAGACGGCGCTGCCGGCGGTGACGCGGGACTTCGTGGCCGCCGTGCGGGCCCATCCCGAGCTGATCCAGGTCTCCGAGAGCAACTACACGACGTACGCGAAGTACACCGATTTCCTCACCCTGACCGAGGCGATCGCCACGGAGCTCACGCCGGGGGGCATCTACGAGGCCGTCGCCAGCCGGCTGATTCCCCGCGATCTCTTTGCGTCGCCGGGGAACGTCACGGATCTGGTGACCGCGGTGCTCGACGGGGTCCGTCGGAGTAATACCCTCATCTCCGAGGAATACGCCCTGACCCAGGTCATCATGACCACGCCCGTGAACGTACAGAACGGGAACACGACCAGCGTGCATCCCGCGTGGCGCTCGGCGCTGTGGCATGTTCTGATGACGGGGGGGTGGTTTGACGTGCGCTCTTTGGCGAACCAGACCGCGCTACAGGAACGGTGGTTGGAGACCGTGCAGCCGCTGAAGGATCTGACGCCGCGGGGTGGGTGCTACCTGAACGAGGGGTCGTATCTGGAACCCGACTGGGAGGACACCTTTTTCGGAGTCAATTATCCGGCTCTGCTCGGGGTGAAAGCGAGGTATGATCCGACGCACTTCTTCGATTGTTGGAAGTGTGTGGGGTGGAAGGGCTCCAAGTAAGTTTTCCCTATGATTGTGCAGTTACGGGATATAGACTGACATTGGCGGCTATAGGGGATACCAGTGTTATGATTAATTCTTTTCATGTGGGAGATATTCGCGGCCAATCTTCACTTCCAACATAAGAAGGTGCTGTTGCTTTACTCCGGGTCCAGCTTCTTTGACTCTACTGCCGGTCCCAACCGCCATGTACATAATACATCATCTACCTAAGTTACTGTGTACATTTAATCCTATTGTAGCTCTTCGAGCTACGTCATGTCTGTAATCTTGAGGATAGCCCGCTCCCAGTTGTTTTGTAAAGATAAATAGAACTGTTTGTGGAGACCTGAACTGCTATTCATGCCACCTCTGGCCGGTCCGTACCTTGACAAGGTTCCGGTTTCATGTTTTGAATATCTTTTTTCCTAGAAAAGTATTATTACTGACATTGCTAAATAAAGAATTGAAAGTTTCCAGCCTATCTTGCCAAATATGCCTGCTCTCGTTATTTGTTTAGTATCTCATTTGCAATGAGGGTAAGAGTCTTATCTTTGTAATTCCACATCCGGGGGTCTGGATACTATCAGTATAGTCTCAACGCGCTCTACTGGAAATCATCGCAACCGAAATGTCAAGCAAGATGAGGCTGCCTTAAAACAATTGAACAAGCGTGGCTGCATATGGCCAGCGCTTGCACTACATACCGCGCACCTACACGTCTTGAGCGTCCTCCGCCGATCTCCTTTCTCAATTCCACGTACCTGTTTTATGGGCTTGTCGCCTTGCGGGCTAGGAGTGTTATTGCAGATGACCCGGCACAGCCGCGGAGGGGGAGACCGTGTTCGAAATCTAGTAGTTTGGATTAAACTGGCCCGTCGACAACTAAATTTCGATAGGTCCTGGGGTGAGTATAAATCCAATATAGTTTCACTATGAGTAAACCAGTAACACTGTCATTGTAAGCGCCCGCCATGGCGAGCTGAACTTTCAGCTGAGGTGACAGAGCCCTGGAGGTCCAGAGAAAGCGGCAATCCGAGCCGAGAGGATTTCCTCCCCCTCACAACAGAGCAAGACCCGCTCAGCCGATGAGCATCGCATGATATGCTTAGGAGCTGAAAAGAGGTATAAAGGAGGTGGTTCCCGGCAAATGCCACACGACATCTCGAAAACATCCTGCAGTACATGCCCGGCAAACATAGCTAGCTACCTCTTTACCGCTATCGTACGGCAGTATGGGCCACAATCATCATTTCTTGAAGAGCTTTGCTTCTGGTTCAAGGATCATGCTTATCTTACCCCTTCTGCTAATTGTTGTGACTGGTAGACCCTCCTTCTCCTGCGACTGCAAGCCCTTTGCTAACTACGGCAACAGCAAGCTCTCTCTCCGCCGCACACCCCCACCCCACCGATACCGTCAACGTCACAAGCACGACCTACTATCTCCAGATCGCGATCAAAAACTCGCTCCCAGTACCCCTAAAGCATATCCGATTCGCCCACATCAGCAAGCAGGAGCTGAACGTCCAGACCTGGGACGACGTGCCGAGCGGCCAGACCCTCCCCGCCGTCTGGATCAAATATGCGACAGGTAAGTTGAAGTGGTAGAGAACCACGATTCCTCCACGAAAAAGGCACCCTCAATATGCTGATCGTCCCAGGCATTTTCACTGGCAGCGACACCTGGAACCTGGACATCACCTTCGAAGACGGCGAGACGTTCTACATCGACCGCGACAGCACCTGCAACCTGCAGGAGTCCGACAGCGGGCAAGTGTACACGTGGACCATCGAGGGGTCAACGTTCCATATGCCGATGAACAGTGTATGTCTGCCCTAACAGTTTTATCCGGGGGTTGTGGTTGACGGAAGAGAAATAGGACGGCATGAACACGCCGATCCACAACAACGACGACGAGGATGAGTTCAATACCTACGCGTTCGCACGGGTAGGAATGCCCCCCCTGCTCTGCTTTGCTCTCCTTCCCCCATGTCTTTATCGGTTGACTGACGAGATTACAGATCAAGAATGAATTCGACCAGACGTTTGAATGGTCCCAACTCGCGCATACGCACGAAGGGACGGGCGAGAGGCGGAGCGAGTGGACGACCTCGATCCCTCCCCAGGGTTTCTCGCCGGTGGTGCCGGTGTACTTCACCACGGGGTTCGGCAACACGGATACGGATTTTTGGGCGGTGCGCGCGAAGTACAGTGCCGATGGCGGGGTGCACTACCTCCTACGACAGACGGACGAGAACTACAAGTGCATGCTGAAGTCCGGGGATGCGGGGCAGTTGTTCCATGTGGGCATTCGGGGCCAGCATTCGAGGAGTGGGGATTTTATTTTGGATATTCCGAGTGGGTCGTGTACGGTTGGACTGGTGCAGTCGAAGGAGGGGACTACTGGGTCTGTGAATGTTGAGTTGTAGGGGGTGCTGGGAATAGCTTCAGCTTACTGCCTCGGCTACTGTGTAGATAGTCGACGAGTCGTGGATTGCCGAATGCGGTTTGGCGCCATCTCTGCAAGCCGAGAATTTCTCTTGCGTCTTTTTCCTCGCGCGCCCCGCGTATCTGCAATGCGGCCCTCCCGGTGGACCAAGGCCCTGGGGAACAATGAGGTGAAGATATCTGACCCGTATTGCTGTGGTCCCACCAAATCCCATATAATTCCATCCACTTCAGAACGTCATCCCACGATCGATTATGTAAAAGTTACCCCCATCCCCGGCCATGTTTATCTCATACAATCCGCGCTCCTCCACACAAGCCAAGCACAACCGCCGGAAGATAAACACATACGTGGCCGCAGTCGCGGCCGCAAATTCCAGCGTCAAGCGGTGCTCACAGTCCCACAAGACGGCTCCTACGACTGGTCCTGCGACCGGAAAGGCAGAGAACTTCACCCAAGCCCTCCATTGGTTCCCTAATTTTGGTGACGCTACGGGGGAACCTCCCCCTGCACGTCAGGCAGACGAACAGGGATCAGCATGTGGGAAGCCCGAGGACCCTGGCGCCGGCCAGCTTCCGGCGCGTGCTTTTGCTGCAGGGAGGTTCTACCCCATCGAGGGTTCGGGCCCTAGCTCTCGCGGACCGCTGGCACTGCAGGCTCTTGCCCACTGTGAGTCAACTTAGGCGACCCATCTTTGCTCATCTTCGAACGCAAATCTCGCTTTGAGCACGCACTGACATAGCCCCCGTTCGGATACCCTGCTGCAGTGTACGATGTCCTCCTCCCGTACGATGCGAAAGTGGTGGGCCTGGGGAAATCAGAAACAGACAGCTATGCGAGGGATCTTCTCGCATGGACCTTCGACCACGAGGAGGTTTTTCATAGCCAGGCGGCCTTCAGCCTGTGTATCATGTACCGAATCGATGACCGTAAAGGGGTTCATCAGGCTATCCTGTGGCATCGGCAGCACTTGCTAAGGGCCGTGCGCCAAAGACTATCCGCCCAACAAGTGGACGACGTGCTGCTGCACAGTCTCTGCACGATGATCTCCGTCGACGAGTGGCTGGGCTTCCACGAGTCTCGCGCCGTCCACCTGAAAGGACTACAAAATATCATGCGCGTTCGTGAATCCAGCAACAATGGGTTGCAGCTCACACTTCCACGGCCCAGTGTCGGCCCCGGTATGCTGCCACCGCATTCCCCCTTGGGCAAGGTAGTCCTCGTCAACAGGATTATGGTCGAGTTTCATCTGAAAATGAACCTCGGCTTCTCGCAGGAAGTGGCGCCACTGCCAACATCATCGTCCAGTAGACCCCCTCTCCAGCTTCTGAGCCCAGGCCCCGCCACATTTCTCGCTGGCGTGGAGGACCTCCTACCGCCCGGCTTCCAAGATCTCGCTCGGTCGGGCAGATTGACTCCCGCCCTGGTCGACCTTCTTTCGGACTTCTCGTTCTGGTTCTACAGCGGGATGGGCACGGACGCCACCACTCGCGAGACCTGGCGCTGTCTAACCTTCACTCCCAGCAATAGCCTGGAAAAGTGCATTGGCATTGCGCTGGTCTCGCTCGCCGACGATCTCAGCGCGCTGGGCTCCCACCCGTGCGCCGTCATCTTCCGACAGGCCGAGCAGCGCGCGCGCCTCTTCCGTTCGCTCTCATCTTTATTCGATGAGTGCTGGTTTCGAGACCTGGGGATCTGGATTATTACGATCATTGCGACGCCAGCAAGGACGTCGCGTCTGCCCTGGCTGGTCAAGATGGAGGTGCTGGGGATGGTGATGTTGGTCCCGCCGTGCTCACAGAGCGGTGGCTCCTACTATCGATCTGTTGACCAAATTGAGGGTGTCCTCCGGCGGTTCTTCTTCGATGATAGTCGCGCGGACGATGGGCGGAGGGCTTGGAAGGAGTATTTTGAGCTTGGAGGGGGGGATCCTAATACACCAATAGAATAAACCTCCCGTGCCTCAACGTTTTTTTTTCTTATTTTTTTTTTCGTGTTTTTGAATCGCAAAATCGCCCATAGCTCGTCACTCCTCTCTCCCCAGAATAATGTTCCAAATAACCTCGCAAAATGAGGCACTCAATACGGCAATATGCGAATCACTATACGGCAATATGCGAATCACTATACGGCAGCATCTACGCCGCAAACAGCAACGCAACCCCCGCGCGGGCACGATTTGCCCATTCGACTCACATCCGCATTATGAAATTGGAACAGTCTGGAAACCCATCTAGGACAGGCAACAAATCCGGAAGAAACATCAACTTCGAGTGCAGGACGGGTTCGTATCTGATTTGTAATCACAATGTACCACGGAAGCCTATCACACCCACTGAGTAACCCAGCAATGTCCTGGTAGTTTCACACGCAGAGGAACTGTATACAATTTTGTTCCCCAATTGTGCTGCTACAAAGGATAAAAGTATCACATGGTCAAAGTTACTAGGTTTCCCAATAAGAAATGTGTTCCGGATTTTGTACTAACAAAGTAGCCTGGCGCGGGCAAGCGGGGAGGTTGAAAATCGGTCAGCGTTAGCATTGCTTATACTGGGATAATCAGGACTGTACTTTTCATTCATAAGGTTGGCAGCGCCCTCTTGATCAAGCGGTAACCGCTGCGGTGAGGACACAACAGAAGAGGCTCTACTTGCCAAGTAGCCGCAATAGCCTCCCATCGTCTTCAAGGACAGTTGATAGTTTTCAATTGCATTGCTTCCCTTGGAAGTACTAAAGTTTCTCTTGTTTCCCACACAGACTTGTGTACCCTCTAATCCCGAACACACCAGCAGAACAAAACGAGAAGCCCCACACTGACGCACAGCATATAACCCAACCAAACATGCTCGTCCTTTGCCAACATCTCGCCCAGCATCCTCTCCAAACCACTCACAATTCCATCCACCCCCCAAAGTCCAAACGAACTCAACCCAACGGCAGACCGAAACAGATCACTGGTTCTGCATCCCATCCACCAACAGATACGGGGCGTTGTACGCGTGCTCGCACGAGCTGGTCCACTGGGTGCTGCTGGACTCGGTGGCGGCCCACAGCAGGGCGCAGCCGCTGGAGCAGCTGCTGTCCGGGCAGGCGTAGATGGGCGGCACGTAGTCCTGGCCGCTGAGGTTGGACCAGCCGATGTCGACGTCGTACTCGTCCTCGCCCACGGCCAGGCACTGCGCCGTCGTCAGCACCTCCATCGTCTGCGACCCGTCCACCTCCAGGTAGTGGTAGTCCGAGGAGCCGAAGCTGTGGTCGCAGTCGTCCCCGGCCGTGGAGATGATGACGCTGAACTCGATGGCTTGGGCGCTGGTCGCCAGGAGGCCGAGCGTGCTGAGGAGGAGGGTCTTGGGGATCATCGTTGCTGGGTTTTGGTTTGGTTTGGTGGGTTGGGAGGGTGGGGGTGTGCTGGATGGGTTTTGGGAGATAGCAGAGCTGAGCGCGAGAGAGGGAATTCGGATTTGGGCTCGTGGAGGATAGTTTGAATGGATGAAGAAGAAGCTGCTGGGCTGGGATTGATCAGGCTCTTTATAGAGCGCCTGCCGTGCAGAGTTCTACTCATTTCTTTAATCGTATCCCTCTTATCAGGTATGATTCAAGCTTCGACTGTGCCTGCGCCGATCATCATTTCAACAATCATCCTGGGCTTCACCGGATTAGGAAGAAAACTCGGGTGAGAGGTCCCTATCGTCATATTGTCGTTGAAAATCAAGCTTTTGCGCCCTGCAGGAATATCTAGTTTGGGGGCGGAGGAATTAGTCTGGTTTGATGAGGCTGCGGAAGCGGGTCCTCCAGGGTCCACCGACCCCTTGGGTGGAGTTCATTCGCAGCCTTGTCCAGGAGGATGAGTGAATAAATGAATGAATGAATGTCAGGCCATGGATACTCTATCTTACATGGTGCTCTCGCGATACGGAGTAGTCAGTAAAGTGGTAGTTACCTGTTACTCCTAAGCCTCAGCAATCAATTACCGTCTCCATCTGTCGGTTGTGTAGATACTATATGAGTAGATGAGTTTTGCGAACAGCAGATGAAGAAAGTTACCTGGCCTCTTTGATCAAAAGTCTACTAGTAGAGGAGTAGTGGTTGACAATACATTTCTTGGTTACCAAACTGGTTCTGGTCAGTCCCGGTAGAAGGCTTGCAGAGGATATGATTGCGCTCGACAATTGTTTCTTGAATAGTACAAATGACTATAGATACTAACCTAGTAGCGTATTGCGAACTCGTCCGAGTCCTTCCCAAAGAATCTGTCAGTGAGGATAATTCTATCCTCGTAGCAGTAAAAGAACACTAGCAGAATTACTTTGACATTGCCTCACTTAGGTGGCACTGATGAATCCTTTCCCGAAATTCACCAAAAGTCCCCTCACCCCCCCGCCACTGCTTTGACGACCATTAGAAAGGCGAGGAATCTATGAAAGGAGTATACTGCCGCGGGCAGGTAGTGTTCGACACTGGAACTATGCCTTGGAAGTATGCCTGAATCTTTCCCAAGTAGCAGTCTGACGCCCCCTGGTCGATGACCGTATGCTAGATTCAACGGAAACATCCCGCGAGTAAGCCTGAGCTCTTGATCGAAGTGACTATGGGATTTGTGATTGGTGAACAACTTACACCAACAGCTTCTTGCATCAGAAGCACCGATCCGGCAAACCGAGAGGACATTTTGCGCGCCCTACGATGAGATAATGTCAGTTCGGTACCATGGATAGCCAATGACGAAGCGATTTGACCGGGACGTACGAGATCAGCGGCGTTATAGGGTCGATGGTGTTACTCGCAAAGAGAATTGGGAAGGACGTAGGCGTCTTCAATGCGCTGATATCACCTACATCACAACCTGATTAGACTTGGATTTCAGTGCAGATGGCCACCCACTCATCCGAAGGTGAAGTCTATAGAATACTATGAAGGCGAGATAGAGAGAGAGAGAGAGAGAGAGAGAGCAAAGAAGCGTTGCATACCTTGAACTACCATGCTAACAGGCAACTGCGGTCGGAACGATCGGCATAAGATACCTTCCAGATAGATTGGGTAGATATCGCCGATGTACTTGCTCTTGGATATCGTGTACTCCGCCCAAGTCCCGAACTCTTCGATGGTAGTAAGCTTGTTTCTCCGATACGAATCAGTGCATGTAATGGCAAGACGGGCATCCGTTATCGAATTTGACTGGTCATACAAGCCCGCAAGAGCAGAAAAGTTTCCCTGTTCGGCTTGGTGTAGGATGTCCGCCATGCTGGGAAAGGTTGCAAGTGGGGTGTAGATTGTGTTGAGAAAAAGAGTCTTGAGGTCTGAATAAGTGACCATTGTTGGCAGCAGGTCTGGATCGCCGACGGCGCTGAGCGAGACGGGATGGTTCTGAAGTTGACGGATGATGCCATCCATTCTCGCCGCGATGTTGGCCTGCGTGGGGCCCCAAAATGAGCACTTTGCAGGCCCTGCAGAATGGCAGAAGCTTGAGAATGTTTCCATGGCCTGGTCCATTTGATCGACATTGTCCGTCCAATAGTTGTTGTAGTATTGCTCTGCGTTCAAAACACCGTCGAGCACCATCCTTCCAACGCGGTCAGGAAGGATGGAGGCGAAAGTGCTTCCGATCACTGTGCCGTAACTGATGCTATAGCACCACAGTTTGGCGGCTGACGGTGATTGACCGGCCATTTGCGCCTCGGCTTCGGTAAAGGTAAGCAAGTCATGTGCAACGGCGGGCGTGGCCACATAGTACGCATGGGGCGACTTGTTCTCCACGGCATTGTTGCACCACTCTCCATAGATAGAGCTTGAATAGTACTGTTCCTCAAGCGATGTCGACGAAGTATTAGTAACGCCTGTTCTATGTAGTCGATAGAAAGTCGATCTGGCTTCTGTGTCCTCTGAGAAACAGTCTAGATGCAAGCCACTGTTGTTCACGCCGCGAGGGTCAAAGGAGACGAAGTTGTATTGCTCTCCAAACATTTGTCCGACGATAGTCTGGTATGTGAGGAGGAGGTCAACACCAGAACCACCCGGGCCGCCTGGCGAAGTGTCAGTCAAGTCCAATGAAGAAGTACAGACAATGTTGCCATGATTGATCGAATGAGTCGTACCAGGGATGAGTACAATGCTCGGAGACTCGACGGTCGCATTTTTGCCAGCCAGCTTGATGAAGGCAATCGACGTTGTACCAAGATCTCTGTTCGCATAGTCCAAAGGGACTTCCAGTTTAGAACAACCAAAGGCATCAAAGCATGGGGCCCATGTGAGGTTGGCTGATGGTTCAATCTAGATGGCTCGTCAGGAGCTTGAAGCCATCGGGCAACTGTGGTATCGTAGGTGCGCGAACTCACGTTGTCAAAGCCATAGACCATGGGCTGATCATGTAAACTGTGGGCTTTCAATCCCAAGCTCATGAAAAGGATGAGCGCGTTAGCAAGTCGGTTCATATTTAATCCCAGGGGTTTTTATTGATCTTTGTGTTGGCTTCATTGCAGTTATCAAAACAGTTGCGATGCTTAGGAACTATTTATACTAATTATAACTCCCTAGATCGTAACTTAGACTCTGACGATTTGAATAGGCAGCTGTATTCTTCCTGTTGATTCAAAACACCTCTTTCACTTTCTGTTCCGCTTGTACGAACAACCCAATCAATCATATTGCTCATCACCAGCAAGTATGACCACGAATTAATTGAGATTCATGCTCTTGCCGGTAGGTTTACATTGATACTTGCTCCTTATCCAGAATAATTTGATAGGCTCAGCTCAGCCTCCTTGACGACCCACCTGTACGAGCTAGCCAATCAATCACATTACAATCTGTGCTACTAGCCCATAAAAAGTAAGGTGAGATTTATTCCAGTTGAGATGATTAGGTACGTATGGACATTCTATAACTACTAGCCACTGGACCCTAAGCTATCTACTTAAGTAATCCTCCCTCCTCACTGACAACTCCCAATTGAAGTACCTCCGCTTGTACGAACAAACCCATCAAGTGCAGTCTTCCTCCAGCCTCGGCGTTTGTACTACGTACCGTCCACCTTTTCTCACCCCGGCCCCCACTGCAAGGGATGTGGCAATACGTGGCCTCGCAAGCCTTCCTTTCCAAGTCAATTCATGCGCGTGGTGGCTTCAGAATCGACCTCCGCCTGTAATAGTGCGTATTTGCATATTTTGTCTGCCTCGGATGACCATGATGAATGAGATGCAGAATAAGAAGCCCGGGACGAGCAATCAATCCTGGAGAAAGAAGCATCGCAAGTTCGCTCCGAAGTCCCGGCTAGGGTGTAAGACGTGCAAGTGTGTCTTTACTTTCACCTATTGCAGCAGGGAGATCAATTGGAGACAATGAATCTGACATGCCCTAGAATAAGACGAATTAAATGCGATCTAGCTCGACCCTCATGCTTGAAATGCTTTTCAACCGGTCGCACTTGCGATGGCTATAGTGAAATGCTCTTCGCTCCTAAGATCGAGAAGACCGAGACGGAATCAACTCATCATCACAGAGAGATCGTCCACAGAGCAGATACCTGCAACAGTTACCACCCCCGTACCACGATCAGTGCGCACGAGTCGGTGCCATGGCGCTCAAGTTACCATTCTCTCATTTTGCATAATCTCGGATCGTTTATGATATTACCAGCGAGTGGGTCAATTGAGGGAGAGGTAATGTGCTTTTTCAGGGATATTTCAATCAAGCATCTGAATGAATACCGCCCTTGCGAACTATGGCGGCAGACTCTCATGTTCTTCGCCCAAACAGTGCCAGCAGTGCGGCACGCTGCCATTGGTCTGGCCTTGATCCACCAGAATCATTATCTGGATTGTTACTCAAACGATCGATTGCAATATCAACCGCCTTCCTGGAAAAAACGACTAGCGGATCACAATCCTTTGCTTCACTATAACCGCGCCATTCAACTCCTGCTGAGCTGGGAGAACGGTGATAGCGCCGAATCCACCGTGGTCACACTGTTGGTCTGCTACCTCTTCACCTGTTTTGATCATCTGGCGGGCGACGACGTCCAAGCCGTGAAGCACCTGCGCGGAGGTGTGGCGCTCTCCCGCAGCATCATCAACAACGCTACATTAAACCGCTATAGCGATGACGATGCCCCGCCCTCAGGAATTCACGCGATTGTTGACCAGGTCACACACCAGATCCGACGCCTAGACATGCAGGCCGTCATGTTTCTGGTCGACTGGACTCCTGCTAGCCTTCAAGAGACATTCACGATGTCCCATGTTGCCCCCTTCGACAACAGTCCCTTCCGGTCCCTCGACCAAGCCGCCGACCACCTGCAGATCCTAGTCACTCAGGTAATGCGGCTTCGCAACACCGGTCACCAGATATCCCCGACAGGTACGATGCCGCCGTTGCCTTCTTCCCTCAACCACAACGTCCGCGCGCAGCTGGAAACGTGGTCGCGTCGCTTCGAAGCCCTCCTCCTGCTGTCAGGCAGCAGCAGCCCCTCTGCATCGTCAGACTCTACAACCAATCCGCTCATATCTCTCCTCCGCTTGCAACATACGATTGCATCGGTCCTTCTCGAGGGATACGGACCCGGCCGCGAAATGGACTATGATAAGTTCCTGCCCCAGTTCCGGCAATGCGTCGCCCTGGCGGGCGAGGTCGCGGCGGCGCATCATCGGTATGCGGGGTCGTCGTCACGTGCGACATTCACGCCTGAGATCGGATTCATCCCTGTTCTGTACATTGTCGGAGTCAAGTGCCGGCATCCGGTCGTCCGTCGTCAAATCCTCGATATTTTGCGGCGGCAGCCAATGCGGGAGGCGGCGTGGGATAGTATCTTGACTGCTCGGGTCGTGGAGCGGGTCATCGAGATTGAGGAGGGTGGTGATGGTGCGACTGGGCAAGAGCCGATGGTATCAACATGTATGGAAGAGATTCCCGTATGGCAGAGGATTGAGGCATTGTCGTATACGTATATCCCCGGGGAAAGGGGGTCGGCGGCTAGGTTGGAGATTGAGTATACATTCTGCGCCCTGGAGGGAGTACACATCGAGTCACTTATAATATGATGAAGAGGGTCATTCGGTGTCAAAGGAGCTCCGCCCTTGTTATCGAGACATCCCAATCTCAATGCCTTGATACCTTGGCGGTTGGAAGGTGCAGCTGACTGGCTTCACAACCTGTGAACAAGCTTAGTTGAATCACGTCAGATTATGTGGCCAGAAAAATCTTACAAACACCGAAAAGCATCACTGTCTGTAAGAGAGCAGGGTAGTAGTGCCAGTAGTATGGTTTTATCTTGTGCCGATGCGAGGAAGACGGGCTAACTATGGCAATAGCCTGGGTTTGCCTCTCTATCGATCAACCTGGAGTTGTACCAATCAGTGATACCTCTGTGTGAGGTGTATATATAGTAGATTAGCGCGATACAGTTCGATAAGACCTCTAAGCTTGTGTTCAGTAAAAGAGAGGCATGGAAGTTTGAAGATCTCCTTGTATACAACTATACAGATAAGTGTTTACTTGTATAGAGGCCTTATACATCGAGCAGTTGTGGTCATAGGAACAGCGGAAGCCCTAAGCTATCGCCACGCAGCTCCAAGTGGACCATGTACATCCAACCCCTGCCCTGATGAGCCTGTCGCAAGCAATAGCCATCTTTAGCGCCTGAGACAGCTCTGTAGCTGCAGCATCCCACTTGAGAAGCTTGATTGGTCTTTCGAGTCTGAACCATTTGGAATGATGTTTGCGACTGGTTCAAAAACATTGACACGCCCCCCGTTTCTCCCTGTCCCTCACCTTCCATTTTAACACCGTCCTAGGAAAGCCACCCGACTCGCTGACTACTCTAACCATCACTGCCATATCCTCTTCCCGATGTGAAACCATTCGATGATTGATAGTCGATAATATATTCTGTATGGTGACAGCAGACTGATGGTCATATGACGAGGATCCTACCCCACACAAAGGTTGATCCGCCAAAGCCGTCTTTCGAGCGCAGTTCACCTGAACACATGCCCCCTTCTAGAGCGGGACACCGCCTCACACAGTCGTAGTCATGGGATGCTCTGATTGCTTGAGGATATTCAAACCCAAGAGGGCCGGGCCTAAAGTGCATAGGGAGAAGAAGAAACCCGAAGAAGGGCCTACCTCATCTGCCACAGCACTGCCCCCCTCGTCCGAAGTCGATCTCCAAACCGAAACTTGCCAAACAGGTCACTCGAGTATTTTGCAACCTACTTCAGACATTGAATCAAATGATAAAGATGCATCAACCAGCATCGATGAGTCAATCAGCCCTCCGCCCCCACCGAAAAGCGAAGCAAGGGAAAACGACCCAGTCCGCGAATATCCCGATGATACCGGCTCTGAAGATCTATGGCAAAAAAGCTTTGATACTTTGTCAGAAGAAGAACAAGATCTACTCAGAGAGCTTCTAGATGGAAAGCCGGCCGCGACCGCGTCGGACACAGGGGCCACCGCACCCTTTAGCTCTAGTGACACGAACGCCCAGGAGATCATTGAAATCACTCGGGAGAGACAGAAGCAGTGGGAAAGCCGAACATACCAAATCAAGATTCACGGGCACAAGATCGTCCCCCGGAAATACACGGGGCGCATCATCGACTGCCTGACCACGGTCGGCGATATCGGGGTTCAATTCCTGCCCCAGCCAGCAAGCATAGTCTGGCCCGTGGTGAAAGGCGTCATGCAGGTATATCTTGGACGATCTCTCTTCTGCCAGTCAGTCCTTTGAACTAATGTATCTGCGTAGGTTCCGGTCAATGCAGAGGCCGAAACGGCCGCTGCGATCATGACGGCAGACATTCTGATTCGAATCATCACTTACAGGAAAGTATACGAGGAAACTTATCGCGGAAAGCTCGAGTCCAAGCTGTGGGGCTTGCTCCAGTCGGCTCTCGTCAATCTATACGTCGCAGCATTGGAGTTGGTGGCATTTGCCCTAAAGCAGTTCTCGCAGCATACCGCTTGGCAGCTGGTTCGAGCCCTCCTGAGCCCTCAGGCGGATCAGAGCCAGGTTTCGGGTCTGCGGAGTCGGCAGTCTGAGCTGATTGAGGCTGTTGATTCGTGTCAGAGTAAAGTTGCCAGCCAAATGAGCGATGGTATTCTTAACCTACTCAAGAAGATTCGCGAAGCTTGACGATGGAGTTGAGGTAAATGAGGAATGGTTGAGATCGGCTCCTTGGGGACGCAGAAACGAATCTCAAGTGGCAGAAGATAAAGAGGAGGTGATGAGGCTTTTGGTGGAGAGACAGGGCAAGACACTTCACTCAGAAGAGCCCGTTTAGTTTCAGTATGCTGTCTGATTATTCTAAAACCATGTGCGGCTCCATCTGACGACGCTTTCAAGCTATCTCCAAGGGAGTCTAGAATCTAGGCCGAGGAGAGCCGAGTTGATCGTGTGCCCTGCCACCGAATCCAAATCAATAGAAGGACCGAGATACTGATTGCGCTTGCTTACCACGACAAACATGAGTTTGACTACATACACCATTAGACTCTCTGTCTGAATAACCAGGCAGCTCAGATACAAGAAGCAGAGCGGCAAAGGGATGGGCTGCGTTGGTATGACTATGGTACAGTACTAGGTACAGCCAGCGAATGAAGCAAAAAACATACAACAGAAGGGATTCGCTGGTGGTCACCCACCCAACTACTAACCTCCCGGCGTGTGGCTTAAGTACGGCTGAGCGGACGGGAAGCCCTGTTCTCCACACCCTGTGGTCGTATGTGCTGGGCAACCTTTTTTATAAATCATAACTCCTCTGTGCCTGATCAGCAAAGGCTTCATACCTCGATGCTTCCTTGAGTAGGACACCATAAACAATACGGATAACCAGTTTCTTGTCAAGAACTACACCACGGCCGCACATCCCTTGGGCATAATACGGGTCATATCTCGTTCTGCACGGCCGGAGTTCGGGCAATAGTCTTGCAGTGATTGAGCGTGGGATTGGATCGATCGCCGTGGCTTGCAGTTGGTACGTGTACGTCGAACCTTTTCTCCTAAATGCAATGTCTTCTGAATGATATTATAGCCTTTGATTATTGCTCATTAGCAATAATAATCAGCTATATTTCAATATCTATGATAACCATAATCGAAGTTTTGTTCTTCTTTTTGTAAAAACTGTAAGTTTCTGTCTAGCTATATTCCAACAATTTCTAGCATTGTACTCGGGACGAATTAAAGCGGACATGAAGAGCTAAAAGTCAGGGTAATTGGAGAAAGAGTGTGAAGGAGGTGCTATATCACGATTGCGGTACAATGACTTGTTATTTCCTGCGCTGTGTTCGATAGCATCCCATCGTGGGTCATCGGCTGATGAAGCCGTGCTCTGCACAAATACCATTGGGGCTGGACACTCAGCGCGCCTCGAATAATTGCGCATTTCAGGGATCAGCAAGCATTGCTCTACTATTGTGAATTCTCTACGGCCTCGATCCAAGTCCGGGCAGCAAAGAGTAGTAGGAAGAGAGTAGCTGCAACGTGCCACGAAATTGAAATCATCAGCTCTCTCACATACTTATGGATTAGCGGTTCAATGCTTGTCATATCCGATCATCATCCTCCAGCTACATCATACCAATCAACCAAGCTCCAAGATTCAACATCAAACGACACCCACACATCTCCAAGTATTCCACTCCCAAACGGCTGCCCCCCCACCGCACAGCACAGACATACCAGACCTGACTGCAGGGCCGTCCTCTCAAAAACCCCAACTCGGCAAGAACCGACGCAATCGGGCGAAGGCCCCAGGACCCAGACCCGGGATCGCTCGGCCACCGAGGGGATGGCCGGCGCACATGCGGACGTCGGCCATCGTCACGCCCTCGGGCAGCTCGGCGGGGTCGATCCTCATCACGCTCAGGGACCCGCACTCGGCTTCGGCCGCGGCGACCTCTTCGGGGGTGGCGTCGGGGCGGAGAGCGGCGAGGGCGGTGGTTGCGGAGAGGCCGAGGAGGAGGGTGAGGTAGGTGAAGGGATTCATGTTGGCGTTGGCGTTGGAGATGGAGGATTAGGCGATGGTCTTATAGAGGGGTGTAAAAGCCTCAGATAATGAAAACGGTTGAAGAGTATGAGAGGGAGAGCCGGTTAAGCAAGAAAGATGGTGGGGAAAGGGATTCTGTACCTCCGAAACCCAGAGCGGAATACTGGAGAGCTATGTGGTAAGTGTAAAGGGAAAGGGGACAGGCGCTAATCCTCTGGGCAGTGAAGATTTTAATATGCTGGGAAGCAGCGGGCTGGATCTTAGCTGCTACTAGCGGGCAAGGATGAACGACTCACGTGCTGAGCAGGAACGTGGTGACGTTCGGTGTTGGATCTCAGCGCTTGGCCTGGCTGGTGGGGAGCCTGCTGCTTTATACATAAAGTAAGCCCTAAGACCGCCGGCACCGGGCAAACAGGCGACGTGGTCGAATGTCGCCCCAGGCAGCCCGATTGGTCGGTACCTTCATTTTCTTGCTGCCTGCCATGTGGTCACAGGGAAATATTGTTCCTGGATGAACAAAGGGACTCGTTTCCCAGGCAAGGATCTATCCAACCAGGGAATTTGAGTCATAGAGTACACCCAGTGAAGCCTGATCCTGTCGCCGCTCTTATCCACGAAAGCAGGCACACCGGAGATTTTAGCATCGGGTCAGAATAGAAGGCCATCGATGTAACGTCAGGATCACGAAGACACGGTCCGGCCCGATCTTGGAGTGGGGAAGCATCCATTCTTTTCCGATTGTACTAATTTGTTGAGTGTCCTGGGACCTTTGAGGCTTGTGGGTTGGTGCTGACATCCCGGATGAATAGGTCACGATAGGAGTTCTGAACACGGCAATTCATGGTTCCACCACGGAGATACATAGTCTCAGATACTCCGGAGAGGCCAAACAGAGCTAGGTCTCGAGGCTCGTGGCCTGCTTCCTCTTCTTACGTTGCCACGGTAGTCGATCACTGGTGTGACGCAGGGCTCAGCTCAACTCTTGCCTATTGTGAATAAGCGTAAGAAAAAAGGACGCTATTGCTCCTGTGTCTCAGTTCGAGGTGGCTGGCTCGATGCCTCGTTAAGGGTCTGAGACATCCAAGAGCCGACAAGGGCGTTGATTGGTCGGTGGTGATTATGATGGCACTTGGCGGAAAGTCCCCCAAACGGGGCACCGATGTCTGTCCGATATTAAGTACGATTAACTCCAGTGATTCTGTTAGGGCAGTGGGGAGGTGCAAGGATATGAACCCTTGAAGTGGAAAGTCTCTCATTCAGCACAGCCTTCCCAATTCGCCATTACATCAAATGGTGGTATGTAGTAAGAATAATCATAGCAGGGGCAAAATCCAAAGGGTTCAAATTGACCATCAGCATTGAGGGGGGTCAGAAATTAGTGCGCGTGTATTCGAAAATCAAAAACATGTAATTCTCACGATGGTTAGAATAACTTAGATTTTATGAGTTTTTCTTCACTGCCATAATTGCTACTTTGAAATCAATGTAACCATAACTATCCTGGTATAAGGACATGTTTAAGACTATTGACTCATATGAAACCTAATGTAAGAACTTAGTCTCCGAGAATTCTGATATTACTGACGTAGAAAGAGGCCTGTGCATTATCCTTAAGCTTACCTGATTCACAAAAAGCTCGGAGAGAGGTTAAGGAATACCAAGTCTCGGCATCTGTCACCCTTCCCCTCCGTACGAACGAATTATCTGGAGTCAACCAGAACGCAGTAAGGTAGGTAGAAAATCGCTTTGAAAGACTAACCACAGATCCTTGGACTGAGAGATAACCTGCCTGTGCGCAAAAGCTCTGGAAAAGCACTGGCAGTATTCTTCATACAGTATATATCGGCACAAAAGGCCTTAGAAGACTGGTAGGCTGCTGAGGAAACCTACTTCTACTTAACTCAGGACAAAGGAAAAGACCAGAATGAACAGGCAGCTGCTCCAGCCTATCCACCTCCTACGAGACCTATGCGCACATTCTCTAGCTGCATCGCGCCAGTCCCACACTACATGGATCCCACGACTAGCAGGCTTGGGGATTGGTGCTGGCTCGATATGACCAGGGGTCAATGGGGGCTGAGGATGCGTTGCGCCTGCGGTCACCGACCTCGTCGGCGCACCTCTTCCTCGCCAAAATCCTGCCCATCGAGAAGGGGGCCAAGTACGGTGATCAGTCCACCGGAGGTGAGAGCCCATGGGCTGTGGATGGTAGTATCGCCTCTCGGATGTAGACCCTCTTATCATTACAGGGTGAGGTATAAAAGGCAAGACGCATTCCCATCCATCCAAGGGATATATCGAGGCAGGTCTATCACCTTACAACAAGACATTCTGATATCCATATCCAGTCCTCCCACTTGCCCAAGATCGCACATCTCTCATTTACAACCGGTAGGCCCCGTTATCCTCTCTTCTTCCTCTTCTTCTTGCCCGGTTTCGATAAACATACTCACCCTTCCGCAATCTCCAGCCCCCAATCCACAATGAAGCTCCCCCTCGCCCTCACCAGCCTGCTCGCCCTCACCTCCGCGCTGACCCTCACCCCACCCGACACGGAGAAGGCGACCCCGTCGTCGAGTGCGGCAACCTAGACGTCATGACTGTCGACCCCGCCGACCTCCTCGCGGGCGTCGCCCCCAGCGACGTCCGGAAATGCCTGGACCACCCGCTCGGCCGGAACCGGCACGTCAAGCGCGCGGCGCTGGCGCCGCTCGACGCGGTGGACGTCTCGTTCTGGAACAACAGCACAGTGGACGCGGGCACGGGCGCCAACACCAGTCCCGTGGAGGCGCGCTCGGATGGCCTCGACGCCCTAGACAAGCGGTCGTGCTACAAGGACGCGCCGTACGGGTGCTCGGGCGGATACTGCTGGAAGGCCTGCGGGAACACGAACAAGGGGGAGTGGTGCTGGACGGCGGCGAAGGCCGGACTGGGCGCCTGGATCAAGTGCAGCAAGTGGCAGGACTGCGGGACGGCGACGTACGCGTGTGGGAGGGGAGGATGTCCGGCTTGTGGGTGCGCTTGCTAGTGGGAAGGGTGGATGAATGGTCAATGCGGCTATGAGGAGTAGTGTGGGAGTTGAAGTAGATAGTTAGGGTTGGTGTTCGGCTGGCAGACGGAGGATGGACGACCTAGGCTGTGCTGTCAAACTAGGTAAAAGTTGCAATATGAGGATATACTTGGTAGGCCAAAGTAGTAACTGTCTTAGCTCGTCCTGTTCGTCAAATTCAAAGACGCTAAGCAGCGTGCTTGCTTACTCGATGTTATTTGTCCCATCCCGCCGGAAAATGCCGGCCTCACACGATGGATAACGAGGTGGACTCGGAGCGGATCTTGGCGTTTGCGGCTCCCCCCTTCAACCGGACAGATACTCTCCGGATTCTGCATGGACTGGCAGTCGCTGATATGATTGAAGCCAGGATTTGACGGATGTGGTGGCGGCGCGGAGGGCGGGGGAGTTGCTGGTTTGATCGTTGGGAGGGGAATGGTGTAGGCGGAACAGGAGGAGAGTGCGACTTCTCTGAATTAGCCTTCTTTGCTTATCGTTTGTGCGCTGTTGGGGACCGGGGGTCAAATTTAATCGGGGTGTAAGAGGTAACAGTATCGAATTACGCTAACGAAAGCTTTGCTCTTGAGTCAACTTGGCTTGGCTGTGCTAGTCAGCGGAAAACCACAAAGGATACAGTTTATACAGCTTTTTCTCTATACAGATCATACAGTGGCTGTACGGGTCTACACTGCCTAATTACATTGGTTCCATCTATGAATGGAATGCCTTCTTCCCCTTGTACTGGTTTCTCGATTGAACCATCAGCAAAGCATAGAATTGTCTATGAGCGCATATAGTTAGCCTTAGACACAAACCGGTAAGAATAGGACCAGTGAGTTATAGCTACCTTGACCAAGTAGTCCATGCAGTGCGGCCAGTGACCATCGTCATGCCAATCTTTACCGATCGCTTCGCCCTCACTCGCAGCTTGGAGGGCTTGGCGCATCATCATGAGGCAGTGTAATTGATGGAACCTGTTAGGCGTTAGCAGTAGGTCAATATTGCCGGCTTGGACACTGACTCACATGCTGATGCCTCCTTGCTCTTTCCTGTTCCCTTTCTCCGCGGTATAGATTAGGCCAGCCGTAGTCTTGTTCATTGATAGTTCTGCCCACAGATGATCAAATGATCGATCAAGCGACTGGAACTCTTTGTCTTGTGTGAATGTCGTGGGGACTGTATCCTCGGTGCTATGGTTCGATGCACACGACCTCGTGTCCAGTTGTATGATCGACATAGGCAAGTTCAACAAGCTCAGAATTAGAATCATGAGCAGAATAGTGATTCTGGTGCGAGGATGTAGAAGAACATGGGCAATGAAGGTTGCCTGACTATTCGTATGGTGACCGCTCGCTGGGTCTGGTGACTTGTCATCTGAAAATTCGCCCGAGAGGAGACGGCGGTAACTCATATTGATGGAGGATGGCAAGAAGAACGTGGATTGTACTTTGCAGAGGTCTGTATACGGATCAATGACGCCTCCAGTCTTATATATCTTTCTGTAAAATTCAAGTGTGAGTACGTTTACTGTGTATCTATATTGGGGTTAACTAGGGAGGTGGACCTTTCCATTCCACACAGCTTTACATTTAAGAACCTAGCACTGACCCTTAGAAGATAACAACATAGCAGCACATTATAACCATAATCTCTTGTGGCATCATTCCAAGGAGCGCCGACACTGCCTGCCTTGTCTCTTTCCGGATAAAGGTTAAACTTTCTTCGAAGGTTAGGGCTCAAATGTGGCGTTTGATAGAATTCGGAAGGGGCAGGCTCGGTGAACAACTCACTGAGGGACAATACTAGGCAATTCGGACAGCTGTTAGGACAAATATGTGCTTCTAATAGAGATCAAAAGTCTCGACGCATTTGAATTAGCCCTGCAGGATTACTAACCGTCATTTCCTTTTTGCTTTCCTTCGGTACGTACTCTTCAGGCTAAGCACAGCGAATCTTCCCATACTGGAAATGTACGGTGTAAATTAATTCAATTAGACCTGAATAGTAGGATTACTTGACAAGGATTGCAATGCATATTGAAAAGGCCAAAAGAAAGACTTCAGATAAATCTGACCGGGCGTCGCGGCTGTGTACAAAAAGCTCAAGAGAATATTGGCGTGCCCCTGCGTTAGTACGACCCCGTGGCACATAATATTAGGTTTAAATGCAGCAGCAGTATATATGTATTAAAACACGAGTATTGAATTCTACATGTATCAATGTACAGTACAACCCCTTACATATGTCTGCTGAGTATTAGTAGGGGGAAAGCATAAATCCTCTCTTCCAAGCCGACGCCTGAACAAACAACAAAGAAAAATACATACCAGGTGTAAGACCGAACGGACATCCCTTGTTAGGACATTGCCTCGGAATCATACTTCCTTTGTTTCGATTCCCCGCAGAATCCGCCACAATCTGCGGTGCATGTAGGGGACCGGCTTCGTAAGCATTCTTGCGATTGCCGCCAACCATACACGATTGGGTTCCTGCACATGGGGTTGGTCTAGATCCAGCCCTACCTTGTAAGCCACAATATGGGTTCTGTTGATGTTTTATTCAACCTTCGCTTGCACTGCAGCGGCCTTGGCATGATAACTGAGACATCTCCCTAGAACTGTACAATTGTGGTTGTCCTTTTAAACCTTGTGGCTGAAATCAACTGGATACTTGGCTAGGTTTCGCAAAGCAGAACTTTACAGATTACTCCGAGCTTTAAGTTGTGATTCAACAAGTATCAGTACTGAAATCGAAAGACCATCGAATCATAGGAGTAAAAGGAGGGCTGGGTATGGCTGACAGCATGTATCATACAACGTGCGACAGCAGCGGAATTACCTTGTAAGACCTCTGTATCAACCGCTATCGCGCGACGTAAGAACAAAACTTACCCTTGACTATTCTACACTCATTCGCACTCGCGCTTGGTCTCCCTTGTCGCACGATGTTAACACAGCTCTACTCTCGCTCACTCACTCTGGGACACTCACGAGTCGAGTTTGACTCTTCTCGGCATTCCGATGAGGGCTTCAAGGCAGCTTGGGGCCTGATTTGTTCAATTGTCAACAAGCCCGCTTCTCAATCTCCGCCATCAGACCGGCCTGATGAAAGAAGAAATAGTTTTCTGTCATGAAACGCTCCGGGTGCTGGATTTTGATCTGGGTTTAAGGTCAGATCGACTTCTGTGAAAGGTAACTTAGCACCTGAACTTACATGGTACTTGACTAGTAACGTGGCAGTCAACTTTTTAATCCCGAAGATGGCGATGTTCTTTCCCAGGCACATACGTCTTCCTGCCCCGAACCAGATCGTATTCGAATCAGCATATCGAAACTTTTGTGGGAAGTACTGCGTACGCTGAGCATGGTCTTTTCCATAATTGCCGGGCTATGATCATCCGAAAGCCACCGTTCCGGCCGCCAAATGTCGGCATCCTCACCAAAGACCTCTTTGTTCCGATTGATCACCCATGGGTTCATACCAACAGTCGTCCCGGGAGGGAGATAGCGACCACAGACAGTCATACCCGTCGAAGGGACGATCCGCTTGAACGGCAGACAGAACGGGGGGTGTAATGGCATATAGAAGCCCCGTGTCATCTCTTCCTGTCTCCAGAAAGCCATATTGCTTGGAGAAGGTCATGGAAGCCATACTCTCAAAGGCAAACAGTTGCAGCCACGATCCCAGGTCGAATACTCGCTGCTGCTCGGCAAATCGCGTAACCAACTGTGCGACAAGAAGATCAAGCACTCGATCAACGGTGTTCTCGAAGGTCAACACATTGGACATCGTATACAACGGGGCGATTGGCTTTCGGAGAACGCGGTGAAAGGGCTCGTCTCGGGTGTTGAAGACAAGAGGCAAAAAATCCCCCTTGCCGACAAAGGGCATCAGGGCTCGGTAGAAGTTTCCCTGGTAGGTGTTGCAAAAGGTAAGCAACCATCGAACCCGGCTTGATTAAGAACTAATACACCTTTTTGACACCAGTTCTGCTAGGGTACACTGTGGGGAGGGCGTTGGGATCGGAGATGGATATCATGTTCGGACCCAGTCGAACAAATGTGCCGTATTTGTCATGCAGTTCCGTATGAATTTCGTGCGAACGGCCAGTTTGCAACCAATTCAGTCGCTGTAGATTGGTGGATCGCGCCCAAACAGGGCCGGGGAATTGCCGTATTTTTGATAGCTCACGATCGTAGCATACAGCAAGTGCAGCCCTAGGATAAGCCCTGCGATCGTCGATGGCGACGCCCATCCCAGTGGAGAAGGAAAGGTATAGAGAGAGAGCAATGAAGAGATCATGGCTGTCGATAGAAAGTCTCGACCAAAATATTCTCCGGCGGTGGGCTGCCTGTGGTTGTTAAATACTCCCTTCTTCAATATCCTCGGCCCGTTGGGTTATATACATTGCGCTCACTTCCCCTCCTCCCCAGAAGTGATCTAAGGTACAGGCAAGACAAGATTCTAAACTGATCTACAATCACATGTACAAGATCCTTGATAAGAAATCTCGACCGAAACTGGCATATAGCCAAGATATAGATCTTGCTGACGTCACAACCCTAGTATGATTCAAAAGATTGTCTATCAGCCAACATCGAGCACAAACCACAAGGAAGAGACTTGCTAGAATAGCCATGATGATCTAAGGCAGTAATGTGACCTGAAGAAATTGGTCATCTTCCATTTATTGCTTCTATATGCATTGACCAAACCTCGGCTCACTCACGTGTTGATTAAGTTTACAAAAGCTTGTTTCAGGACCCAAGTATCTCACCTAGAGCAACCAGATGCCATGAAGCAGAAAGAATAACTTCATATTTCAGCAATTATGAAAGTCAAATGCTTTCACTGGTTCTGTACCAGCAAGCGAAGCTTGCCCTGCCCGAAACCATGCTCCTTCCTATCAAAGATTAGCTTAACCGAAATCCCGCCAATGCCCAGCTTAATAAAGAGTGAACGGCCAAGAGAGACCATGCTTATCATTGTTAGTACAAGCACAGGACCTTATTTTTATGTCGGCGGACGGAATGCCTGTAAATGGCATTGCTGTTCCACAATTATGTTAGTCGTGACGTCTTGAACACATTTAACATGCCTTGTATCATACCGCGCAAAGAGTCGAGTTAATGTTGTTTAAGCTTTTGGGGTTACAGGTTGCCAACCGAGGTACATATGATGACCTATGTCACTACAGGAAGTGGTTTTGATATGATCAGCTGTCTAGCAGGTTATAGTATAGGGTATGTGCCCGGGTGACTTTTAGACGTTAAAGCAGGCAGGCATCATGCAGCACATCATTCCGAGGATCTTTAACACTGGAATTTCATTTCTCCCTCACTACAGCCCACTTCTTCTTTCTAAACTTTGCCTCTTGAGGTATGAACTGGTGCTTTCTATAGCATATTGAAAGTCGTTGTGTATCCACAATCTTACGTCCCCAAAGTGCAAAGAGAATGCACAAAGACATCGTTGACAAGCTCAGTCACGATGACCAGAGTCCTGCTACAGCTTCCACGGTCAGCTTGCCCTTGCGCAGAACTTTCCCTCAGCCGACTTCAGAGGTAGTTATTTAATGGTAACGAGCATGTTGTCACGGATAGTTTGTACCCCACGTCTTCTTCCTTATCTAGCTTCCCACACTGTCTCGTGTCAAGCACCTGAATTTGTGTCTTCGCGCTTCTCCATTATGCTGTACTCCGAAAGGCCCACGGCTGGTACACTGACGTCCCGTCATAGGGACAATCCCAAGATGTGGCTGTAATTGGCCTTGCGTGTCGGCTGCCCGGCGACAATAACTCGCCGGAAGAACTATGGCACTTTTTTAGCGAACAAGTCCGACGCATGTAGCGAGATACCGCCGGCACGATGGGAAGCGTACCCGCGTCGGGATGCTGCCAGTGCACGAATACTGGCCAACGTCACCAAGCGGGGATATTTCGTTGACGGAATAGCAAACTTCGACGCTGCGTTCTTTGGGATCTCTGCGAGAGAAGCCGAGCAACTGGATCCACAGCAACGGATGTCCCTGGAAGTGGCGTGGGAGGCGCTGGAGCATGCGGGGATCCCCCCGTACAGCCTGGTGGGATCCGACACGGCCGTATTCATGGGTGTCAATACCGGTGCTCCCCGCGTTACCATTCCCCCCAATATCCGGCGTTGTCCACGCAGCTGGCGTGCTCGAAGATCAACTCATCTTGTCCGCCACCTCGGACTCGTTTGAGCGAGTGCTAGCACCAAAGGTGGGCGGCTCTCTCGTACTGCATCGGCTGTTTCCTCCGGGAACGTTGGATTTGCTCATTCTTTTCTCCTCCTGTGGACATCAGTTCGGCTTCCCGGGACAAGGCTCGTACGCGTCCGAGAATAGCTTCCTGAACAGCCTTGCCACGCACCGTCAATCCCTCGGTGACAACGCCATTGCTATACACTGGATCTGTTGGCGTGGGATGGGAATGGCAGCAAGCCCCGCCGCCTTCCTGTATGCCGAGCTTGCCGCCAAGGGCATCACCGATATATCCCGCGACGAAGCGTATCGTGCATGGGAGCACCTGTCCCAGTACCAAGTCGATAACGCCTTTTTAATGCTCTAGAGCTAGAAGCCAACGAGCCCCTGGCTAGCCCTATTCTGGGTGAGATCGCCGTCCGAAAGCGCGCCACGACAACACTCGATAAGCCACCGTTAACGCCGGCTAGATCGTCCTCCTCCAGTAGCCAGAGCCTCAAAGCTGTGGCCACGGCTATTGCCGACAATGTAGTGACTGTGCTGCAGCTGGATCCGGATGATGTAGACTACAAAGTGCCACTCAGCAGTATGGGGCTGGACAGCGTCATGATGGCCCATCTGAGGACCCAGCTGCGCAAAACCCTCGGGCTGCAAGTCCCTACGACTCTGACTTGGAACTACCCGACTATCGAACATATGGCTTCGTGGTGCTGGGAAAGGTTGCAGGTGGAATGAAATGATGGCCTTGTGATACTACATGGTTCTGCTTGGAAGGCCGTTCCCATTGATCCACGGCCAAGTCTCCCACCGCTCACGAGCATTCACAGGGATGATTACGGGCATAGAAGCACTAACTTCTGAGCTTGAAATCTCCAGCTCCCCGCTCTTGTTCACACTGACCCAGACAACAGCCATGGCTTGATTCGTTCAGTTGGTATGGAAAAGAGCCCGAGTCTTAAGACCACGCAAACGTACCGGAATGGGAAAGAAATAGCAAACATGTTGGTGGGTTATGCGACAAAAACATTAGATTCCCACGTTGCAGAACCATAGGCAAGCCCCCACACACGCAGTAGCTCCGCTCCGCTCCGCCTCGCCTCGCCCCGCCCCGTCTCCCCCTTGGACGCTGCAATGACATACGTAATATAAAAGAGTCAGGACATATATTCAGGGCCATCGGGGTAGACCCCGCCACAAGATCTCCGCCCCACGTCCTCTCCAACTCCCTCTTCCGCTCCCCCTCCCTCGTCCCCGGCCTCCTGAGGCCACCCCTCCGCGGGGCTTAACAGGCTCTCCATCCGACAATTGTCCCAAATGCCCCTGGATCTGCGTGCACCACCGGAACATGATAGCTGGTTTCAGCATGAACGGGAGCGCCTCCGACCCGAACATCTTTTTCGCCTGCGCCTGCACTTCCCGATCGACAGCCTCAGCCTCGACCCTCTCGAAATCCTGCTCGTGCGGATCGTACCGCCTTTGCGCCTCCGCCAGACACCAATACGCTTCAACCCGGTCATGGTCACTCACATCAACGATCTGCACGGGGGCGTCACCGAGTAGCCCGAACAGGCCGGACTCAGCCCCGGTCCGCCGGTCCGCATGGACGACCATCACCCGCACGACAACCCGCCAGCATGCAAACCGCGAGAGGATCTCCCGCAGCACCGGGGGCGGAGTGGCGGTGTCGGCGACGTAGAGCCAATCCTCCATAAATGACGCGTAGCCAGTCTCTGGAGGAATGGAAGTGATCTGAGCCGCCCGCCAGGCGAGGTACTCCAGAGGCGAGCCCTCATCGGAGTTTTTGCAGAACTCCGCCTCATACGCCGGGGTCCAGTTCAGGTGCACGCGGTCCCGGGCGGGATCGAGCCACGACCTCACGTACGAGGTGCTCGCCCACCAGCCGGGCCCTTCTTCCCCGTCGGGGGCGAATCGTTCCGGGAAGTGGCCATTCTCGAGCACGACCGCGCGCGACTCGCGGCAGACGGCGCTGAGAAGTGGAGGAAATCCGTTGATCCACGCCCCGTCCTGGAACTCACAGGGTGCCCGGTCTCGTGAGTACAATATCAGGTTAAAGGGGTAGTCGAGTTCGTGGATGCGGGAGGGGAGGCATAGTCGCCAGATCATCAGGCGGATTTCGGCCGGTAGCCGGGGGAAGGATTCGAAGGTTGTGAGCATGATTTAACTGACTTTGTAAAACTTAGGGACCAAATAAAATTATGCCAAAGGAAGTCGAGTCACTGTTTCCTGGAAAGTTTGTCCAAATTGCGGGGTCGGCACTTGGTTGGGCAGCCGCATACTGCCAACAAAGATACAGAAGGTGTTGGCCCCCCACTAGATCACTAGATTATAGATGACTTCGATCTAAATTAGCTTGTTCCCACTGCACCACCACCACCACCTAGACTACCACCAGGCTCCTTCTATTTATCGTTAGTCTAGGGGGAGTCGGATCCTGGCTGAATGCTTGAAAGATAAACAACTATTGGAAGACCTTGTGCGCGGACTTGCTGTCTTGTTCTCGGAACGAGGTATCCTCTGATTGTTTTGTTGTTTTGTTGGAGTTAGGATCATGGTTGGTTGCGTAGGGAAAAAGGGCCGATCAGGGTCTCCGGCATCCGATCTCGCTGTCTCTCACGTGATGAAAGAAACTTATCGGGGTTGACTTACATAGTAGTTATCGCCTACGACGGACTTATCAAGCGCTTCGGAAGGGTCATCCATCCATCGGCTGCTGATCATTGCCAAGTTAGGGCACGATTGTGCACTCTCCGTACCGAGGACCCCCTAAATGTCTTCATCGCTAGTGGAGTTCGTAGGCGAAAAAATCCCCTACAAAAGTGTACAACTAAATTCCCTAGCCAAGACGAGATATTTTGTTGGACTGCGTGGTCTCAGCGCTGATTTTACCTAGACCTGGCCTTTGGGCCTGTTACACCTAGGGCAAATCGCAGAATAGTCACGTAACATAGGGCTCTCGTTTCCGTATCCTCTTTTCTGTCTAGATATTGGATAGCCAGCCGATTGCAGGACATGTTTTAGTAACTTAAGCATTTGATTATAGAAAATAATGCTAAATCCCGCAGTCATCGAGGCAGTCTACAGCATTAAGCTCAAGCTAGCACTTGATCTATTGACTGCTAATACTGGCTGTTTACCTGGGATGTAGAACTCATATATTGACCGAATACTAATCGCCTCCTACAGGACGAGATTCTTAACATTTAGATAGTAGCAAGGGTAGTAATCTATATATCTGACTGTGTCTAGGTACTGGGCGCACCAGCTGTGAGCTTGATGCTCAACAGGTATAATCACCTAAGAGCCTAGACTCCAATTCCTGGCACACCTGGACAGCCATGGCATGACTGGCGGCTTGCTTTGTGGCTTGCTTCTCGGCCTTGGTCGCGTAATTGCCCGTGTCCTTGCCGGAATCGTTGATAAGCCCGATGATTGTTTGCTTCAAATCCTCGTCACCATTGACGTGATCCGTGATGGTTTTCTCACTGTCGACCGATTGCCAGATCGAGCCATCCAAGGCGGTGTTGGATTTCGTTTCGACGGTCTGGTTCGGAAGTCAGAATATTAGTGACTGAGAGTGATTCGCTGACTCTGGGTTAAAAGTCGTGGAAAGGATGCCCATTGAATGAGAAGAAAAAGAGCAAAGGAGGAAAAAAGAAAACCGTACCCAGTCGTATCCGAGGTCTTGCAACTTCGCGTTCAGCTCCTCAATCAATCCGGCCGCGTTATCGGCAATGCGGGCTTCGTGCGTAGACACCATGGCACGCCGCGCGTGGTCGAGCGCGCTATCGAAGGCTTTCTCGTTGATGGAGGCGGAGCCGGTGGCTACCTCTTTCCGACACGCCTGGATGACGTCGATCACGGGCTCAAACATGCCGCGGAAGTTGGTGACTTGACCGGTCGTGAACTGGCCCGGGAACAGTTTGGCGATATCGTAATTCCCTTTGTACCCGTCGGCGGCCAGCTCGTCAGCCGTGTTCAGCACATCCGGCTCCAGATCATCGCCCACCGTCGTGCTGCCCGTCCAGGCGTTCTTCCCGTCGCGCTGGATGTACCGCACGAACTCGTCGAACAGACAGCTCTTGTCGGACGCTGTCCCCACGCACTCGGATGAGATCTCCGTGGAACCCGCTCCGAAGGTCATCACGTCTATTCGGTATGCGTACCAGAACAGCATGGTCTGATAAGGCCCTGCCAGGACGTTGGCCCACGCGCATGTCGCCAGGAGCAGGATGCTGAGATGGGGAAGGAGCAATCTCATGGTGCGAGAGTGCGAAACACAGAACGATATTCTAGGCTGTACTGGATGGGGATGTGGTTCTCGAAATTGCCCAAAAATCATGAGACTATATAGCAAACCAGCTTCAGTTGCACGACAGCCCGGATAAGACGGCATCGTAGGGAGATTGTGACCCAGCGGCTATGGCTCGCTAGTTAGCATCGTGCAGACGAAGGATCCAGTCGCATAGGAGGAGAAGCCATCTATGGTCTTCACCCAGGGTCTGCGACTCATTGCCTTCACGAGGCTAGCCATCTTCAGTGACAGCAGATACTGGTAGAAATCGACGGTGCGTCCTAGCGTCCTAGCAGTTCTCATCAAAGCCTTGATGTGTCTCCACTGGGCTGCACATCCTTTCCAGAATCGGGTCTAGTAAGGTGCATTCCCGAGATGAGGGTAGATGAGGTCTTTCTTGTTGTGGCCTTGTCCGCACGCTAAGCCTTCCGTAGTAGGGGTCCCGGCAGACTAAGCCGAACTACTGTATAGTCTATACCCTACTGTGCACCTCGTTTATACACCTCGTTTAGAGCATCCGAACTATCATGTAAGTCTCAGGACAGACTCCTCTTTTCGAGTGCTAGGCATGAGCAAAATGTTATAAAGGGCTTGTCTGCCTCTTCTTCATGCATCTTGACCTAAGTGCTACTACTATCCCAGAAATCCCAACCATGTCCATTCGTTTCTAAAACAAAATCAACCATGTCATTCTTTTCTTCTCTGGTTGTATTCTCTGCCCTCCTTGCGGGAGTGCTGGGCAGTGACACCTGCAGTTACATCGAGGTCGACTCTGGTGACGGATGTTGAAGTCTGTCGCAACGATGCGGCATTACACAGGCCGAGTTCGAGAGCTACAATGCTCTAACGACGGCTCTCTGCAATAGCAATGCCCTTCAACCTGGCCAGTATGTCTGCTGCTCGTCCGGATCCCTCCCCGACTTCTCTCCCAAGCCCTATGCCAATGGCACCTGCTACACCTATACCATCAGCTCGGGCGACGATTGCACCGACATTGCCAAAGCCAACCAGATGAACGCAACCAAGATCGCCACCTATAATGAAGAAACGTGGGGCTAGGCCGGATGTCAGCGTCTGCAGATCGGGCAACATATTTGTCTAAGTGAGGGTACGCCTCCTTTCCCGGCTCCGATAGGCAATGCTGTGTGCGGACCCCAGGTACGCCCTTTCCTTATCTCCAGATATTCCGGTCGCAAGCCTTAATACTCTAATGAACGAACACACTTAGGTTCCGGGCACTCTCGAACCCACCAACATGACGGTGAGCAATTGGACCAACCTGAACCCGTGTCCCCTCAACGCGTGTTGCGACGTATGGGGCCAATGCGGAATCACGGACGAGTTCTGTACCGACGATCCTGCTGACACCGGGTAAGTGTGCTGCTGCTGCACAAATGAGGACTGGGCTCTTTTCTAATATGATAAACTATGGTCCTAGAGCACCCGGTACGGCAAAGAACGGCACGAACGGGTGTATCTCAAACTGTGGGACGAATATCACCAACAACGAGGACAAGCCGAGCCAGGTCCGACGCATCGGGTACTTCGAAGCCTGGAATTCGGATCGGGCCTGTTTGCACATGGATATCTCCAAGTTCCAAGGCAGCGACTACTACACGCACGTTCACTGGGCATTTGCGAATGTGACCACCGACTGGGCGGTCGATGTCAGCGGCTATCAGGGTCAGTTTGACGGCCTGCTAAACCTGACGGGCATCTCGCGCATTCTCAGCTTCGGCGGTTGGGGGTTCTCCACCACGGGCTACACGGACAGTATCTTTCGGACTGGAGTCCAGGCTGCCAATCGGCAGTAAGTGCAGCCCGTTCAACCCCTGAGTGAGGGGGTGTTGTAACTGAAGGTCAAATGCTGACACCGAGGGGTAGGACGTTTGCCCAAAATGTGGTGAACTCCATCGTGGACAATGACCTTGATGGTGTTGATTTTGACTGGGAGTATCCCGGAGTAAGTGACACTGCGCGGGCTTTAAGCAGTCGATTGCTTCGGCTCGTCGTCGAAAGGCTTACCACTGACGACGGTCTTCCGAACAGGCTCAGGATATCCCTGGGGTCCCTGCTGACTCCGTCGAATCGCCTCAAAATTACCTCGAATTCCTCAAGATTGTCCGCGACCTCCTGCCCTCGAGTAAATCAGTTTCTATCGCCGCTCCGGCCTCATACTGGTATCTCCGGGCATTTCCGATCAAAGAAATGGCCGACGTAGTGGTCAGTTCATCTTACAACCCTCCCCCTCTTTTTTCCGCGCGCTGGCTATAAGCACCCCTTGCTAACTGTTCTTGGGTAGGGTTACATCGTATATATGACCTACAACCTCCACGGCCAAGGGGACTATAACAGGACCTATGCTGAGTTAGTGACTAGCTATTCCCCTTGTTGTTTTGCTCGGAACGCGTGTGCTGACGGCGACCTCCAAGCCCGGGATGTCCGAACGGCGGGTGTCTGCGCAGTCAGGTCAACAAGACAGAGACTGAGTATGCACTGTCGATGATCACCAAGGCAGGTGTGCCAGCGAAGCAAGTGGTTGCTGGATTAGCCATGTACGGGCGCAGCTTCAAGATGGCTGAGGCAAACTGCACGGGGCCCGAATGTCTCTTCACTGGTTCCGACTCTGGGGCCGACGCGGGAGAATGCACTCAGATGTATGTTTCTCTATTTCCCTTTGTCTTTCTAACTTCGTTGCAGAGTAGAAGAAGAACACTTCTGACCTGATGTCCAGACCCGGCTACCTGGCCAACTACGAAATCTACGAGATCCTGGTGCAGGCAGAGAACCCCGATCTCTACGGCAACATCAGCATCACGCAGTACTACGATGAAGGCGACGTGTTGATCTACAACGAGACCAACTGGGTGTCGTGGCTCAGCCCTTCCAGCTACGCCGCGCGGCAGAGCTGGACGGACGGGCTCAACTTCGGCGGCACCTCCGACTGGGCGGTGGATTTGAACGAGACCTATTCCAACAACGGGACGGGCAATGAGCTCTCCAGCAGACTGAAATTGGACTTCACGGACTGCGACTACTCGTTGACCTTCGCCAGTCTGTCGGATCTCTCCACCCAGGCCGGCTCGCTGCGCACCGATTGCGTCGGCGCCTATACTCTGCAGGTGCTGATCGACATGCTGGACACGGCCTACACCAACTACACCAACGTGAACAACGACTACGACGAGATGTTCGGTTACTATGTGACCTACATCACGAAGCTGGTCCCCTCGACCCTGTCAAACGAGTTCATGTTTAACCAAAGCGCGACCACTCAGTGGGAGACAATGCCGGTATTGGGCACGGGAATGAGCTGTACGCCCCCTCCCTCTGCTTCCATTATACAGACCCTGCTTTCCCTTTTTATTCCGAAGAATCAAAAAAAGCACGCAGCTAATCCAAATACTCCTAGACTTCGACTGCACCCTGGGTGACGGAACCGAAATCCCGTGCATCAAGCTCAACACCTCGGACACCTACAACCAGTTCCGAGAAGACGACCGCGCTCACCCTCACGGACTCGGATGGCTACGAGGCGGCGCTGGCCAACTTCGGCCTAGAGGCGGACTGGGTCACCCTGGGCGACTACGAGAAGGACCTCGACTTCGTGGCGCCGCACGCGAGCAAGATGTTCGAGTACAAGTTCACCGGGTTCCCCATCCAGAACGACTCGATGGTCGTGCCCAACCCCAAGGACATCGTGACCAAGGGGCTGGGCAGCATTCCCGACCTCAAGACCAGCATGCAGGCGACCCTGCTGGACATCATGATGGGGGTGTGGACGAACGGCACCTCCTCGGACGCGGCGCTGGCCTACAGCACCCCGGTGTTCTTGCTGATGCAGGCGGTCGACGAGATGGCGCAGGCCAAGGCCCTGGGCCAGCAGGAGGAGAAGGAGGAGGAAGAGGAGGCGAAGCGGAAGAAGAACTTTATTCTGCTCATTGTGAGCGTGGTCCTGATGGTGAGTTTGCCGTTCTGTCTCTCGTCTATCTTAACTTTCTTCCAACGTTCGTGGCTAACAGAAATTAAATAGTTCGTCCCCATCGTCGGCGAGGAAGTCGCCGCCGCCGCCGGGATGGCCAGCTTGGCCCGCGCGATCGCCATCGCCGGCGAGATCGGCAACGCTGCCCTGGGCATCTACGATACCGTCGATGACCCCAACTCCGCCGTCGTCAACATCCTCGGCATGCTCCTGGGCGTGGGCACCATCGCCAAGGTCTCGCGCGACGGCCAGGGGATTGCCTCCGTCGCGAAGCTGCGCCGCGCCATGACCTCGGACGAGGTGGCGGCCATGGGCTCGATCTTCAAGGCCAACGACGACAAGCTGCAGGCAATTATGAAGGTCTGCAAGTTCTGAGGACCGTCAGTTCAAGACAAACACAAACACCCCCTTTTGAGACAATCCACTGGTTGTCTAACTTCTTTGGCGGTCGTTTTAAGCCAGCCATCGTCAGCAGGCAAGACACTCATTTACCCCTGTTCACTCTGTTTCGATTGTACACACCAACTACTAGTCGGTAATTACCGAGTGAAGAGAAAACTGCGGCACATCCCATATTATCTTTCACACATTCGAATAGGGATCCGACGTACCGATACCTCAGCGTCGGGCTTGGCTTTTCATGAAAGTTTAATCCAGATACCAGGAAGCAGCAAGTGGGAGAGGATGCACCCCAGGCTAGTTAAACATTGCAAGGGCTGCAAGAATCATATGCTTTTGAAGGAGGGTACATACGACCATAGGGTGTGGAAAACAGGGCTTCCCGTCCGCTCAGCCGTACTTAAGCCACATATTGAACGCAACCGACTGGAATTTGAGCCTTTTCTCGGTCGCTGCTTTATGGGTGAGCAACGCTAAGACGAAGGGTGAGTGCGGGTGATTTGGCTGCTGTTGTCAAGAGCTTGGGTGAGCAGAATGACCTGACTAAGCTAATAGGGTGTGCGTCAACAAGTAACTAAGCGGACCGGCCATCTAGGCAGCAAAAAAGAAAAGATTGAAGTTAGAAATGGCGCTTGACCTGGTTGTATATTCCTTTTTCTATTTAATTGACTTATCCTTCATAGTATAACTTGAGAAGTAATCCTGCTCTAAAAATAAGTATACCATGCAATAATGACTCAGATCTTTGAGTAGATGATAAACAGGTGGTGACTGCTGACTAGTCTAGAAACAATACAACAGTTCTTCTTATTCACATCAATGGTATATCCTAGGTCCTTAACAAGATAAAGATATAGGAGAGAATAGTAAAAAATATATTAACCTGCTTTATTCATAAAAAGTTGAAATGTAGTACATGACAACGCCCGTTCCGAAATCCAAGGGCAACTGTATTATCCTTCACAGCATAACTTGTAAACGAGCGATATTCGGCAGTTAGCCACAGGACTCTTTCACCTCGTAAAGATATCCAAGAATCTTCGATAGATAAATGAGAATTGAACCTAGGTTTGTTGAGGATTGAAGAGAGCAATCTAGAATGGTCGGTCTGCGTGTGCTGTTCAACTCCTGTGGCCGCGTCCCAGAGTTTGATAGTCTGGTGGTCGCTTGACTTCGTGACTAGTATATAGCCGTCTGGCGAGAAGGCTATAGAGCAGACTAGACTTGAGTAGCTGAGTGTGTACCGCATGATACCTGTAGTTGTATCCCATACCTTGACATTGTGATCATGCGAGCCTGTTGCTAATACACAGCTGTCTGGTGAGAAGACTACCAATGAAACCCGGCCGGAGTGGCCAGTTAATGTATAAATCTCAGTACCTGTAGCTGTATTCCAGAGCTTAATAGTATAATCACTCGAGCCTGTTGCTAGAATGCGGCCGTTAGGTGAAAAGGCCATAGATAGAACTGGGCCAGAGTGACTGTTCAGTTTATACTGCTTAACACCTCTGGTTATGTCCCAGAGCTTAGTAGTCTGGTCATCTGAGCCTGTTACCAGCAGGTGGTTATCTAACAAAGGCGAGAAGGCCAGAGAGCGGATTGGGCCAGAGTGGCCAGTCAGCGTGTACTGCTCAACGCCTGTAGCTGTCTTCCAGAGCTTAACAGTAAAGTCGCGTGAGCCTGTTGCTAGCATACGGCCGTCCGGTGAGAACGCCACAGATAAAATCTGGCTAGAGTGGCCCGTTAGTGTGTGCTGCTTGAAGCCCGCTGCTAAATTGCTGAGCTTGATTGTGCGATTATATGAGCCTGTTGCAACCGCAGAGCGGACTGGGCCAGAATGCTCAACTCCTTGGGCTATACGCCAGAGCTTGATAGTACAGTCACTTGAGCCTGTTGCCAGTATACAGCCATCTGGTGAAAAAGCCACAGAGCGGACTAGACCAGAGTGGCCAGTAAGTGTATATAGCTCAACACGCTTGGATGTGTCCCAGAGTTTGATAGTACAGTCACTTGAGCCTGTTGCTAGTAAACAGCCATCTGGTGAGCAAGCCACAGAGTATACTGGACCAGAGTGGCCAGTAAGCGTGTATAATTCAACACGTTTAGCTGTATCCCAGAGTTTAATAGTACAGTCACTTGAGCCTGTTGCCAGTATACAGCTATCTGGTAAGAAAGCTATAGAGTAGACTGGACCAGAGTGTCCGGCTAGTGTATACTGTTCAGTATCTGTAGTTGTATTCCAGAGCTTAATAGTATGATCACGTGAGCCTGTTGCGAGTATGTAGCTATCTGGTGAAAATGCCACAGAAAAGACCCAGTTAGAGTGGCCAGATAACATCCGCTTCTCAATACCTGTAGCTGTATCCCAGAGTTTGATAGTATGATCACTTGAGCCTGTTGCTAATATGCAGCCGTTCGGTGAGAAGGCCACGGAGCCGACCACTTTAGAATGACCCTCAAGTGTCTGTAGGTTAGAGTTCCATGAGTCTTCCACTGCCGTTAAATCTATTAATTGATGCATGATTTTGTCGTAGAAGATCTTCTTTATAACACTTTTGGTAGGTGCGAAGACAAGTCCAGCACGGTAGAGTTGTAGTGGAGCAATTCCTGCAATGTAGCTATTTTGACGAATAAACCTTTCTGCGTCGTAAAGAAAACCTGCAAGCTCAGAACTTGAATGCACCTATATAATAATCAGCTAGGTTTTAAAGTAAGCAAATAGAAACTTAACCATACCTTTGAGTTCAAGATATTTATTAATCCTAATGCTTCTGATATTTCTCCTATAAGAGCTAGTACCTCCAACCAGTGAAGAAGGTGCTCCTGGAGAAAAGAGAGAATATCAGAGTCAGAGATCTTATCTTTGCTCTGTACAAGGTGTCGAAGCCAGAAAAAACAAGCGTATTGTATATCCAAAGTAAGATATTTCTTGATAATCTGAAGTCTGATATTCTTATACTGAATTCCGTAACTCTCCAGCTCACAGATATTCTCTTTGAGCTTAGCTTTCATAAGCCGGAGACAGTATGATGCTATTTCCCCATGTATCTCTTGGTTATCGATGAAAAGTCTCTTTTCTGTTGTTTTCAAGAGATGATCCTCGAATGATAAACGCAGAATTTGAACCGGTGCTTCGAGATTTGCCGATATATCAAGAGTAGAGTGAAATCTTTGCAGTTGACTGATGATTTTCGTATCGGGTATCCCTTTTAGCCGAGCAGCAGCTCTGACTGAAAGAGGAGTAGCGAGAAGAATAATGATTCCAATAATACTATAAGAATCTTGCAAGATTTCTATAAGTTCATTCTGACTCCTGGAAGCATGATGTCGATCTAAGATCTTTTGACATATCATCTGCATATCAGATCTTGATATCATGGCTCTGTCTTCAAGAACGGATCTGAGACGCTCGTCCGGAAGCTTGTATCCATCTTCAAGAAAACAACAAATTGTGGCGGCAATGATGAACAAGGGAACTGCCATAGTTACCAGTTTCTCAAAGTTGTCATCTCCGGGCGAAACCGGTGAAAGTGAGCATTGCAGGGAGGATGGATGCCTCCAGATTTGTGTAAATTCATATTTTAGGAATAACCGAATATCGTGTTCAGTTACGGGCTCTGGCAGCTTATAGAGGATCAAGTCTTGGTGATGCTCGTTTTCCTTGAAGCCTAGGCGAATAAGGAGCTCGGATCGACTAGTCAGAAATATCCGAGGACGTACTGCCTGAGACTGCTGAAGTGCTGGTAGAAGCCGGATGATCAATTTGATATCATCCTCTTGGTCGCATTCGTCTAACGCATCGATCACAACAACAACATTTGTAGGTTTTGTTGAATGTAAAGTAAGTAGTGGGCTAAGGAGCAAGTCATTAAATTGCTGCTGAAGTGATTTGAAGGAAATATCTGGCTTTTCCTTGACCGCTTTGAGAACACCTGGTGCTAGCTTTGGATAGTGCTTCACTAGTTGTCCAATAATTGTTGAAATCAGATATCTTGCGGTCGCACGGTCTGCTTCACCTTTCTTAAAGAAGAATGAGGCACCAAGTTCTCCTTTCTTATCAAGCTTTCTTGCAAGTGTTTGAGCGATAGTTGATTTTCCTGTTCCAGCTATACCATTCAACCAGAAGATACACTTCCCATCTATCGATTCAACCCAAGTTTCGACTTCGTTGAGTAAATTGGTTCGGGTTCCGGGGAGACATTCTTCATGCTGATTTCCATGAGAGTCAAACAATGCATCTTGGACAACCCTCAGATTTTGCCAACCGATTGTTTGGTTGAATTGAGACTGAATTATACTTCTTATATTAGCTGTGTATTCGTTTATAATCCTCTACCTAGCTTTACCTAAGTGTGTCTTGTGCTTCTTGCGTCTGCCGCTCAACTATGAACTGTCAGTAGGTGTCTGAACAGAAACAAAAGTCGGAAGATAGTAAAGATGATTAGAGACGTATGACTTCTCTCCTGAAACCATATACTTACCCTTTTCCAATATAGCTCTTGCTGACACCTCGGTATCAATAACACTAGGCTGAATACATCCCAAAAGTTCCTTTGCATATGCAGCGGCCACAGTTGCCGCATAGTTTTGCCAGGTTTTGTTTTTTGTCGAGTCTGCGTAGTCACATATACCTCGGATAACAACACATGGAAAGTCATTCATGAGCCCAGCTGCCTCCATTTCCAAGCATAGCACATGCCCACCGAATGCTTTGTCGATAGAGTCTCGGGAGTGAACATCTTTTATAACTTTGTTCCCGGATGCGATAAGACCATGGTGGATTCGTACTTCTCTTCGGATTCTTGCTCCTTCTGGCGGCTCCGATGGTTGCTTATATTCCTCATCTGGATTAATAGTCCATAAACCAAGAAGATATGCGACAGTGGCGATGATCGCTCGCCAAAAACTGAACAGCAGGTGGGTTTTGGCCGGAGACTGATCCACTTTTCCGGATGTCAACAATAAGTCCTCCAAGTACTCACACCTGGTATAATCTGGCGCCAGTCGTGGGTATCGCCTTTCCACGTCATTCAGATACTCATTTATCTTCGATCCGTACATTTCATGATTAGCCTTCAGCTGATTCAACGCGTTGAGCAGCGTGTTCGGAGGTCTGTTTAGTGAGCCCGTGTGAATAAACTGCCTACCCCGTTCCAGCTTGCCCATGTCATATTGTACTACCCCGTGATAGTCAGCAACAGGTTGGCTGACCACCACGTCGCCTAGATTAACCTTATTCGGGATTCCGCCGCCAACTCCTACCATAAGCCCAAATCTGATTGACGGAAATGTGTTTATCATAGAGGTCGCGACAGTCGCAGCAGAGTTGGTTCCTATGTTTGGTAGGCAAGCAATAACGATATTGTGACTGCGTATTGAGCCAAGGGTATACGCATTATGGTCATTTTGAGGAGTCGGAAGAGGTTCGTGCTCTTCGTCCAGCATGACTCTGGCTGCGATTTGCTCCTTTGGAAGAGCGCACACCCATCCGATAGTATAGGCATTGTAAGAGAGTCGTTTTCGGCACGGGAATGTCTCAGGACTAGTGATGCTTTGTGCTGATAAAGATTGCTCTTGGGCCTCTGCCATGTTGAAACAATTCAGAGAAGCAGAGTAATCACACGCTTGGGATAGTACTTGATAGATCAATCGAGCATTCGCTCTATTAATACAATCAGACGCTTTGGCCGAAGATTAAGGAAGAGGTCGCCAAACTTAATGGTCAACGAGTAGGCAGACGTCGAGGAGCAACCTTTCTCAGAGGCACGAGGTAAGGGAGTAAGAAGGATAGAGCAAAGCGAAGTACAATGAAACTGGTCAGCTCAGCTTTAATATACTTGTCTGAGCTAAGAGAGGGGCACTTTTCAGCCCGATCATCATGTGACTCCATCCCGCTGTGGGGCAAGCGATAGATGTCTCTTGCATGGTTGTAAGGCGCGATGCAATGCTCTCGACTCTCTTCATGCTTCTGATCGAATTTGTCGTCTCCTCAGTCATTTCTCTCATCCTCCTTCGGGCAAGGAAAAGGCTGAAAGGGCTTCGTTACAATTTCGACATTTCCGGATCACGCGGCCTGGTCAATTCTACTGTAGCTAGAGGCGTTTTGTTTCCTAATTTATAAGCCTTCGGATCTATTACTTACTGCGTCTTCTTTGTTACCAGACTAAAAGAGTAAGATTACGTGTTATCTAGACTCAAAGTAGATAGTCTTGAGTTGGTTAGGTGGCTTAGCAGTCTTAATATATTAACTTCCACCAATCAATATTGCTGAAGAGAGATACGGTAAGAATTAAAGTTTCCATGGGTGACATTGCGTGAACTGCCCCACAACCAGTGCGATAGGTCACCCTCTTTAGATAACTCAGCCCTCGGTTGCGGGACCGTAGAATGGCCTCACCTGCTAGCTCGCCCGAACGGCACCCACCCGCGTTCTGGCCGCGTTCAAGCCACACGCCGGGAGGTTAGTAGTTGGGTGGGTGACCACCAGCGAATCCCTTCTGTTGTATGTTTTTGCAGCCCCAGATAAACCAAATTTTTCTCCAGATGCTTCTACTGAGTAGCACTGATCAGCCTTCATTCGGGTGGAAACCAATTTATTCTCAGTATTATTGACCGTACGCAGTGTGTACACAAAACTGTGCATGCTGTGTCCCTCCTTAAACCGCCACGGCAGTAATGGCATCCCCCGGATGGTCCACAACCCACCCGACGGCCCCGCAAAAGCGATCCAGAATCTCCGAGGCGTACGTGTCCGAGCAGGTAGAGGACCAGTATCGCAGTTCCAGCTCGATGCGGCCCGGTGACAGGACCGCGGCCAGGCACATATCGTACTGTAGATGGGGGTTAGCGTTCGCAGCACTTCAGTCGTGGCTTTAGGAGGGGGGCATATTCAACTAACCTCGGTAGCATCATCAATCTCCAGCAAACTGAAGCCAATCCCTGTGGCGGCCGTGGAGGATTCGAACTGCGGCTGCACGGTCAGAACGGTGTTAAAGAGCTGCTGGTCCCCGTGGATCTCGAGCCCCGCTTGGCGAACAACCCCGGGGACCGAACAGTGGTGGTGGTCGTTGCGCCGTTGGATGCCCATCTGGTTTGCGCGCAGCACGTCCAGCACGGTGCGTGGTGCGCCGTCGTTGACGTCGCCATTTAGCACCATCCGGCACGGAAGGATATTGAAAAATGGCCCGACCATCTGCCAGATGTGCGGCAGGGGGATGTCGCGGCCCGAGACAATGCTGCCGAAGCAGACGTCCGCGGACTGGGAGTAATGCTGCAGGACCAGCGCCCACGCCAGCTGGAAGATGTTGGCGACTGTCAGGCTGTTCGCGCGCCAGAACGCGTCGAGACGATCGAGGTCCTGCGGATTCATAAGCTTGGGGAGTGAGCGATGCTCGGGAGTGAAGTATGAGCCCGCCTCCTCAGCACTGGGTCGTCGGGGCAGCCTGCATGGGTGAGCCCCGGCCAGGGCGCCCTTCCAGTACTCAAGCGTCTCCTCCTTGGACCGCGTCTGCAGGTACACCAGGTACTCGCTGTACGGGGTGGCGGCGTGCGGCGGGAGCTGGCCGCGCAGGGCTAGGGCGAGGTCGTTCAGGAGGATGGGCACCGACATGGCGTCGATGAGCGCGCTGCCAGTCTCCAGCCGGAAGAGGACCTGTCCATCCCGGTCTTGACCGACAATTAGCCGGTGCGGTGGCGAACCTTTCTCCCACGAGGTCGTTGGCAGCGTCTTGAGGACTACATGAGCATCTTCGCCAGGGGGCAGGACCACGACCGTCGGCGCCGCGTTCTTGAGCAGGACATGGAGGTATTGCTTCTTGCTTCCGGGACGGGGTATAATCAGCGTGCGCAGCGCGGTATGCCGCTGAACCACGTCCCTCCAGGCGGACACGACCTGTTCTGGACCAATGATGGCGTCATCGGTGCATTCGAGGGCAAAAATCAGGTTGCCCCGATACTCCGAAGTATAGACCTCCAGCATGCCGGAATGGGCGTCAGAACAGGGGTAGACATCCTGGATGGACCCGACGGACTCCTGCCCGGCCAGATCATATACACCTCCCCACTCAGAATGGCTGAGTCGCAGGAGGGTTGAATCCTCTGGGGCTTCATGAGTGGCGATCTTTCCATTGGGCACTGCGACGGGGACGACTGGGGTTCCATTTGTCGCTGGAGTGGTGACCATGCGGGCTTTCTCGCAGAAAAGAGCGACGGTGTTATTCGTCAGAAACTCGTACATCGTCATGCGCATCCCCCCCTTCCGACACAGGCCCAGCAGCCGCATGGCGGTGATGGAGTCTCCCCCCAGGGCGAAAAAGCTATCGTCGACCCCGATTGCATCCCCGGCCAGCGCGAGCACGGTTGCAAACGCCCGATGGACGAATTCCTCCTGGCTGGACGCGGGCGGCCGTTTCTTCTGCGTCGCCTCGCTGCTGCTGCCCAGATACTGGGCTAGTTGAGCGCGTGGCATGGCCTCCACCAACGCCCGCAGTTCCTTCCGATTGGCCTTGCCGCTGGGACTCAGGGGCAGATATCGCAGTGGGATGACGATGGAGGGCACCATGAAGGGCGGGAGCGTCTGCGTGAGATGTTCTTTCAGTCGCTGGATGGGTCCGAGGTAACGGTCCAGGTCCGGGACGAATAGAGAGGTGGTCGAAGGGTCAGTTGTATGTGCGGCGTCCACGCGTCCATCGAAGCCCACGTCCCGCGCTGCACAGGTGAAGAGAACAAGCCGAGGACCATGGAGATGCTCCAGGTGGACCAGCAGTGCGATATAGGCCGCTCCGCTCTGATACGCTTCGGCATGGTGCTCGATCTCGTGGAGCTCGATGCGCTGACCGTTCAGCTTCACTTGAGAGTCCTTGCGGCCCATGATGGAGATACTGCCGTCGGGGTTGTGGTAGGCAAGGTCCCCGGTCTTGTAAAACCGATCGCTCGCCACGAAGGGGAAATCGCTTCCCCACGCCGGACCGTGAAAGAAGGCCGCCTCGGTCTCGGCCGGGCGGTTGATGTATCCTCGTCCCACAATCGGGCCCCCGATGACCAACTCCCCCACGCACCCGACAGGCTGCAAGCGGTGGTGATTGTCGGGGTCAACGATCCAACAGGAGGCGTTGGGTGGGTGCCCCACGTTGGAGGGTTGATACCCCGGCTTGAGATGGACCGCGGTGGTCGTGAGCATGGCGCACTCGGCGGGACCATAGGCCTCATGGAAGTCGACGTGGGGACTCCAGGTGGCGATGTCGGATTCCGACAGCGGCTCGCCACCCAGGATGATTGTTTTCAACGAGGGCACCGCTGATGGGGTGAGGGTGCGCGCGACTGCTGGCGTGAGCATGGTCCATCCAACTCGCATCTTCTCCATCGTCCCGGCGAGATTGTCCGTCCGCTGGGCCTCGGATGGTATACAGATACAGCCCCCTGCGCCGAGGACGAAGGTGACTTCGAGGATGGACATATCGAAAGCCAGCGACGAGAACGAGAGACCTCGTGATCCGCGCGACAAGCCACAGAGCTCGGCGTGGCCCCGCACCGTCAGAGAAAGCATCTCATGCTCCATGGTGACTCCCTTGGGCGCGCCGGTGGAGCCGGATGTGAACGCAACATACGCTGCATTCTGGGGGCTCAGGGGAGGGGGACGGTACGCATTGGCATCAAATCTGGCAACCCCATCGTCCGACAGGACGACCACGGTCTTGGCGAGTTGGCTGCACTTGTCACGAAGCATGGCAGTGGAGATCACCAATTGCGTCTCCACGTCTCGGCAGATACTTTGCAGGCGCGAGACGGGGAAGCTGGGCTCCAAGCAGACCAGAGCTGCGCCGGACATGAGGACCCCCAGCATGGCAACAGGGAGCCATTTCGAGCGCTCGGTACAGATGCCCACCACAGTCTCCGGCGCGGCTCCCTGCGACTGGAGGTGCGCAGCTAGAGAGCGCGCTGCCCTATTTAGCTCGGCGTACGTCAAGGAGCCGTCCCACGCACAGACAGCCTCCGACTGGGGCTGTGTAGTACCATAGCCCTCTACCAGCTGGTGCAGGAAGCCTGGCCGTTCTCCGAGCTCCCTCTGATTCCACGCGGTCAACCGGCTCTGATCAGAGGGACACGGCAACCACAAGTCACGGATGTGTGATTGAGGCTGGTGTAAGATCCGTTCCAGAACCGATGCAAACCGCTCCAGGGTGATCTGCACCTGGGCGTCATGCACCATGGAGCCGTCGAACAGCGCCTTGAGCTGCAGGGAGTCCTTCCGCGCCTGAACGATCATTGTGAGAGGGTACGTGTTGAAATTCCGATCCTCCTCCTCGTTCTCCGGCGCATCGGTCATGATCGATTGCGATCGCTCGGCTGGGCGCAGTCGAACGGTCAGGAGATTTTGAAAGGCGCAGGCGGCCGCAGCCTCGGGGCTGGAGTCGCAGATCGATAATAGCCCGGTGTGCTCGAAGGGCACGAGGGAGACGGCATGGTTATGGATTTCCGTCACTGCGTCTTGGAGGGCTTGGTCGGGCTGGAGTTGGACTCGGAAGGGGACGGTCGCAATGGCCGGTCCCATAATACGGTCAATATCCAGCACGGGGGCTGTCCTTCCCGAGACAGTCAAGCCAAAAACAACGTCGTTCGTGCCCGTATGCGACGATATAACCATAGCCCAGGCCAGCTGCACTTTGCTTGCCAGTGCCCAGTCTTGATCGATGGTCGTGGAATGCACATGAAGGCTTCGAGACTGAGGAGAGCGCAACACCGGCGTTCCGCTTGCCAGCTGGGATGGGAAGGAGGAGGCCGCTTTGTATCCAGCAAATTCGGTCTTCCAGAACTCTTGGGCCGTCTTCGAGTCGAGGTTAGATATGTACTCGACGAGGTGATTGAAAGGTTGCCGCTTGGGCAATGCACCGCCCTGATATACTTGCTCGACATCCTCCAGGATCTGAGCGTAGGACCACGCATCGAAAATGGCATGGTGCATTCTCACCACAAATAAGGGTTCCTCGTCCCTATGCGCTCGATCAATCATGGCCACGCGCAGGAGAGGGGCTCCTAGGCCCATTGACCAACTGTCGTTTGTGTCAGTTGAGGGGTAGGAGCTGGCCCAGGGTACTGTGTTTGCAGCAACGACGACTTGCAGCAGTTCACTCTCGCATTTCACAATCTGGGTACGTAGGATGGGGTTGGCTGCAATGACCTGTTCCCAGGCGAGCTTGAGTCTCGCAATGTCTGTTTGCGGTGGCAGAGTGAATGCAAAAGTGCCCACCAAGGCATCCGGGATCTTGACCGACAAGGCCATCATCCCGGCCTGCAGAGGGGTGCACGGATAGACATCTTCTATGCTGTCCTCTTGGGACAACTGAGAAGCTATCCTGGCGGTAGAGAGACGGCTGGCCTCACTGATGAGACTAAAAGGGGGGATGGTGGGGAGGTCGTGGCTCTGAGAAGACCGAGAAGCAGCCTGGAGGAGGGCTGCTGGAGTCTGCATAGTGATCACCTCCGTAGCAGTGATATTGATATCCTTGGAGCGTGCAGCAGCCACCAGCTCAATCGCTCTCAACGATGTCCCTCCAAGGGCGAAGAATTCGTCATCGGCAGCGATTTGGTTTTCTGGGACTCCCAAAACACTCGAAAAGAGCGAGCGCAGGGTACTCTCTACGGCACATGTCACTGCAGGTGGTTCAGTCGGCGGTGCTGGGAGGCCCTGAAGCTCGTTTGAGACCAGAGCCTTGGAAGCAAGAGCGACCAAAGCTCTCCGGTCGAGTTTCCCAGTCGCTGTCAAGGGGAAGCGATGCATCGGCACGAACTTGGTCGGAACCATGTACGAAGGCAACCGCTCGAGAAGCCAACGTCGCATTTCTTTCCAGAATGCTCGACTGCGCTCGTCAACCGGGGCGAGTAGATCTGCTGCCCCGTCCTGGCTTGGAAAGACCGCCCCAGCTCCCTGTACCACAAACAAAGTCAGTATCGCGTCGGAGACCTGGCCAGGCGGGCTGACAACATCCGCAGCGGCCATGAGCCCCTTTTGGTACAGCTGCGCGTGGTGCTCGATCTCCGGCAGTTCGATGCGCTGGCCGTGAAGCTTGACCTGTCGGTCTTTGCGGCCCAGATACCGCAACGTCCCGTCATCGATATTGTAATACGCCATATCACCGGTGCGATAGAAGCGTTCCCCGACCGGTAGCCCGAAGTCTGCCGCCCAGGACGGGGCGGGCACGTATGCCTGCTGGTCTGGGGGGTTCAGGTATCCTCGTCCGACGAGGGGTCCACTGATGAGGAGCTCGCCCGCCGCGCCAAGCGGCTGAAGCGTGGAGATATCACGGGGATCCACGACCCAGCAATGGCCCGACCGTGACCGGCCGATATTCGACGGGTCGGACGCCTTCACGTAGGGCTGGATCGTGGTGACGACGCTGCACTCGGCCGGCCCGTAGGCATTGATGAGCTGCACCTTTCCAGACCACGTGGCGATGTTTTCCTGCGATAGCGGCTCGCCAACCAGAAGCAGTGACCGAATGTGCGGCACCGCCTCGGGCGTCAGCATCCTGGCCACCGAGGGCGTGAGCTCCACCCAGTTGGCGCGCAGCTGATTGATGGCAGAAGCGAGTTCGTTGATACGCTGGGCATCCGATGGGATACAGACGCATCCGCCAGCGATCAGCGTCATTAGCATCTCCAGAATACTGCTGTCAAATCCATAGGAAGCGAATTGAAAGGCACGCGAGTGGCGGGTGAGGTTCTGGACTTCGTTCTGCGCTAGAGCATTGGCGCAGAATGACTGGTGCTCGATGACGATGGCTTTGGGCTTTCCCGTGGATCCGGAGGTGAAGGCGATATATGCTGCTGCGTCTGCCGCATTCTCCGGCGGCGTTGGGGGTCGATTCAGCGGTGGAAAATGCCCCTCAGTGTGCAGGTCCAGCGGGAGACAGACCACCATCTCGCACAGTTTCCTCGCTGTCTGGTTGAGTGTTCGTGATGCCAGCACCACCTTCGCCTGGCAGGTGGCGCAGATCTCGACCAGGCGGGCATGGGGCTGAGAGGGATCCAGAAGAACGAATGCCCCTCCAGCCCTCAGAATGCCTAGGATGGCCACGACGGTCCACATTGACTTCTCGAAAAGGACAGGCACGATACTCTCCAATCGCACGCCTAGCGAGACAAGTCGGTCAGCCAAAACGTCGGATAGGCGGTTGAGCTCGGCGTAGGAAACCGAGCCATCCCACGCACATAGGGCCTCTGCGTCGGGTTGCTGTTGACACTGCTCTAGAATTAAGGTATGTATACATGTTTTCGGTCTCGCTAGTCGCCTCGGATCGTTCCACTCTGCTAGCAAGCGTGAAGCATGCTTCCCCAAGAAACTAACGCTGCTCGGTTTGGCGTGAGGGTTCTGCAGTAGACATCCGAAGAGATGCGTCAAGGTCTCGATCATCGTCTGTGCATACTTGTCGCTCATGGTTGTACTCGAGAACCTCAGAGAGATATCGATAGGAGACCGGCACAGATCCAGAGTAACAAGCAAGTTGTAGCCTTCGGATATCTGAGCGTAATCACCCGAGTCACCCTGATGGTTGTGGTTTTGGATTCGAACCCCGGTGTCAGACACCGCTTCAGGATCCTGTTGTCTTCGAGGCCATGGCTCCACTTTGCGTCTGCGTACGATCTCTGCTAGACCGGCATTCGGGGTTTCAGACATCTCCCAGATCTCGACATGAGCTTCCGTACGAGAATGACCCGAGGCCTGACACAGGCTTGGTGCCGTCTGAACGTCCTCAATGACAGTGAAGCTTGGGGTTTCGCTGCCGGCGTAGCGTGCAAGTAGAACGGCCCATGCGAGCTTGATACAATGCGTCCATCGGGCGCTGTCGCCTTGTCGCCATTGTGTAGTCAATTTCAAATCCAAGGGTGAGCGGATTATGTGAAAGACAGCATGTTCATCGTCGCCGCCGTTCAAAGTCGGAAAGATAGTAGGCTGAGTCTCCATCTCGGCCAACGCCATCAGAGCTAGGTACGATACCCTAAAAGCTTCTTATCTTATCAGCGGGGGGAGTTTACGATGTACGACGCCACAAGCAGTCATTATATGTCATGCTCAGCCATTGCACGGCAGTGGCCGATATAAGCAAGCCATCCATACTCCTGGCATGATGACATCAGATTGCAGCCATTCTGGGGAACAGCAAGGAGCAGCGAGCGCACGCCATACCGGTCCGTTGATGGGTCATTGTATAGTATTGCTAGATAGCATTGCTACGGGTCACGTTCCTGATCACCTTACATCGTCTAGAACCAACCCGTGCAGATTTTCTTGGATCCAGGACCATCTAGTTACGTACAATCTGCCTGGGAGGGGACCATTTAGTACGCTTGACTGTGAGGAGGCATTACGCGGCCATTCAGAACAGCATTGCTGGCTTTTGATCCACCTCCGCGGTGTATGAAATTCAAGAAAGAGGCAAGTCAGCATGTCAGGGGCGTTCAAAAGATGCGGCACCTCCCTTGCGGGCTGACCCTAAGTAGTGGGGGAGCCTGGGGAGCCCCGGCGACACAAGCGAATGGAATTCTCGCTCGCTCTCTCCGCAAGGATCCGAACCTGGTCTGGGGAATGCAAATGCTACCGGCCTATGGGCGGATTTACTGCCAGGGCGAGAGGAATGTGCAATCTCCATGCGCATGCGTATAGACCCATTAGGCCTCGTGACATTTATTGAGGCAATTGTGCTGCTGTATGGCCGCCCCCCTCGCAGAATGATCTTCCTCAAGAAAAGGGAGAGCCATCAATGGCTATCCCACATATCACACATAACCCTCGCTGGGTTCCACCAACACGAGCTAATATTCCTTACGAAAGGCCGTGGTGCGGTTCATCTTTCGATCACTTGTTGTCGACAATCTGTCTCTAGCGGATTCTGGCAGGTTTAACATTATGTCTCGCGAACAATTGGTCTGGGCTCAGGCAATCTTCACGGCCATTGCGGTCTTCCTCTGGTGGGCTTATGATCCTAACAGCTGGAGCAATCGAATTCTATCCTTTGTTATCGATGTAAGTCCGAAGCATACCGGTTGATGGTCTCTGATTGTCTTCACGAGAGACTAATGGTATACAGAAATACCTGCGGTGGCGTTACCCCGTCAAGTCCGTCCACGGCAGATCTCAGATCCCCACGCGTCCTTACAAGTTTCCCGATGGTGGCGGCAGCACCAAGTTCCTCGATGGCGAGACTGTCTCGGGCGACTGGGAGAAGAAATACGGGCCAATCTACCGCATCTGGACTGGGCTCGTTCCAGAGATGTACCATACCCTCCCCCTACACCCCCCTCGGTGTACCCTTATCTCTTTGCTGACCGACGACGCAGCGTTTTGACGCGGCCCGACGACGTCAAAACCGTCTACAAGGACTCGGACAAGCATTTCAAGGTTAACAGTGCCAACGCCGGATGGGTGCTGGGCACGCTCCTCGGCGACGGCGTGGGCCTGCTCAATGGCAGCGATTGGAAGCGCGTGCACACGGTCGTGGCGCCCCCCTTTGGCCAAAAGGCTACGGCGTATGTTGACCTGGTCTCGTCGCGCGTCCAGCGCCATTTCGCCGAGTTCGAAGATCGCTGCGTGAAACAGGGGAGGACGACGCCGCTGCAGCTCCAGGCAACGGAGGATCTTAGCTCGTTCCCCTTCTGGGTCCTGAAGGACATCATCTACGGCGAGCTTCCGGACGCGATGAACCAGGAGCTCACGGAGCTGATCGACCTCCGCAACGAGATTTGGTCGCACACCTTCAAGGGCGGATGGTCGATGTTCTCCTTCAACAAACTCTTCTACCCGACGCTACGCCGGCAGCTGCACGAGTTTGAACACCGCTGGGAGGCCTTCAACGACGAGGTGTATGCGCACATCCTCGCGCAGGGCACCACCTCCCTCCCCATCGTCGCGCTGCACCGCGCCATCAACGAGGGCCGCGTCAAGCGCAGCGAGGTCCTGCACTCCATCAGTGAGGGCCTGTTCACCAACGTCGACGTGACCATGGGGACCTTCGCCTGGCTGGCCCTCCTGCTCGCCTTGCACCCGGAAATCCAGACCGAGCTGCGCGAGGAGATCACCCAAGTCCGGGCACAGGGGACCCCCGAGGCCTGGGAGCAGTATGTCGCGAGCCACACGACGCTCCTCGCCGGTTGCGTCATGGAGAACGGGCGCCTGCGCCCCATTGCCAACTACACGTACCCGCAGTACCTCCCCGAAGACCGAGCGGTGGCTGGCTATGTCGTTCCCCGGGGCACGTACTTCATCGTCGACACCAACGCGCTCAACCGGCGCGATCCTGCGTGGGGCGCCGACGGCGATGAGTTCCGCCCGCACCGCTACATGGAGGCGTCGGTGACCGAGTATCGGTATCGGCTGTGGCGGTTTGGGTTTGGGCCCCGGCAGTGTCTGGCGCAGGCCCTGGCGGATACGATGATGAAGTGTCTGGTTGTCCATTTGATTGAGAGGTATAGGATCTCGGTCCCGGAAGCGTTGGCCGGAGGGAAAGAGGACTGGAAGACACGCAGGCCGGATACGTGGTTTTCAATGGCGCAGAACCCGGTTGTTTGCGAGAGGATTTGAGGGTCTATCTCGTTATATCTGGTTTTTGTTCGATTTTTCTTTCCGCTCGTGCTGTTGGTGGGGGTTTCATGTACCCCAAGCCAAGAAATCGATGATCCGCATAGGGCCATCTCCCATGTACAGTTTGTTAGGGTTATGCCTCCAAGCTCTCATGTTATCAAGGTACAAGATAGAGTTGATGATCTATTTCACGAAAGCCATTGCTATTTCCTACCAATCATTTCGCTCACATGCTGTTGGCGGCCCTGCGGCCTCAGTAGCCAGGCTGTAGTTCTTGGCTAGTTCCTCGGATAGCCTCACGTAGTTGAATTCATCCATCATCCTCGTGTTGACGCATGGAATGGTATGGTCCGGACTTGCATACGGTCAGTGTAGGGTCACTGTTCAGGAGGTTGGCGAAAATAAATTGAGTAGCTCAGAGAGATAGCAGGGGGAGATATTGCCGTATTAGGGCACGTTTTGCAAGTGTGGGGCTGGCGATGCCGCACGAGTTGAACCCTGCAAACACTGTTGCGACGATCCTTGGGGGCACTTACAGCAACAGAGGCTGACTGTAAACGCGGTGTGAACAGTCAGGGCACCCATCCATCTCATCCCTTGGGGATTCTCCACATTCTGCATGTCCAGCCTTGGTTGTCCCTTGCCTAGGGCTATCCCTTGCCAGCTCGTCAACCTCCCCGTGCCTTGGGCGACCAGTTTCTTTCTTTTGAAAAGACCAAAAAGAAAAAAAAAAGATACGTCTTGCTCTCGTACCCAGCTCAATCCATTTTGTTCTGCTCCGCGGTCATAATGGCGCTCCTGATGACAGAGAGTGATAGTGAGCCCGCAGCGCCGGGTGTCCGCATCCACGAAGACGAAGCAGCCCCCAAGCATGAGATCGATTCCCTGCAAGAAGACCACCCTCAATACCCGGAACGGCTATCCACACTCCTCCTCGATATCTCGGCACTGGTGGTCATCCAGTTCCTTCAAGGGCTCGACGGCACGATCGTCACGACCGCCATCCCCAAGATCTCGAACCGCTTCCATGCCCTGGGCGATATCGGCTGGTACGCCAGTGCGTTCATGTTGACCTTTTGCTCCTTGCAGCTGATCTGGGGCAAACTGTACACCTTCTACACGGTGAAATGGACGTACCTGGTCGCGCTCTTCCTGTTCGAGCTGGGGTCCTTCATCTGCGGGATCGCGCCCTCGTCCATGAGCTTCATCGTCGGTCGTGCAATTGCAGGGGTTGGTGCCGGAGGCACCGGGGCTGGGTCACTGCTGCTCGTCACGCATCTCCTCCCCCCACCGCGCCGGCCAGCTCTCGTTGGCGTTCTGACCGCGATCTTCGGTTTCGGTGCGGCCGTGGGCCCGTTGCTTGGGGGCGCATTTACCGACAACGCCACGCTCACCTGGCGATGGTGCTTCTACATCAATCTTCCGCTGGGCGCCTTGGCCGCCACGATTGTCGTCTTCTTCATCCCCACCAACAAAGCCCCCGGGCGGAACACCGCCTTCCAGGAGCGATTGCTGCAGATGGATCTGCTGGGCGCCGTGCTTCTGATTCCCGGGATGGTTTCGCTCTTGCTTGCGCTGCAGTGGGGGGGTTCCAAGTACCCCTGGAGTGACGGCCGGGTCATCGCCACGCTGGTCGTCGCGGGGGTTTTGATAACCGGCTTCGTCCTCAGTCAGGTCTGCCGCCAGAATGAGGATCGCCTCATGATCTCGTCGCGGGTGTTCAAGGATCCCCGGATCTGGACTGCCGTCATCCTGGGAGCTTCCGCTACCACCTCCTTTTTCGTCATGCTGTACAATGTATGGGAAAGGAAAGTGCTCTGGACTGCCTAGGACTACATGGCTAACCGTTTCTCTAGCTCCCCATCTGGTTCCAAGCTATCAAGGGTGCTTCTGCCGCCTCCTCGGGCGTGATGAGCCTTCCCATGACCATCAGCTTCCTCGTCGCCTCCACAATCGGAGGGACACTGAGCTCCAGCGACTTGTCTCCTCCATCCCCGTCTTCGCCACCCCGGAACCACTGGCGCCGCCGCATCCTCCCCGGCCGCGTTCGAGCAGTCAAGCGGCCCTCCCCAACCACGATCGTCGCCCTCTTGACGCTCGCCTCCCCGATCCTGCTCTCCACGGGCTCCGGTCTTCTGACCACTCTCACCCCGCACAGCAGCACCGGGAAGTGGATCGGCTACCAAGTCCTGCTGGGTGCGGGCGGGGGCCTGGGGATGCAGCTCAGCATGACGGCCGCGCAGTCTTTCCCGAACCACAGGGACATCACCATGGGCACGACAATCATCCTGACGTGCCAGAACCTGCCAGCCACCGTGCTGACCTCGGTAGCGGCGACGATCCTCAACTCCCAGCTGGCTTCGCGTTTGCGCGATGAGGTTCCGGGCCTGCACGGCAATACACAGTTGGTCACGGGGGCCGGTGCGACGGGGTTTCGCGACGTGGTTCCGGCCGAGCTGATTCCGGCGGTCTTGGAGGTGTATAATGAATCGGTGACCCGGACGTTTCTTGTATCGGTTGCTATGGCGTGCTTCGGGGTAGGGGCAAGCCTGTGGGTGCCTTTGAGATGGAGGCGCGCGGCGCGGGCTCGACGGGGCGCAGACCCTTGAAAGCTGATATCTCTTTGTTCCTACTAGTATGTACAGTACGATATGACTGCTTCCAAAAAACACAATAAATGGAACGAATCTACAAACTACAGGCTGGCCGACTTCTGGACGTACTGGTCGCTGGACCGCATTTCTTTTCTTTCCTTCTCTGCTTGAATCTCAGCTCCAAATTCAGACCAATCGACCTCCAAGGTAACAGCCTCCCACGGCGGGCTTGTAAGGATCAGCCTTCACTTGCCCACCGGTTCATGGCCGTTTCCCCTTACTTTGGACCGGGAGCAAAGGGTGAGACGCCAGGTTAACCCACCTGTAGACGAGGATAAAATCCTACTACGTCATCATAAGTTATGCAGCTGTAGCGTAGCGTCGCGTTCAATCCACACCACATTCCTATACTTGCTGCTAACATGCAAGCCACTACTACTCCCACCGAAGTAGACTACAATACTACCCTAGCTTCCAACATGACTCGTGCGAGTGCAGCTGCACCCCACGAGAACTATACCGCCTCTCCCGTCTAAGCCAACCCCTCTCAACAACCATAGAGATTCCCAAGCAAGATCCTCAACGCTCTCCACACCCCAACCACAATGCGCCTGCTCTGAGATGGTTTCTGCACGTTCGGCATACCCTTCGAAAGCACGTGCCCTTCCCCCCCGTAGGACCAGCACAGAGGAGTCCATAAATGCACGAGCAGAGCTAGAGCACTCCTGGAGCAAAGAAAATGGCACTCATCTCCACCGAGAATGATAGGTAGGTACACGTGTCATGTCAAAGGCCCGCAATGATTTGCGAGAAAGAAGTCAAGGTGCAGAAATTCCGGCTGTGGCTGGGTGCATGCTTGACTTTTTGGGCCTCAATTTAGAACCCGTTTTCCATTCGCGTCTGTCGGTGAAATTGGTTGATTCCGCGAGGTAGTCGCCCCGTGCTTTCTAACCCTAGCTATTTTGCATCGGCGCCTACACGCGGGGCACCACCCACCAGGGTTGCGGGATTTGGATACACGGGATTTGGATACACGCACCCTCAGGTGCACGCTGTGCACTCGGAGAACATCGGTATAGATAGTTGGTAATGGATGATCCCCCCCCTTACTTCGGCAAGGGGTGGCCACGGCAGAATTATCCGGTTGATGTACTCTTAGACGAAGCAGAGAGACGAGGTCGCGCGCCGGGGGGCCCCTCTCCTGACTCCAGGAACTTCACTCATGCATAAGGTGTAACAGTGCGGACTGTGCGTATCTCGCCTCAAGGCGGCGCTGATATAAGAGGCGGAGGAGCATGCTGCGACGTACGTACAGGGTTAATTTATAATTCCAACCTCAAGTACAACGTTATAAACGACGGGCCACCCCGAGCACCAAGACCCCCCCCCCCCCCCCCCCCCCCCCCTTCCTCACCCCAACAAACACCAATATGACTCGCGCCGACGACCCCAACATGACTCGTGCAATAAAGATCGTGATCATCACCCCGGTGACCATGGACCTCACCTTCTACAAGCCCCAAATCGACCGCCTCTGCCGCGCCGGGGTGGAGGTGACCGAAATCTCCCTGATCGTCGGCCCGGCCTCGATCGAATCGCGCGTCGACGAAGCCATGGCCGTGCCCGGCATGCTGGCCGCGGCGCTCCAGGCCGAGAAGGCGGGCGCGCACGCGCTGGTGATCAGCTGCATGAGCGATCCGGGGCTGAGCGCGCTCCGCGAGGCGGTCGCGATCCCCGTCGTGGGCGTCGCGCAGGTCTCCATGGCGACGGCCGCGACCCTGGCGCACAGCTTCGGGATCGTGACCGTCCTGAGCCGCATCGCGCCGATCCTGCAGGCCAACGCGGCGCACTGTGGCTACGAGCGCCAGTATGTCGGCTGCCGCGCGGTGGAGATCCCCGTGTTGGACGTCCACCGCCGGGCGCGCGAGGTGCAGGACGGTCTGAACCGGCTGGCGCTGGAGCTGGTGGAGCAAGAGGGCGCCGGCGCGGTCATCCTGGGCTGTGGCGCGCTGCTGGGCTGCGCGGGCGAGATCCGCGGGTTTCTCGCGGAGAGAGGCATGGCTGTCCCGGTTGTGGACCCCTTGCCTACCACCGTCGCCTTTGCCGTCACCTTGGTCGAGCAGGGGCTGAGCCACAGCAGCGTCAGCTACCCGCCGTGTCAGATCAAATCTTACCAAGGGTATGAGTTGGGAGAGGATCAGATGGGTAGCCGGCGCTTTTGATGGGCGTTTCGTGGCTTGCGTGGGGGGATCAACGGATCCGTGACGCAGGGGCCATGACCGCAGTTGCGAGGCGAGGTCGGATGATGCTTGCTCGGGCGAGGGTCTACAGCGAACAGCTGCGTATGGTTTGGGGATTCTTCCAGATGTGTCGAAGTCAAGAAGACAACTCAAGTGCTGACGGGGATAACCCATGGCGGTCAAGTCAAACTTGTGGTCAAGCAATGGCAGACGCTTTGATTTCTCTCCAAGGTCCCTGGTTGGCGAATCAATCCAGACGGGCTGATACCGGCTCTTTCACTCCAACGTCCGGATTATCTCACTTTGAAATTGTTTGACGGTGTAAGCCCCAGCCGGCGCCTCTGATATGAACTACACCGGGATTCAACCACAAACAACCTGTTGCGGGTGTGCTACCCGGGAAGAATTCCTATGGTAAAGCCGGATGAGCAACCGCCAGAACGGCTCCATTCTTTTTGGAGGTTTCGAAGTGTTGATGCCCAACGCAGGACGGGGCAGTTCGCGGCTTTGTCTGGAGTATTCCGAGAACCTTTGGTGGATCGCACCGGAGCAGGTCCTCTGGCCTAGCCAGATGACGCTCACAGTGAACGGACCAATCCGGGGCATTCTGGGATTCCTTAGATTGCACTTCAATCTGTGGTTGACTGGCGCAGGTGTTTACTGTAGTATTCATAGAGGTGCCCTGAAGTGTCAATTCGAGCGGCAAGCCACCCACACGGCGCCTGGTGTTGTATGTTGTTAATGGCTTTTCATCTCTCGGTTTGGTTGTCTGTTGTTGGTCATGGTTCATCTCATCCTGCGTTCTCCTAGACTCCCCCGTAATTATACACCTTAACACTCTCACCCACACTAAACACTTCCGTTTCGACATCCCCCATCTATCGAACTTCCCTAGCATGGCAAAGAAGCTATGGGCAATGCGCACAAGAATTCAGGGTCTCGACTGATGTGTCGAAGAGGAGAGAGTTAGTGTTCTTGTATTGCCCTGTTGTGTTTCTCAGGCATTTCAATGTTGGTGATGGGAAGGTCTATGTCCGTGTCGAGATACGTCGTCCTGAAGAATGGCACCCGCAAAGATTTGCACGTCTAGCTACTGATATTGACCCTACTTAAAGACTCGGATTCAGGATACGGTTCCGGCCAGACGGTGGCGATGAGGTCGTCTACTACGAGACGACTGATAGTGAGCACTTCCTATTCCGAGCGAATTCATGCGTCGACATCATTATGGAAGATGCTACCTATGAGGTCCTCGTCCGGAGACCCAGAAGATACATTCGCGATGTCTCGAAGTCGAAAAATCAGGTCCTGCGAAAGATGGCTAATCGAGGGTACACGTCAGATATTGAGATACTTGGACCTTGTTTCGATTGGTGCGTATCTTGCCTTGGAATGTCGTTGAACGCCTACTGCACTGATCATAGATCAGCTGGTTGCAATTCAAATCTCCATTATTACTTGCTCAAGGTTGTATATTTTACCTATGAATGATGTAGTATGTGACTTTGGAAGGGTCAACATAATGGTGGTCGAGACCCCCCCCCTTAGACACATCATGTTTCCCAGTAGACGAAGACCGTACTGGAGGATAGTGGCGGAACTATTCTTTCTGAAAATTTGCCTGCAATCTGAAATACGCTGGCTGAGCGGGAATTTGGATGTAGTCACACAAGTGGGAGGGAGGCACGCGGTCGAAAGTGATAAAAAGAAATATAGTCGACCTACATGGGGCTCGAACCCACAACCTTCGGATTAGGAATCCGACGCTCTACCATTGAGCCAATAGGCCCGAAAGCTGTCAACCTTAGATTATAACAAGTATGAGACCGAAAGGTAAGTTGAACTAGCATGCTAACCAACAAAGAAATTCACTTATTGAATCCAGGCCAAAATACAGAAACCATGGCTCGGATCACTAGGTATAGGTATAACAACATCTTGATAGATTGTGCTTTCTCAACAAAAATTGTCTCCCAAGTGGTTTTCTTTTTGTTTTTTATCTTTGCTTTGTGTTTTTCCTAAACAAGTTGCAAATCAATTCACTGAGTTGTAATTTAGCTGGCTGGGGAGGATGGTGTTTCGCCAACAACAACAAGTTACAGAAGTGAATGCTATTGCTAACAATTCACTGAAAAGGCTCAGTCATCGTCACGGGACTTTCTGGCATGCAAGTTTGTCTAACTGTGGTCCATTGGCTCAATGGTAGAGTGTCGGACTCCTAATCCGAAGGTTGTGGGTTCGAGTCCCATGTGGATCGGTTGAACGCATTCTGTGGTACTTAAGTCCTTTCGGCCATTTACCACAGACGCGACCACCAACTTTTCCCTTTTTGTTTTCTTCTCTCTTTTTTTCACTTAGTCCCTGGTCACAGCAAATATCATGCGCAGAATATGGTCCCTTTTAATTTTGATCGTGATTTCTGAGGTCTCTCCCACACAAACCTATCCGCCGGTTTTCTCGCGCTAATTTTTGTGTAGAACACCTACCGCTCATGTCACCTGTTTGTCACCTTTGTTGATTGCGTGCATCAGCTTACTATGTCTAGTGGGCTGTCTTCTTATTCATAGTCCGTAATTCTCTAGCTTCCATGTTTCTTTGCATAGAGGGGGGCGGTGTCGTTCATGAAAATCGTACCGCGGACGCGACTCGGATTGTGAAGAGCAATCGAGACTTCTTGGTTTAGAGTTCTACCACACGACCTTCACGGTCAGCGGCGTCAGTTTGCATCCATTACCATGTTGTCCACCAGGAGGAACCTCCCGCCCGCCCATGGCTCGGAGTCCGATCGTCGAGGAGCCATTGGCTCACACACAAATAATGACGGCAGCTGCCGCTTTGTCTGCCCACCCTTCCCCGCCTGAAGTAGAAATCACGAAGTGGATGTTGGGCAGATTGCGATATGCTGCTGTCAATTTTCCTTTCCTTTTCTTTTATCTTTGTGTTCTGCTGCTTATCATTGTGTTGCAAAATCCGTCTCTCCAAGTTGTGTAGGCGGGGAGCTGTGGAAGAATCTTCACGAAGAAACTCCAATGTGAAACTGTTGAAAATCAACCGGCGAACGGTCAAATGCTGCCAATGCGAGGTGTAAATTCACTCTCTCAGCACATTACACATGAGATCCGAGCTGAGGGGGGGTTCCATCCCCGCCTTTCATGAGATGTCATCTGACCCAGCCATTTGCCACATACTCCTGATGTCATGTTAAAGACCAACCCGACTGTTCCCTGCGGGTGCCAGGTCGTATAAAAGTCTCCATGCCGGTGTTGGTAGCAGTGCGGACAGGGCCAGCTCAGCACCCTACAGCTAGCTATACACCATCGTACCACACACTTGTTGAAACAGACACTTCCGTCACAATTTTCTGACCCAGCTACAATCAAACAGACCAAAGCTCTAAATCTTTCCAGAGCTGAACAATCATGACCACCTCCCGCAGCATTGAACACTACAAGACCAACGTCCACGCCCACTGGGAGGGCAAACATGCCAAGGACTGGACGGAGGTTGACCTCATTGGGTACGAGAACGCGACGAATCGCTTATATAACGAGCTGTGCGCGCATCCGGACGCGGCCGTCGTGCAGGTCGGCCATCGATCGACCCTGCTCAACAATCATGGCCGGGACTACCGGTTCAACGGCAAGTTCTCCAGCGAGCAGACGCAGCCAGAGCGCAGTCACCATGAGTACAACCGGTTTGGGAAGCTGATGAAGTGGGAGGGCGATCGGTGGTATGCGTATGATTTTGAGGTGGAGATTACTGATCATATGAGGGCTTAGAAAGGGGGTGGGGAGGTATGTCCCTAGGTTGGCTGTTGCGCTGAGGTTGGTTGTGAGTGAAAACTGAGTCTTTAAGGCGGGAGTATTGCGGTTGCCCCCCTATTGTCTAATCAGAATTATGTGATCGCCAGTTTTTTCTGACCTGCAGGAAGATAGGTGCAGGTGTAATATTTGGGGAGGGATCTGATCTCAATCCCGAATGGACTGCTTCATTTCATAATCTGACCACAGGTCCTGGTGCGCTCGCTCTAAAACAAGGACATGTCCAACGCCTGTCGCCGTGGCCTTGGTGCGACAGGCGCCTCGATTATAGACAAAAAGACTAGTAGCATCACCGCTTGTATCTTGTGTCTACCATGTGGACTGACACACAAGCCAGCAGCATCGAATAAAAGTTCACCTGGATTTTTTTTAATACGGCTTTGTGATATATTCATTTTGGTCGTTACTACAAACGAGGTGGATGCAAAAACCTAAGCATGAAGAGTACATTTGAGCAAACAAGGCGAACATTCGACAGTGCGTATCCTTGACCCGAGAAACATCCAACGGGCCGCCGGTGCTCAGGGGTGGATCGAACATATAGGTCGAGCTTTCTGCCAACATGATTCCCCGCGGCTCTCGGAGGCATGCACAGCAAAGGATTACAGTTCCTGGTGCCAATGCTTGCAAAACACACAGCTAGAAGATCAGCATTCTTTCTAGTCTCGACTCGTCTGCTGGTCCTTTCCTACGGAGTAACTCTTTCGCTGACGGATCTTACCGCGACTGAGGCGGGAGCTTCGGGGAGATTTGCCAAATGCCCTAAGATATGTCCGAGTTGGAAAGTTCATTTGGCAGCGCAAAGAATCCGAAGCAATCTAGTCCTTAGTCTCGTCGAAACTACCCGCACTAGCTTTAGCATATATGATTAGGTTTGCGATCGCCACGTGGTAGGTTGTGGATGTCAGAGATGGGGTTCGGATGAGCAGTCCTAAAGTAGAGAAGGGAAGAAGAACAAGCAAGGCAACGTTGGCAGAAGAAGATGAGGAGAATGGAAGGTCTCTCGTTTATTCCAATGCTTTCGTTCTATAGAGTCAGTCTCCGGTTTATATTCCCCATATATCTATCCTATGCATGTACAGTGCGTCATTGATTGAACGCGCATCCCCACAGCCTTGACACCATTCGTTCACCGGCCGCCTTACAGAAAAAGCGACCGTTTCGAGATCTCGCTGTTGTGGGCCAAGTTGTTAGAATCTCTGCGGTAAACATGGAGCATTCGCTTGTTGAACGATCGGAAGAAGAGATTACCTTATCCTGGGATCATAATCCTGCTCTTCCTGATGGTTATACATGAATTAACTAGCGTGCTTCAACCGAACAACGATGCACCACCTCGCTCTGTTCTCGGGCCCTTCCTCCTCCCTTACCTCGACCCAATCTCGTCTGATCTCATCATCGCCCCCCGTACAACTCGTAGTCTGGTCCCGCTCGTATATGGTGTCGACCTCCAGGCCCATCTCCACCACTGTCTTCAAGAACCTTACAACAACCGGCCGGCCCGTATGAAGTCCCGCAACGATCCAAACTCTCCCTTCGGGGGCAAGAAACCACTTCATCGTCTGTGCAAGGTTCTTATGCTGCAATTCCATCCAGAGGCAATCAGCTGCGATGATGCGTGTGAATCGGCCTTGATTAGCCACGGCCCAGGAGTCCGGCGCCAGAGTCCCCCACTCATGGGCCTGGATGGAGACCGCACATCCGTTCGCTGCCAGGATGTTGCGTTTCAGGTTGAACTCAATTGCACCCCTCAGAGCGGGCGACGAGGGATGGTCTGTGATCGTCACTTCTGAAGCGCCCGCGAGGATCGAGACTATCGACGGGAGTGCAGCGCCTAGTCCAGATGTGAGTATATTGAGGGCAGGGGCAAAAGACAAACAGGATGGAGGATGAGAGGACAAACCAGCGCCTAATTCCAGGACCCTCTCTCCTTCCACCTTCCACATCTCGTCGACATGTTCGTGACCAGCATGAGCATCCTCGATGGCCTCCGCAACCACCAAACCGGAACTCCACACGAAATGCGCGAATAACTTTCTCTGCGCTTCTACTTGACCTGCGTCTGAGTCGGAGTCTACATTGTTGGCCGATGAGTCCGAGTCACTCGGTTGCGGGCGACTGGATTCACGCGCATTCTGGTCCGGGTATGACGGAACTTGGATGGTCAGATCACCATAGCGTGGCGAGGAGTAGAGGAGATATTGGCCCGGGTCGCCGTGGAACTGTGGTGCATCGTCGGGCAAGAGATGGGCGAGAAAAGCCGCGAAGATGTCTTCGGGCTCACCTTCGGCGGCCGCGGCGGCCGCGGCAGCATCATCGCGCGGGTCATCTGTCGACGAGACGCAAGGTAAAGTAGGGAGCGGGCGAAGACGGGACAGCAGCATTTTTTTTTTTTCAAAGTGACGCGATTATTTCCAGCCAGAAGTAAAGTTGCTTATCTGCCGTCGAGAAGAAGAGAGCTCAGAGTGGATTCGGGTCTTTCGAGGGGGGTTGTGAAGAAGTATCTTAGCCCACCCACTAGAGTACTTATCCGTCCCACGGATCCACCCAATGGAGCCCATCGTGCCTTCGATTTGTTTCTGCGCCCGTCGGTCGAACTTCCCTCGACTCGTTATTGCGGTCCTCCGTTACCCGGTAGCCGCGCGATACCGATATTTGTCTTTCATTTTACCATACAGATATCGATAATTTCCTGAGTACGATCATCGGAAGACATACCTCCCTTCTCATATAACTCTTGTTATAACAGGATTTCTATGCTGCCGTAAAGGTAATCGGTAGAGAATAAAGCAGATACTGGTAAGATATGGAAGAAATCATATAATGATACATGATACTAAGTGATGTATAACTTGAAATACACTGTAATACTACTCAACAAAATTATAACTAAAAAGTTGTCTGAAGTTCCCCAACTAGCGCATTGGCCCCACCAGAAACAAGGCTTTGTGTGTTACCATTGTTTTCTCCACACTAGTAAGCACACTTCTACATATCCATTCGGGTTAGTCAATACTTCATGCTTATTGACCTTGGATATACTTGATTGGACAGTCTCAGTAATGATCTATGGAAGCCTGCGTTAGCCTGATCTTACTCATAGAAGTGAGGACACAGTGAGCATAAGTTAACTAGATTCAGCAACAAACCAAGAACTGGGCTTCAAGATCTTCAACTACCACCCTATAAGACACCTTACCTTCTAATATAATTCAGAACCAGGAATGTCGGCAAGTAATTGTTTGTATGGTTTGTAGTGTCTTGACTTGATCAAGAGCTTTTTGCAGATAAGGATATTACAATTCTTATCCATTACTTAAGCACATACAACCACAGGGTGTGGAAAACAGGGTTTCCCGTCTGTGAGGCTACAAAAGGGAGATGATTGAACCAGGCAAGAATTCCGTTTTTAAAAAGAAAAGAAAAAAGAAAGGCCCTGCAGGCCTTTGCTTAGAGCTAAATATATATATAAAACAACAGATATTTAAAATATTTATAACTAGTTATTTAACAGGCTACCAAGGTACCTGTTACTACTTTTTTTTTATAAATAAACTAATCTATATACTGCTATAATATATAATTGGCTAGTTAGTTAAGCTACAGTAGTTAAAAAATAGTAGTAGAAAAACTAAAAAAATAGATTTTTAGCTAATTAATACTGGCAAAGCAGTTAGCTGGTAAAAAAGCTATTTTACATCTATTAAAACTATTTAGCTTAACAGTAGACTATACTAGCAACAGATAGTTTAGCTAGTTAGTATAAAAAATAAATTAGTTAAAAATTTATACTAGTTAGTACAGCCGGCCGGCTGCTGGGCTAAAAAAATTAAATAGTTAGCTACTATAAAAACTATTTTAGATTTTTAAAACTAGTATAAATAAACAGTTAACTATATTAACAGCAGTTTATTTAATTAGTTAATAGTATTACTAAATAAACTAGCTAGAATAGTTATTTAGTTAATATAAATAGGTTAAACAGCTAAGGCACCTGGCTGATTAGTTTAGTAAAAAATCTAAATAGCTAAAATACTAATCTAATAAATAAAATAAAATAGTAAACTAGTAGAAAATCCAGTAGAGGGCCTTGGCCAATTAATAAAATAAAAAAATTTATAAACAAATTATAAATAAATGTATTCTAATTTTTTTAGTTATTTTTATAATAGGAGATTATAAACTAGTAAAAATAGTTTACTAAATAAAAGTATTTAAAAGCAGCAGCTTTCTAGGTAATAATTATAATATATAATATTTTTAGTAGTATATTACCAAAATTATACTATATCTACTACAGTAGATTAGTATTTTAACTATTTTAAAACTTTTTAAATAAAATTTTAGACTATAGACTATAGCAGATACAGCAGTAGTCTATTATTTTTAAAATTATCTACTTTTTTAATTTTATTATTAGTATTAAGAACTATAATAAGGTTCTTAGAGTCTTCAGCTTGCCTGGGGTAGAAATTTAGTAATATAAATACTAATTTTTAAAAGTAAAATACTAGATAGAACTCTAAGATTATTATATACTTTAGTAGAATTAGATTATAGATTTTGTAATTAATTATATAAATAATTAACTATAAATTTAGATACTTTAAAGTAAAAAACTAACTTTTTTATTTTAGCTAATAATAGTAGATATTTATAAATATCTAGTTTTATATACAGAGCTCTGGGTACAGCAGGCAGTACCAGTTAGCCTACTTAGTATATATAATCTATATTTATATAAGTTAGTTCTATAGAAACTAGATAATATTTTTTATATATTTAATTAGTTTATCTGCAGCTAGAGTATTTAGGTACTAAAAGCTTTTAAAGGCTTTTAAAAACTTAGCCCTAGTATAAAAATAATAGCTATAGTTTATAAAAAAAATATTATACTAGTTAACTAGTTAATATAGTTATTAACAGCTAACTAGATATTAAAAAAATTTACTTAATTATTTTAAATAAAATTAATAAATATCTGTAGATAGTTTTTAAAATAGCAGATAATATTTTTACTTTATCTATTAGTTTTAAAATAATATATAAAAAAATACTAATTAATACTATAGCATTTGCAGTAGTAGAACTGAAAATAGCTAATAAAAAACTACTATAATTTAAATAATTAAAACTAGTAGTCTATATTTAAAAAATATTTAGTAGTATATAGCTTTAATAAATTTATTTATAAACTTATTTTAAAATAGTTTAAAAAAAATAGTATTTAGTTAACTAGTTAACTACTATTAGTATATAATAGCAGATACAGCTGCAGCAGATATAATATAACTGCTTTAATTATATTAAAATAAAAACAGCTTTAGTAATAATAGTGTCAAGGAGCGGGCTGGCGTCTGGTTCTTAGGCGGGCTGGGTAGTAGAAATAACAGTATAGGCTAGACAATTCTCTATAACTAGTTTTCTAATATATTCTTTAGCTACTGGATTAGACTATTTTTAAATTCATAAATAGAATATAGCTTTAAAAGCTATAAATAGGATTAAAAATAGACAGGCAGTTAAAAAGATTACAGATTATATACTAAACAGTTAAAAAAAATAAATTAAATTATTAAAATAAATTAAATTAAATAAATTAAATAAATTAAATAAATTATATAAATTAAATAAATTAAATAAATTAAATAAATTAAATAAATTAAATAAATTAAATAAATTAAATAAATTAAATAAATTAAATAAATTAAATAAA